CCTTGTCAACCACCTGAGTTTCTCTGTTTGTAAGTTACCTTTTTTTTTTTTTTTTTGATCCCTTGCCACCAATAAGAAATCTATGGGAAGAATTTTTTAAGAATGTTTTGCTGATCAGCACAGTTTATCCCTTGATACCCATTTGGTAACTGTTTGGTGTATAAATGCAATCAAATGATGTGTTGCCTTTTGTGACTGGCTGCTTTCACTTAGCATGATGTTTTCAAGACTCATCCATGTTGTAGCATGTATTAATGCTTCATTCTTTTATGGCAGAATGATACTCCATTATATGGATACACCACATTTTATCTGTCCATTCATCAATTGATAGAGATTGTGATTTCCACATTTTGGATAAATTAAATAATGCTGCAGTTACATTCATGTGTAGATTTTTGTGTGGACCTAGGTTTTCAATGTCTTAGAATATACCTAAGAGTGGGATTGTGGGGTTATATAATAAACCATTTTGAGCATTTTGAGAAATTGCCAAACTGTTTTCAAAAGTGGCGGTGCCATTTTACATTTCATTCCCACCAGCAGCGTGTGAGGTCTCCAGGTTCTTCACAGCCTCAGTGATACTTGGTATTATATTTTTGGTTGTAGTGATTCTAGAGGTATGAAGTAGTATTTCATTGTAGTTTCCGTTTGTATTTGCCTACTGACTAATGATGTTGAGCATTTTTAAAAAAGATTTATTTATTTTTATGAAAGGCAGAATTACAGAGAGAGGGAGAAACACAGAGAGAGAGAGATGTTCCATCTGCTGTTCACTCCCCAAATGGCTGCAGCTGCTGGAGCTGGGCCACACGGAAGCTGGGAGCCTAGGAGTTTCTTCCTTGTCTGCCACATGGGTGTAGGAGCCCAAGCACTTGGGCCATTTTCTTCTGCTTTCCTAGGTGCATTAGCAAGGAGCAGCTGGGAATTGAACTGGCGCCCTCATGGGATGTCTGCTCTGCAGATGAAGGCTCAACCCCCTATACCACAGTGCCATCCCTGAGCATTTTTTCATGTGCTTATTGTCAATTCATATATTTTATTTGGAGAAAGGTGTATTCAAAAATCTTTTGTGTTTAAAATTATTTTTTTTCATTATTTCTATTGGGTTGTAAGTTTTTTTTTTTTTTTTTTTTAAAGATTTAGCTGGCGCCGTGGCTCAATAGGCTAATCCTCCGCCTAGCGGCGCCGGCACACCGGGTTCTAGTCCCGGTCGGGGCACCGGATTCTGTCCCGGTTGCCCCTCTTCCAGGCCAGCTTTCTGCTATGGCCAGGGAGTGCAGTGGAGGATGGCCCAGGTGCTTGGGCCCTGCACCCCATGGGAGACCAGGAAAAGCACCTGGCTCCTGGCTCCTGCCATCGGATCAGCACGGTGCGCCGGCTGCAGCGGCGGCCATTGGAGGGTGAACCAACGGCAAAGGAAGACCTTTCTCTCTCTGTCTCTCTCTCTCACTGTCCACTCTGCCTGTCAAAAATAAAAAACAAACAAACAAACAAACAAAAAAAAAGATTTATTTATTTGAAAGGCAGGATGATGTTGAGAGATGGAGAGCCTGAGAGAAAGTTTCCATCTGCTGGTTCATTCCACAAATTCTCACAACAGCTGGGAATGGGCCAAGCCAAATCCAGGAGCCTGAAACTATCTCCCAGTTTCTTGGCAGGAACCCAGATACTTGGGCAGTCATCTGTTGCCTGCTAAGCACATTAGTAGGAAGTTGGGTTGAAAATGGAGGAGCCAGGACTTGAACCAGCCCTTTGATAGGGGGTGCAGGTAACCTAGGTGGTGGTGGTTTAACCTGCTGCAGTGCAATACCCACCTCTTAAGAAAAAGTTTTTTGTTTGTTTTTTAAGATTTATTTATTTGAAAGTCAGAGTTACAAAGTGAGAGAGGAGAGACAGATCTTCCATCCGCTAGTTCACTCTTGAAATGGCTGCAACAACCAGGGCTAGGCCAGGCTGAAGCTAGGAGCCAGGAGCTTCTTCCAGGTCTCCTTTATGGGTTCAGGACCCCAAGGATTGGTCCACCTTCTATTGCTTTCCTAGGCCATTAGCAAGGGTCTAGATCAGAAGTGGACCAGGCAGGACTCCAGTTGGTACCCATTTGGCATGCCTGCACTGTAGCAGCGGCTTAACCTGCTGTGCCACAGCGCTGGCCGCCAAGAAAAATTTTAGTATGTTCTAGATACAAGTGTCTTATTGGAGACATGATTTGCAAATATTTGCTTGTGTTTGTATATTTTCCTTTTCACTTTCTCGATGGCTAGAACCTTCAGTACAACATGGAATAATAGTGGTGATAAAGACCGGCGCTGCAGCTCACTAGGCTAATCCTCCGCCTGCGGCGCTGGCACACCGGGTTCTAGTCCCAGTTGGGGTGCTGGATTCTTTCCTGGTTGCTCCTCTTCCAGGCCAGCTCTCTGCTGTGGCCAGGGAGTACAGTGGAGGATGGCCCAAGTCCTTGGGCCCTGCACCCTATGGGAGACCAGGAGGAAGCACCTGGCTCCTGGCTTTGGATTGGTGCAGCGTGGCGGTCGTGGTGGCCATTTGGGGGGTGAACCAACAGAAAGATATTTCTCTCTCTCTCTCTCTCTCTCTCTCTAACTCTGCCTGTAAAAAAAAAAAAAGAATGTTACACGTGTTCACTTTGTGCGAATTTCTCTACCCCTCGGAAGCCTAGGTGTTTGTTGCCCGCGGGCGATTCAGTTTTCTTCTTCGACAGGCAGAGTGGACAGTGTGAGAGAGACAGAAAGAAAGGTCTTTCTTTGCCATTGGTTCACCCTCCAATGGCCGCCGCGGCCGGCGCGCAGCGGCCGGCGCACCATGCCTATCTGAAGGCAGGAGCCAGGTGCTTCTCCTGGTCTCCCATGGGGTGCAGGGCCCAAGCACTTGGGCCATCCTCCACTGCACTCCCGGGCCACAGCAGAGAGCTGGCCTGGAAGAGGGGCAACCGGGACAGAATCCGGCACCCCAACTGGAGCTAGAACCGGTGTGCCGGCGCCGCAGGCGGAGGATTAGCTTATTGAGCCGTGGCGCCGGCCCATCCTGTAGTTTTTGTTTGTTGTATTTTCATTTCCATTCATCTCAAAGTGTTTTCTAATTTTCTTTTGGTCCATTAGTTATGTAGGAATGAATTTGTGAATTTTTCAAAATTTCTCCTGTTTTGATTTCTTATTTCATTTCACTGTTTGAAAGGCATAGTTAGTATGATTTAGCCTTCTTAAGCTTGCTGAGGCTTGTTTTATAGTGTGGTATAGGTCTAATCTGGAGTGCTCCATGTGTACTGGAGAAGAATTTGTATTATGCTGTTTTGGGATGTAATGTTCTGTTGATATCTGTTAGTTATAGGTGATTTATAGTGTTTTTTAGGTTTTATATTTCCTTATTTATAGTGTTTTTAGTAGCTGTTGATTGAAGGCCTTTGCTCTAAAATTGGACACTTTATAGATAGAAATTAATTTAACAAATTTATTGAATGTTTACTGTGTGTCAGGAACTTTCTCAGTTGTCTGAGATTTTTCAGTGAAAACAGGAAACAGGAAAAATCCCTTCCTTATAGAGTTTATGTTCTGGGGGTTTTCTTTTTTCTTTTTTTCAAGATTTATTCATTTATTTGAAAGAGTTACACAGAGAGGAGGAGAAGCAGAGAAAGAGAGAGAAAGAGGTCTTCCATCTACTGGTTCACTCCCCAGTTGGGCGCAACTGCTGGAGCTGCGCCAATCCGAAGCCAGGAGCTTCTTCCGGGTCTCCCACAGGGTGCAGGGGCCCAGGGACTTGGGCCATCTTCTACTGCTTTCCCAGGCCATAGCAGAGAGCTGGATTGGAAATGGAGCATCCGGGTCTCAACCTGCGCCCATATGGGATGCCAGCACTGTAGGTGGTGGCTTTACCCCATATGGGATGCTGGCACTGCAGGTGGTGGCTTTATGCCGCTATGCCACGCTGGCCATAGGGGGTTTTCTAGAGCATAAGAAACAAATATGTGACACACAACATATATATAGTGTTTATATATATATATATAAAATCTGGTAATTGGTGCTGTGGGGATGAAACTGTAGGGGAAGGGAAAAGAGAATGTGCCAGGTGATGGGTATAGGGTAGTTGTTGTAATAGGACTTGTGATTTTAAATGGGCGGTCAGGACTGTCCTTACTGCCTGCTAGTATTGCATTCGAGCAGAGATGAAAATGAGGTGATACTTCAAGGCAGAGGAACCAGAAAACCCAAAGTTGTGAGATAAAGTTATTGAAGAACTCTGTAAGACTTGTTAAATGGATGTTGCGTCATGATTCAGTAAAACTGTTTGGAACTGGGAATGTAGCCACTCTTAAAATTTGTTTTGAAGATTATATAAGGGCATATAATTGAGTTCTGTCTGTTTCCCTCTATAATTTTACAGCCACACTTAGCATATCGCATTTTATGTTTGTTCACTGGTTTACTTTCTGTCTCTTACTGGAATGAAAACCTCAAGAGGACAGGGATTTTATCTGTTTTATGTACTACTGGTACCAACTGTGTGGGAGACATCGAATAACTTTATTTAATGGTAAATGTGGAGGGTAGGCTTAAAAAAAGTTCATAGAGAAATGGAATTAAAAGATAATGTAAATTTCCCATGAATATTTTAAAGCTCTTATAGAAATCTGTTCTTAGGAGAAAACTTTCTTACTTTTTTTTTAATCTTTCTATATAAATGTGTATATAATATACACATTCCTTTTAAATGATAAAATTGAGAAGTAATTTTATTGTAAGCTTTTTTAAGAGGCAGGAAAAGTGAATGACCCCTTTTGACATTATAGTTTAGAAACTGATGATTGGGCAGTAGACATTGTTCCTGCGTGCTTGACGTTAGTTGTATGTTAGTTGCATTGAAATTTCTAATTCAGTTTGCTTTTGGTTTTACATTTTGAATTTTATGAGTTTTCTGAATTCTTGATCTATATTACATAATATCTTGCAACTGATTTTAATGGACCTATATTTGCTGTTTTCCAGGTTGTGTGATTGCTGAACTTTTTACTGAAGGTGTACCATTGTTTGATCTCTCTCAACTGTTGGCTTATAGAAATGGACATTTTTTCCCTGAACAAGTGTTAAATAAAATTGAAGATTGCAGTATCAGAGAATTGGTAACTATATTAACAAATATTTGCTGCAAAGTTTTTTTTTTTTAAATATTATTTATTTGAAAATCAGAGTTACAGAGTAGGAGAGGCAGAGAGAGAAAAAGAGATCTTCTGTTTGCAGGTTTACTCCCTAAATGGCAGCAGTGGCCAGGGCTGGACCAGGCAGAAGCCAGGAGCCAGGAGCTTTTTCTGGGCCTCCTTCATGGGGCAGGGGCCCAAGGACTTGGGCCTTCTTCCGCTGCTTTCCCAGGTGCATCAGCGGGGAGCTGGATTAGAAGTGGAGCAGCCCAGGCTCGAACCAGTGCTCATTTAGGATGCTGGTGCTGCAGGCGGCGGCTTTACCTGCTGCGCCATGGCGCTGGCCCCTGCTATATAGTTTTTAAAGGATTTTGTTTGCATTCGTGCATCAGGCAACTCTCTGGGATGTTGGAAATTTGGAATAAAGCAGTAAAGCAATAGTTACTAATATACACAATGAATTGTTACTTTTGTGGAAGAAATTTATTTTCCTCCTTCTTAGGCACAGAGCTCATTTGACTTAAAGTGCATCGTATGTCTTCTTATAATCTTGAGCTCTGCTTTGGACAAATTTGGAAGGAATTGTGGAGGTTGCTGGGGTTTTGAGAATTTGTCTGGATAGAGCCTTCCTAGAAAAAAATGAAGGAAATGGGCATCTCAAAGGAAGGAACAGAAGATACTAACTGGAATATAATACAGCCATACAGGGCCACTTCATAGAGAAGCAGGTAGCTTTACATTTCTCCCTTAACCCTGGGGAAATTCTGAAGGGAGATCTATAGAGTTACAAATTCATATCATGAAACAGATTTGAGGAATTTTGTGGGAGGGGCCCAAGCCACCTGTCTGCATTACTGTGTGAGGGCATCTTTTGAAAGTCAGTCATATGTTAACTAATGTTTATGATGAAGACTGACTCACAGGGAAGATGATGGTGTGCTTAGAAAATCTTTAATAAGGTAGGGAAATATTTTGATTTCTCTTAAAATGGTAATGTGAAAAAATAACATTTCAGAGAAAGGCATTTTAGCTTATATTTAGTGAACACACTAGTTAAGAAGTTGGTGTACCTCGCTGTTCTGTTTTTGGGTATAAAACTTAATTGCTATGTTACTTTGGCTAAATAATGAAGTGGGTCTATATTTTGTGTTTTTGTGCATATATATAGTTTTAAGATTTATTTATTTTTATTTGAAAGAGTTACAGAGAGAGAGAGAGGAAAGGCAGAGAGAGAGAAAGAGAGAGAGAGGTCTTCCATCCACTGGTTCACTCCCCAATTGGCTGCAGGGGTCAGAGCTGTGCTGATCCAAGTCAGGAGCCAGGAGTTTCTTCGGGTCTCCCATGTGGGTTCAGGGGCCCAAAGACTTGGGCCATCTTCCACTGCTTTCCCAGGCCATAGCAGTGAGCTGGGTCGAAAGTGGAGCAGCTGGGACTGGAACTGGCACCCATATGGGATGCTGGCACTGCAGGCGATGGCTTTACCCACTACACCACAGCACCAACTCCGGACCAATATATTTTTTTAACTGTGAGAGGAGTATGCTTGTTTACTGCTTAATGCTTGATCCATAGGAAAAGTAATTCTGTTCAGTCGCTTTCCTTTTTAGTTCATTTGATTCCTCCATGTTACTTAAGATTAAACAGAAAGCTCAAAGAACTAAATACATTTTGATATTATTTTATATATTTAAATAAAAACTGATATACTATGAATATCCAGGAAATATTAAATTATGTATATTAGAAATTTCTATCCCCTGGGGCCGGCGCTGTAGCGCAGTGGGTTAATGCCCTGGCCTGAAACACTGGCATCCCATATGGGGGCTGGTTGAAGACCCGGCTGCTCCACTTCTAGTCCAGCTCCCTGCTATGGCCTGGGAAAGCAGTAGAAGATGGCCCAAGTCCTTGGACCGCTGCACCCACATGGGAGACCTAGAAGAAGCTCCTGGCTCCTGGCTTCAGATCGGTGCAGCTCCGGCCATTGCGGCCAATTGGGGAGTGAACCAGTGGATGGGAGACCTCTCTCTCTCTCTCTCTCTCTGCCTCTCTGCCTCTCCTCTCTCTGTATAACTCTGACTTTCAAATAAAAAGAAATTTATATCCTCTATGATACTAGAAAAAGTATAGATAAAGTCAAATTAGGTATATCATTTTGAGTGTTCACAAGATTTAATATCTCTTTTACCTTACTTGAAAAGTTTAAGCCATACATTCCCTTTTTGACTGAATGTGTCCCAGAACTATAGCTAAACCAGGTATTCCTTTGAACTTGGGGCAATAAGGTTTTATATATATATATTTAAAGATTTTATTTTTTTGTTTATTTGAAAGACTGGATGGCAGAGAGAAGGAGAGACAGAGAGATCTTCTACCTGCTGGTTTACTCCCCAATGGCTACAGTGGCAGAGTGGGGCTGGGTCAGGCCAAAGCCAGGAGCTCAGAACACCAGGTCTCCCACATGGGTGCGGTGGGAGGAGCCCAAGTACTTGGACCATTTTCTGTTGCTTTCCCAGGCACATAAGCAGAAACCTGGATGAGAAGTGGAGTAGCTAGGACTTCAGCCAGTTTCCAATATGGTATGCCAGTGATGGCTTAACCTGCTGTGCCACAGTGCCAGCTCTAGTGATAAAATTTGTTTTTAGACTTTTTATTTACTTGAAAGAGTTATATATAGAGAGAGCTTCCATCCTCTGGTTCACTCCCCAGATGGCACAATGACCGGGACTGAGCTGGGTGAAGCCAGGAACCAGGAGCTTCATTCAGGTCTCCCACATGGGTGGCAGGGGCCCAAACATTTGGGCCATCTTCCACTGTTTTCCCAGGCCATTAGCAGGGAGCTGCATCAGAAGTGCAGCAGCCGGGAATTGAATCAGTGCCTATATGGGATGCCGGCATTGCAGGCTGGTGGCCTAACCTGCTACGCCACAATGCTGGCCCCAGCAATAAGGTTTTTTTATTTTTTTAAAAATTTGTTTGTTTATTTTGAAAGAGTTAGAGAGAGGGAGAGACGGAGAAAGAAAAATCTTCCATCTGCTGGTTCACTCCCCAGATGGCTGCAACCACCAGGGCTGGGCCTGGCTGAAGCCAGAAGCCAGGAGCTTCTTCCAGGTTTTCCACATGGGTGCAGGGACCCAAGCACTTGGGCCATCTTCTACTGCTTCCCCAGGAGCATTAGCAGGGAGCTGGACTGGAAGTGAAGCAGCTGGGACTCCAACAGGCCCCTATCAGGGATGCTGCTGGTGTTGTGGGCAGTGGCTTAACTCATTATACCACAACACCAGCTCCAGCAATAAGGTTTTAAGCCAGAACTCTTTTTTATTTTATTTTTTTAAAGATTTATTTATTGATTTGAAAGTCAGAGTTACACACAGAGAGAAGGAGAGGCAGAGTGAGAGAGAGAGAGAGAGAGAAAGGTCTTCTATCCGCTGGTTCACTCCCCAGTTGGCCACAACAGCTGGAGCTGCATCAGTCCGGAGCCAGGAGCCTCTTCCCGGTCTCCCTTATGGGTGCAGGGGCCCAAGGACATGGGTCATCTTCTACTGCTTTCCTGGGCCATAGCAGAGAGCTGGATTGGAAGTAGAGCAGCCTGGGACTTGAACTGGTGCTCTTTTGGGATGCCGGCACTGCAGGCGGTGGCTTTACCCTCTACACTACACTGCAGTGCTGGCCCCTAAACCAGAACTGTTAACCTGGGATACATAATTGGATTTCAGTGATCCCTTCCAGAGTTGTAATTTTGTATGTAGAAATTGTGTGCACACATTTTTCTGTAGAGAAGATCTGTTGCTTTCCTCAGATTCTCAGTAGTGTGTCCTGTTAAGAAATGTTTAGGAATCTTTTAGTTATGGGTTACAAAATTTCCTTATCTTAAAGGATGATGAATACTAAACAGGATATAAACTTCTCTTTCTGTGTCAAGGCCATCTGTAATGCACACTCTCTCTCTCTATGTATATATTGTAAAGATTTATTTATTTGAAAGGCAGAGTTACAGAAAAGCAGAGGCAGAGAAAGAGAGAGGTCTTCCATTCGCTGTTCATTCCCCAGATGGCTGCAACGGCTAGAGCTGTGCTGATCCAAAGCCAGGAACCAGAAGCTTCTTCTGATCTCCCACATGGGTGCAGGGGCCCAAGGATTTGGGGCATCTTCTACTGCTTTCCCAGGCCATATCGGAGAGCTGGATCGGGAGTGGAGCAGCCAGGACTCAAACCAGCGCCCATCTGGGATGCCAGCACTGCAGGCAGTCTCTTTACCTGCTATGCCACAGTGCCGGCTCCACACTATATGTATTATTTCCCGTAGCTTTCTAGGACTGTGGTGTGAAGTCATATCCAATAGAAATCAGGTTTTTGAAAGTAGTGTGGCAGATGATGATGGAGAAGAGTCAGAATTATCTAAAAATTGTTTAAATCCCATGTAAATTGCATTTGTGGCTTTCATTTGGTTTTAACTTGTGGTCTCAAGTCTATTTTTGTTCCCTGTCTCCCTCTGGTATAGGTAACTCAGATGATTCATCGTGAGCCAGATAAACGATTAGAAGCAGAGGATTACTTAAAGCAGCAACGTGGCAATGCTTTTCCTGAAATATTTTACACTTTTCTTCAGCCCTACATGGCCCAATTTGCCAAGGAAACATTTCTCTCTGCAGATGAGCGTATTCTGGTTATACGGAAGGATTTGGGCAACATTATTCACAATCTCTGTGGCCATGATCTCCCGGAAAAAGCGGAAGGAGAGCCTAGGGAAAATGGGCTGGTTATCTTGGTGTCAGTCATAACGTCTTGCCTGCAGACCCTCAAATACTGTGATTCCAAACTTGCTGCCTTGGAACTTATTCTCCATTTGGCCCCAAGATTAAGTGTGGAAATCCTTTTGGATCGTATTACACCTTATCTTCTGCATTTCAGTAATGACTCTGTTCCTAGGGTGAGGGCTGAAGCCTTGAGAACTTTGACCAAAGTCCTTGCTCTTGTCAAAGAAGTTCCCCGCAATGATGTCAATATCTATCCGGAATACATTCTGCCAGGCATAGCCCACTTAGCCCAGGATGACGCTACTATTGTTAGACTAGCCTATGCTGGTAAGGATTTATTTCCAAGTAACAGTCACTCAGATGGTTTTTGGAAGGGGGGAAACACATTATTATGGCTGATTCAGGTAATACTGAGATTTTTTTCAAGTTAGTGACTACGGTACTGCTTGTTCCGATTTCTTTGGGAATTCCAAATAGGAACTTTGCTTTTTGAACTACTTGTGTTTAATATATATTGCTAATCTGTTCCTGGGGTTCACCTTTTATGTGTTTCTCAATTTTTTCAAATGATCAGAGTGATAAGTGCGTATATAATACAGAATCTTGTGCTTTCACAGGGACTGTAAGTTGGTTTAAGACCAGTGTTTACAGGTACAGCCTTATGCTCTAGTGTCTTCAGGCTTTTTAAAACTTCTCTGAACAAATATGCTTGCTGGTCAATTTTAATATGTAACAGTCTGTTGCAGTTGAAAAAATGAATTTTTGCTGAGCAATTTGGTGCTGAAAGAACCTTTCTAGTTACTATAGTGCTTAGCATGTGTGGCTAAGCAGAGGACAAGTTATACACATCTACTTGTTCTGTTTGTCCTCATAAAACTTCATGATGCAATTGATGACTTTAACTTTGCAGATGAATTTTGATTAAAAATTTGTTTATGGAAAATAATGTATTTCTGCAATGTAATAATTCTGTTTTGAAGTCTTTGTAAATAATATATAATATGTGTATGGTGATAGTATTCTTTTTTGAAAGAAAGTTGTTCAGTTCATTCATTTTACAATTTGCCTGCCATGGCCGGTGCTGCGGCTCAATAGGCTAATCCTCCGCCTGTAGTGCCGGCACACCAGTTCTAGTAGTCCTGGTCACTCCTCTTCCTGTCCAGCTCTCTGCTGGGAGTGCAGTGGAGGATGGCCCAGGTCCTTGGGCCCTGCACCTGCATGGGAGACCAGGAGAAGCACCTGGCTCCTGGCTTCAGATCAGCGCAATGGCCGCAGCGGCCACTGGGGGGTGAACCAATGGAAAAGGAAGACCTTTCTCTCTGTCTCTCTCTCTCACTGTCCACTCTGCCTGTCAAAAAAAAAAAAATTTGTCTGCCAGTATTTTAATGGAATATGTGAAAAGTAGCCGTTGTACTTCAGTCTTATTTCTAAGTATATCTGCAAAATGATTGCATTCCTCTCCTGCCATGATATTTTTACTTATATTTATCTTTCTGCCTATTTATGGTGTCTTATTTCTGTTATTGTATAGTTATAAACTTCAGGCTTAGAAATGTAGGATTTCTTTAAGATGCATCAAAATTTATCTTGTATTACAAAGCATACTAAAAATTCACTTGGCAGTATAAGTCATAGAACAAAGTAAAATCAAGTGAAATAAAAGTTTATAGGTTTAAAGTCAAGCTGTATCAGTTTTAAAATCCTACTTTTGGCTCAGTGTAGCTTAATCTGTGTTGCACTGTGTTAAATAGGTGAAGTTCTGTGCATAGGTACCATATTAACATGTTGACATTTGATTACTAGTAGCCGTATACAAAACTAATAGTTTCTGTTTACATAAAAGCCTGCTGTGTGTCATGGCATCCACTGCTCAAGGCTGTTGCGTGGGTTAGTTATAAGTCCTGGTGACCCTTACAACAAGCTTAAGCAGTAGGTGTTATATTATCATCGTTTTACAAGTGAGAAAATTGGGGGTAGGAGAGACTAGATAATATGACCCAAATTTATCTGATCTAATGCTCGGTTCTTAGAGTTGCTGGCCCTGACCTTGGTTTTGAAACTGAGTTTTCGTTGTCTTCTGTGTCTTTCTAGCAAGGGCTCCTGATACAACCCAGAGTCAGTGCCAGCACCTTGCAATGTCCTTTCTTCATGGCGTCATGCATGATAAAGCAGCCTTTTTAAATGGAGCCAGAAAGCTATTTGAACTTGTATTGGTTAAGTATAATTAAACCACCCAAGTCAATGATTATACAAGTTTAAAATCAGCATTGGCTTTTTTTTTTTCTTTATGATATTTTTTATCTGAGAGATGCTATTATAATTTCTGTCTTGTATAAAATAAACTTTCAAGTGATCTGTGAGTTATGGAATTAAGTGGGGAATTAAGCAAAGATGCATTTATAATATACTTTGGAGGTACCCAGGAAAGTAAGAAACTTTTCCTAATAAAGATGATACTCATTAACTATGCTGATATTTATTTAGAAGTTTGACTTATTATCCGATTCTGGCCCAGAATTTCCTAATTCTTAGGATGAGTAAGTATTATAAAGTGTTAACATCTAACTTCATGGGACAGAAGTCTGTTATATTCAGAGCAGTATTGAACCTGGCAGGGGTGGAGAGTGTAAGCCCAAGCTGAAGAGATCACTGTGTTTGACAGACTCAGGGATCTCAGCAGATGCAAAGGTGCTCTTCAATTTTAGGGATCTTAAAAAACAAGGAGAAAGCAAGCCTCGTTTTAAGTTTTAAGGTTGTTAAATTTTATGTTTGGTGCTATTCAGTCTTTGATGGGTTGTGGTTGTTTGTTAAGCACAGAACAGGGAAGCATGGAAGGATACAGATGCAGGAGAAGAGAGTTGGAGAAAGTACGAGTGAAGAGCATATGTAGCCAACAGTAAATGTGATGACAGAAATTAGAAGCAGATATTTTGCAGTGGTGAGGGGTGTCAGACAGTTTTAGCAGAGTATTACCAGGAGAAAGGAGAAACTGTAGACAGGAGTAGATGCAGTCTCACGCCTTGGTCTATTAAGAATATCATTGTAAAGCAGCCGGTACTGTTGATCTTTGCTTGGTAATGACTCTTTGAGGTGTCTGTGACTCCTCATTTATGTTGAAGAAACAGACTCAGATAATGTAAACAGCCAGCCAGGAAGTGGCAGGGTTGAGGTCTGCACTTATTTCTGCCTGATTCCAAAGCCCAGCTTGATGTATTATTTTCATGAAAATTTTTCTATGTGACTGTAATTGGTATATTTCACTTGTCAGGGTACTGTTTAAATGGTAGGTCTCTGTAGAAAGATTAAGCTTTGCTAACCTCAGTAGAGTTGAGTGCTATATTTTGTTGTTTTTTTAAATGCTTTTTTTTTTTTTAATGCTACATTATTGTTTGGAGTTAGCTGTAGGTTATGCAGTTAGTCATCACACATCTGATTAGGTTAAGCACTGGGTGGAAAGTTCATGATTTTAAATTTTATGATTATTTATGAAGACAAGGTGGAAAAGTTATAAGCATCACAAATATTTAAGATTATAATGAGAAATTGTCTTCCTTTTTTATCTTAATAGAAAACATAGCTCTACTGGCAGAAACAGCTCTGAGATTCCTGGAATTAGTACAGTTAAAAAACCTCAATATGGAAAATGACCCCAATAGTGAAGAAATAGATGAAGTTACACATCCGAATGGAAATTATGACACAGGTTGTATACTCTTCCAGATTTCCTGTTAAAAATGAATTGCTAATGCTACCTTGCAGAGACTCATTTGTAGTTTCCATGTGCTGGTGATGATTTCTTAGATTGGCACTCATCTTCTGGTATTGACCTTGTTCATGATTAACTTCTGAAAAGATTCCTGGATTGATGGATATTTGTCTCTAAAGACTTCCAAAAAACAAATGTTTGAGATTTGATTACTAAGTAGTAGTGGTCCTTTCAAACAGGAATTATAACAATTTTCTTGCAATCAATTAGTTATGTCTGTTGGTTTTGAATAATGTCTTTTACTCTCAGTAATTCTCATGTATTTTTAAAAGCACAAATAGAATTCATAATTTGCACAGTATAACAGTAAGTACTGAGAGGAAATAAAGACTGTGTTGAATGCATTTCAGATGTGGTATCCAATTTTTTCATATTAAAATTTGGTATATATGTTAAGCAGTTGAAAATTGCCTTGGACCTAATTTTTTATCTTACCGTGTTATTTAAATAGTTGTATGTGTGGTTTTAATATTTATGGTTTTCTTTCCAAGCATCTGCCAATGAGTTTGGTTTGTTGTTTGTTTTTGATGAACGCTTCCAATTGCCAGCTTTAATGTTAATATCATATAAAGGTGGATGGGACCTTTAAAAAAAATAGTTTTCATCTGAGATGAAGGAATACCAGACCCATGGACAGGAAGGTTCCCTGTCTATCTTCATATTGTATTATCCAACCAGAAAATGATCAGTTTGTCACCAGAGTCCAAACTCAAACTCAACTGTTTCTTAGTTAGAACTGATTTTTGTGAGTGATAAAGCTAGCTGAATGATGTAATTCTCAAGATATTAAAAAAAAAAAAAAAAAGGAGACACCATAGCTAAAGAATCTAAACCATGGGGCCAGGGTAGTAGTGCAGCAGGTTAAGCCGTTGCTTGTAATGCTGGCGTTACATATTGGAATGCCAGTTAGAGTCCTGGCTGCCCTACTTCAATCCAGCTTTCTGCTAATGTGCCTGGGAAGGCAGTGGAAGGTGGCCCAAGTTCTTGGGGCACTGCCACTCACGTGGGAGATCTGAATGGAGTTCCTGGCTTCAGCCTGGCTCAAATCTGGCTGTGTGGCCACTTGGGGAATGATCCAGTGGGCATTAGATTTCACTCTCTCTTTTTTTCTCTCTCTCTCCTTTTCAAATGAATAAATCTTAAAAAATAAAATAATCTAAATCTTCTTTTGTTTATGTAAGTAGGTTCTGAGTATCCTCAATGAAACACTTTATTTCATACTGATTGTGATTTACATATGAAAATCCTTGCCCTTTTCCATAAAGGAACAGATGTGATGGTAAACTCAGTGATGTCAGAGTCTCTGTCTTAGATTTCTCTATATTCATACAGATCTTAATAGGCTTTTTTTCTAAAACTTATGTTTATTCATTTGAGAGGCAGAGTCATAGATAAAGGTAGGGAGAGACAGAGAGGTCTTCCATCTGCTGGTTCACTCCCCAAATGGCTGCAACAGTTTGAAGCTAGGAGTCAGTCTGAAGCCATGGCCAGTCTGAAGCCAGGAGCCAGGAGCTTCTTCTGGATCTCCCATGTGGGTGCAGGGGCCCAAGCACTTGGGCCATCTTCCACTGCTTTCCCAGACCATCAGAAGGGAGCTGGATCAGAAGTGGACCAGCTGGAACTTGAACTGGCACACATATGAGATGCCAGTGCCACAGACGGAGGCTTAACTTGCTATGCCACAGCACTGCCCCTCTTAATAGGTTTTAAGCTAATGTTTTTCAGAGATTTACAAGTAAAATATTGAATTTAATATGCTCTAAGAGGGAAATTTAAATTTCATGCTGCAGGAAACTAGAATGGGCTCTGTTATTCATTAGAGTGGTACCATTTTAGTATTTTTTTTTTAATTTTAAATTTTAAAATTGTTTAAAAGAACAGAAAGAGAAGTCTTTTCTCTTGTTTGTTGGCTCCCCAAATGCCATAACAGCTGGGGCTAAGGCCAGGCCAGGCCAGGCCAAGCCAAGCCAGGGGGCTGAAACTCATTCTAGGTCTCCATGTGGGTGGTAGGGACCCAAATACTTGGGCTAAGACCTGCTGCCTGCTAGGGTGTACATTAGCAGGGAGCTGGAATTGGAAGCAGAACTGGGACCTGAATCCAGACATCAATATTGATTGTGGCCATCCCAAGCAGCATCTGAATGGTGCCATATGAAGGCACCACCATCTTTAGATAGCATACATACATGTGTATGCTTGGTTCAAACAATTTTTTGCATGAAAATAATTATATCTTTTCGTTTCCATTTTCATGAACAGTGAAATAGTTGTGAACTTACAGGAGATTGCACTACAAAGGAAATACTAGATGTTTTCATGGAGTTCCTTGGAAAACAGTACTGTCGTACATGCTGTAACTGTGTAATTGGGCCTCTTTAGATAATGGATTTAGATATTCATACTTTTGGGAGCTATTCTTGAATTTCTCTCAGTGTGAGCATATACTTTTGCCTATCAGATTGGTCACCTTTTCCCTTGGCAGTAGCTGGAGCAGCAGTGGCCTCTGCCTCACTTAGTCATCAGGTGATTGTTAGACATCTGCTCTGCATCAGGCAGTTAAGGACCTGCTGTGACCGCGGGGATATGGTAGTGAGGAAGACAGAAGTGATCTTACACAGCTCAGTAAATAAATGGTAAGAGGAGGGAGAGGAGGAGAGAAGGTCGAAGAGAAATGTAGTGACTAGCCAGATCATGTAAAACATTTACAAGTGCTGGGTTGTGTATTTTCTAGCTTTATAAAGTGTGATAAACAGCCCTTTAGAAAGTCTTGTTCAGTACCCTGAACCACAGTGTTTTCAAGCCCTCCATCAGTGTGCTCTTATTAAAGTATGCTCTTTCTAGTGCTTCCCCGAAACTTTCTCCTTGAGCTCGTGTGTGGAGCTAGTGAGCTGGTGACCATGCTTGTGGCATCTGCCCGTTAGGATACTCTTGGTTTTCCGTCCTTCAGCAGAGTAGTGGAGAAGCATAGCTTTTGCTGTGGCTTCTGTGATCATTCTCTTCCCCGAGGAGTGAGGAGGAAGGCTGGTTCAATATGTACACAAGCAAAAATTGATCCTATCTTTGCTGTTTTTCTTTTTAGAGCTCCAAGCCTTACATGAAATGGTCCAGCAGAAAGTTGTTACTTTGTTAAGTGACCCTGAAAATATTGTGAAACAAACCTTAATGGAAAACGGAATAACACGGCTGTGCGTATTTTTTGGACGTCAGAAAGCCAATGATGTTTTATTGTCTCACATGATCACTTTCCTAAATGATAAGAATGATTGGCATCTGCGTGGAGCTTTTTTTGATAGTATAGTTGGTATGTTTTTGCTTTTAAATTTGTCTTAAAGATTTTAAATTATCCTGTCAAATACTTGTGCTTCTATTAAATCTGAAGGACTAGTGATACGATTACTGAATTTCATTAATAATGGAATGAGATTCTAATATTTCTGTTTGTCTTCATTGTTGCTTTAGGATGTTGTAAATATTTTAGGTGATCCACGGGTTGGTTAGTTAACCTGTTATACATCCTTATGAAGGAATACCATCCGGTCTTTAAAAACTGTTAAAAGAATAATGACCTGGAAAAATACCATGGAATATTGTTAGTTACTAAAGAAGATTGTAAATATTCTTTAAATATGATCTCAGTTCTATAAAGGAAAATAAAGTGTGTTTATAAAAAAGGCTGAAATGTAGTAAAACGTGGGTGGTGGCTATCTTGAGCTAGGGTAGTAAGTGATTGTTTTCTTTATGGTTTTCACATTTGCTAAATTTCCATCACTTTTAGAATCAAAGTAATAGTTACAATATGTTTATATTCAAAAATCAGTCTATTCGAAGATCAAAAGTTTCAGCTTTATATAAATTAAAATTTGTGAAAGATTAAGCAGCTTTTTTGGCTGCTCTTTGATTTCACATACTTCTAGTTTTCAGATTTGTCTACAGAAGACATTGTATTCTCTACATGATTGTTAACAGTTTATTTCTTTCATATAAAAAATTTACAGACTGTTGTACATGTTGGAAATCTTGATTGATTTCTAGCCTTTCTAAAGAGATAGCAGAAAATACAAAGCTTTAGGTTTTTTCCCCCAGGTAATCTGGGAAAGTAAGCTGTAAGGTTGGCTGTTGGAATTTTTTCTAAAAAATAAAAAAAAAAACCCTCATGATACAGGATTGGTATTTCTGCAAATGCTATATACAGTGTTTTAGAGAAACAGATACTCTCAATTTTTAAAAGTTTTGAAATTGCCTATATTTCTTTTTTATTAAATCAATTTTCAGACATCTTTTTTTTGTTTTTTCATCAGTTTATTGATGCATCTCAAACATATCTAGGTTGTCACCTAACTCAATTCCTGATTAGAGCATATATCACTTCTCATTCCTTTTTGTCTTTTTCACTCTCTTCTTTTTCCAAATAATCTTATTATTTATTTATTTATTTTTTTGGAAAATGGTGGTTTGTAGCACTTCCTCCACCTGTTGGTCAGCTTGTATGTTTTAAGCCTATCTTTATATTGGTTATTTTTCTGTTTAAAGAGATTTTCATTGTTTTGTTGGTTTATTATAAAACTGTTTAGCCTCTATGAATATTTAAATGCTTTAAAAATCATTTATTATGTAGATAATCCTATATATTTGTTTAATGTGTCAAATAGGTATTTAAGTATTTGTTTCTTATTATTTTCTCTGGACAGAAATATAAAATTTTAATTAAAAACTTAAAATATGACCATATTTTAAAACTCTTGATTTATTTTATAATCTTTTCAAAAGATTGTGTCATTTTTCACTCCATTATCAGTATTAAGTACTGCATACTTTCTCATCAAGGAATGAGCTCAACTTAATCTTTGCTTGTTGGTAGGGATGCTTTATTTGTTTTGGTGTTTGTTTCTTTGCTTACCTATCAATTTGAAAAACTTTCTTGTTCATATTTCTTTTTTTGCGAATTTTATATTCATTATTTTGGTCCTTTTTTTTCTGACACAGTAATGCCTTTTTTTTTAGTCTCTTACACATTAAGGACATTACTTTTTTATCATAACAAATTTTTTTACAGACAAATTTGTGGGGTACTAGGTGATGTTCTAATACCTGTATACATTGTATAATGTTCAGTTAGGGTAAATCTCTCTCTTTTTTGGAATATTTGATTTTTCTTTATGCTGAAAACTTTTTTTTAAGATATATTTATATATTTGAAAAGCTAAGTTAGAAGGAGAGAGAGAGAGAGAATCTGTTGATCTTTCAGTCTTCTATCTGCTGGTTTATACTCCAAATGGCTACAGCAGCTGGGGCTGGTCCAGGCCGAAGTCAGAAGCCCAGAATTCCATCTGGTCTGCCACATGGGTATAGGGGCCCAAAGACTTGGGCCATCTTCCATTGCTTTCCCAGGCTCATCAGCAGGGAGCTGGGTTGGAAAGCAGAGTAGCTGTGACTTGAACCAGTAACCATGTGAGGTGCTGGTGTCATAGGCCACTGCTTAACTGCAATGCTGGCCCCTATGCTAAAAACTTTTAAAATCTTCTAGCTTGTTTTTCTTCTTTACTGTGGAGGAATATACAGTACACTAACACTGTAGTCATTCTATGTTGGGAAATAAACTTTATCATCTTGAAGGCAAATTTTTCAGTTCCTTAGATTGATTTTAAGTGTTTTTTAAAACAATTTTATGTAGTCAGTTTGATCTTTTGTGATTTTTTAAAACTTTTCATGCTTAAAGTTGATTTCCTGTATAAAAAGGAGGATAATGTGTTGTATGCTTGTCATTTTTTTTTGAAGATTTATTTATTTATTTACTCGAGAGGTAGAGTTATATAACTGACAGACAGAGGGAGAGACAGAAAGGTCTTCTATCTGTTCGTTCACTCCTCAAATGGCCACGATTGCCAGAGCTGGACCAATCCAAAGCCAGGAACCAGGGGCTTCTTCCAGGTTTCCCATGTGGATGCCAGGGTCCCAAGCATTTGGGTCATCTCCCACTGCCTTCCCAGGACATAGCAGAGATCTGGATTGGAAGAGGAGCAGCCGGGACACGAACTAGTATAGTATCCACATGGCATGCTGGTGCCACAGGTGGAGGCTTACCAACTACGCCACAGCGCCGGCACCCTGTCATGCTTTTTTTAAAAATGCTTTATTTTGCACACTTTAGTATTTATTGGGGACTATGCTGAAGGTGAAATATACATTTTTTTCTTTTCAGAAATATAGCAAGTTTTCCCAACATTATTTAACATTTTGTGTCTTCCCTATTGATTCTGTGAAGCTATCTTTATCGTTTGTTACATGTCTTTCTCATAGTCTATTATCTAGGTGTCTATTCTATTCCATTGATTTCTTTATTCTTGTACTCATGTTCTTAGCTGTATTATATTTTTGTTACACTCAATTTTAGTATCTGCTAGGGTAAATTGCCAAATGTCCCTCTTCATTTCTAAATATTTTTAGCTGATTTTAGTGTACTATACACTTCAGTTTGTAAAGTTCCTTAATGCAGGCCACTGGAATTTTGAGTCGTAGTTTTCTTTCTGTAAAGATTTATTTATTTGAAAGTCAGAGTTACACAGAGAGGAGAGGCAGAGAAAGAGAGAGAGAGAGGTCTTCTATCCAGTGATTGACTCTCCAGATGGCCGCAGTGACTGGAGCTGTGCTGATCCGAAGCCAGGAGCCAGGAGGCTCTTCTGGGTCTTCCACGCGGGTGCAGGGGCCCAAGCACTTGGACCATCTTCTACTGCTTTCCCAGGCCATAGCAGAGAGCTGGATCAGAAGGGGAGCAGCCAGGATGTGAATCGGCGCCCATTTGGGATGCCAGGGCATTAACCTGTTGCGCCACAGTGCCAGCCCCAGAGTCATAATTTTCTGTTTCTTAAAACTGTTCTAAGATTATTTTAATCACAGGGGAAAAGTAAATTTCTAAATTATTTACTCAAAATTTATAAAAGCCAGTAGTTGGCTGTTTCCAGAGGCAACCACTCAAGTTCGTGTTTCTGGCTGCAGGTGAGGGTTGCCAATATCTTTATATATTTTCATATCACTGTTTTAGGGATTATCAACTTTTAGGGATCATCAACCATCTGCTGGTTAACTCATCAGATGGCCGCAATAGCCAAGGGCTAAGCCAGGCCTAAGCCAAGAACCAGTAGCTTCTTCCAGGTCTCCCACATGGGTGGCAGTGTCCTAACCACTTGGGCCATCTTTGCTGTTTTTTCAGGCTATTAGCAAGGAGCTGGTTTGGTAGTAGAGGAGCAAGGACACGAGCCAGTGCCCATATGGGATGCCGGCAGCACAGGGGGTAGCTTAACTTGCTCTGCTACAACCCTGGCCCCTAGACTGTAACTGTTTATCCTGGAGTTTCAGATTGGTTTCCTTCTAGAGATAAAGTAATGAGCTTTCTTCACCACATCTGTAATATCTAATTTCTTTCATATTTCATTTGTTGTTTTCAATATATTTCACTCTTCATGACATTTTAATTTTTTTTTTAATTTTAGTTCCAATTTGGGCTGACTGGATTTCTAGGTCTTTTCTATTTTTTTTTTCTTTCCCCTTGCATTCCTAGGTTAGAGCTACTATTTTGTGTATTCTGTATCTTCCTCTTTATTTTGTTGGAGTTCATCCTCAAGAAACTGTCGTGGAGTGTTCTGTGGCAGATAAACCTGTAGTTCTTGCATGTCTTGAGATAATTTATTTTGTTTTCCTATTCAGTTGACAGTTGGAGTATAGGATTTCTTTCCTAACTGTGAAGGGCCTGCTCTGTTGTCTGCCAGCCTCTATTGTTTCTACAGATCATATGATGCCAGTGTGATTCTTTTTTTTAGGAGACCTGTGTTTTCTTTTTTGTAAGTTTTAAAATCTTTGCTTTTTCTTGATGTCTCAGAATTTCTTGACGATTTGCTTTAATGTGAGTCTTTTTCCACTTACTGTGCTGGGTAGGAAGTGCCATGTTCTTTTCTGAGTTGTTTGATATATTTGACTTTTGATTCGTTTTTTGTCTTAATGATGTATTTGCTTTCAGGTATCGAGTAATCATGCTTCTCATTTTCAGGTGTTGCTGCCTATGTTGGCTGGCAGAGCTCCTCAATTCTCAAGCCCCTGCTGCAACAAGGTCTTAGTGATGCCGAGGAATTTGTTATTGTGAAGGCTCTTAATGCCCTTACTTGTATGTGCCAGTTAGGGCTGTTACAAAAACCCCATGTCTATGAATTTGCCAGTGATATTGGTAAGTTTCTGCCTCTGATATCTGAATTATACAGACAGGGTATGGAAAGAACTTTATACAGTTTCTAGATAATACAGAGGAAAGTTTCAACTTTATTGTTCCTACTGCAGGTTGAACATACCTACTTTGAAAATCCAAAATCTAAAATGCTCCAAAAATCCGTATCTTTCTGAGCTCTAACCTGACAAAAGAGGAAAATTCCTCATCATGAAATTTTGATTCATGCACAAAATTATGAAAGATACTGCCTAAAATTCTCTTAGGCTGTATGTAAAAGGTGCATCTGAAGCAGGTTGTATTCATACTGGGGTCCCATCCCTATGAGATCTCATAATGGATATGTGAATATTCCACATACAAAAAATTCTGAAATCCCAAGCATAACTAGTCTCAAGCATTTTGGATAAGGGATACTCGACCTCTATGGATTGCATATGTGTTTGTAGAGAGGGAGACTCAGTTGGTTATCCTGCCCAGGTTGTGAAATATTGCCATGTTTTCAGCTGTTGTTAAGTCTTTGTGACCCTTGTGTGGGGAAAAAAAAAAAAAAAAGAATCAGGATTTTAAATTCCCAGTTTTTTTTTACACCTAACCATTAGACGTGTTGAAAATTGAATGTGAAGGTTGTTTATAACTGTCATTACATTGGTTGCCAGTTAAGAATTCATAGTATTTCAGTTATTAATATTAGTATTTTATGAACCAATGAATTAATTGCTTCACAAATATATTACCTATTTATCTTAAAGTTAAAATTCAGAATAAGAGCAATAACATTGTAAATAGAATAAACTTTGAAAATCACAAAATTAAGAATATCTGAGGAAGCAGTGTGAGATTGCCAGCTGGCTCAAGAACAAAATCTTGAAAATTGCCTTTTTAGATACTAAATTATTGCTACATGATTTGCCAAGGAAAATCAATAGAAAGTCAAAGTTGGTTCAACTTGACATTTTCTTAGAGGTAATCCTTAGAGAAAAAAGATGAGAGAGAGTTGCTGTTTATTTTGAGAAGCTAGATGGTAGCCAGTAGATGTAAAAATTCTGTAAAATTTTAAGGCATGAATATAGCTTTTTATTAATTTGTGGTAATGCATATATAGGTTTTTTTATTTTGTACCATAATACCTAGGATTGTTCTGTTAATTTATAAATAATTGGATTTTTTGATTATTTTAAGACTGATCATGAATATAGTAGAAATGTTGTATATTGGCAATACAATCATAATATTTTTTAAAAATTACATTACAGTAGTTCTTAATTTTTGTCTGAGCTATAGAATGCTGAACGTTGGGAGATTCTTTATCACTGTTTTTGTCATTTTAACTAATAACTTGGGGATATATTGTTTTGAGAAGCAGAAGAAATGAAGAGAGAAAGGGAACTCTCATCTGTTGATTCACTCTCCAAATGTGACTGGGCTAGGCTGAAGCCAGGAACTCAAATAGCATGATAGGAACACAATTACTTGTATTGGCAGGAAGCTGGAGTAGGTGTGGATTTGTTTATCAAACCCAGGTACTGTGATATGGACTGTTGGGGTAAAAGCTCATCTTGGATATTGTTTTTTTAATTCATTCACCCGTTCTGTATCTTTTGATTGGAGAATTTAACCCATTTAGATTTAAAGTAATTATTGATTGGTACACATGCATCACTGTCATTTTTTTTTTAAAGCTATACTTATTTATTTGAAAAGCAGTTATAGAGAGAGAGAGAGAGGGAGAGAGAGATCTTCCACCTGCTGGTTCACTCCCCAAATGGCCGTAGTGGTTGGAGCTGTGTTGATATGAAGCCAGGAACCAGGAGCTTCTTCCTGGTCTCCCTTGCAGGTGCAGGGGCCCAGGGACTTGGGCTGTCTTCTGCTGCTTTCCCCGGCCAGAGTGGGAGCTGGATTGGAAGCGGAGCAGCCAGGACACGAACTGGCGCCCATATAGGATGCCGGCACTGCAGGCAGTGGCTTTACCTGCTACGCCACAACGCTGGCCCTGTACTACTGTCATTTGTCAGTTATTTTCTGTTTTGTAACTCCTTTATTCCATCTTCCCTCCTTTTTTTTTTTTTTTTAAATTTTAATTTATTTGAAAAGGGAGAAGGAGAGGGAGGGAGCTAGGGAGGGAGAGGGGGAGAGAGAGAGAGAGAGAGAGAGAGAGATATCTTCCTTCTACTAGTTTACTCCCCAGATAGCCACAATAGCTAGGACTGGGTCAGTCCAAAGCTGGGAGCCAAGAGTTTCTCCCAGGTGTCCCATGTGGGTAGCAGGGGCCCAAGCAATTGGGCTATCCTCCACTTTTCCTAGGTCACTAGCAGAGATGAACTGCAAGTGGAACAACCAGGACGTGAACCAGCACCCATGTGGGATCCTGGCATTGCAGGCAGCAGCTTTACCTGCTACACTACAACATGGCATCCCCATTTTCCCCTCTTGCTGGCTTCCTTTGCGAATTGATGATTTTTTTTGTAGTGTTACATTTTGGTTTCATTCTTTGTATGTAGTACAAAATTTTTTTTTTCCTTCCCTATGGTTATCCTGTGGCAGATGAACTTCTGCAGTCTTTATTATTTTACAAGGTGTAGTTCTAGGTTGAAGTATTGTATTACTATAGATTGAAGTTTTTTTGTTTTTTTTTTTTTCCTTCAGCACATTGACTGGTTTCATCCTACTCTGGGCTGAGAAAACCACTGATAGTCTTAAGTGATTTCCTTGTATGCGAATGAGTTCTTTTATCCCTTGATACCTTCACAGTTCTCTTTGTCTTTGACTTTTGGGAATTTGATTGTAATGTGTCTTGGTGAAGATTTCTTAATCTGTTTGACATTCTGTGGGCTTCATGGATATGGATATTCACTTTATATATATATATATGTTTCACCTTATATATATATATGTGTATATATATATAAATTATTGGCTCAATTAATGGTATTGCAAGGGTCCTTTAGGCGCTTTCCATTTTTCATTATTTTTTCTTTTTGTTCCTCTGTCTGGATAATTTAAAATGACCTCTGTTTTTATTTATTTTTAAATTTTAATTAAAAACTATTTGAAAGCTGTGGATGGGAGGAAGCAGATGAGGCAGACAGAGATCTCCTATATGCTGGTTCACTTTCCAAATGCTCACATCAGCTGGGATTGGCCAGCTGAAGCCAGGAGCCAAGAAGTCAATGGGGTCTCCTATGTAGATGGCAGAGATTCCGCTATTTAAGCCATCACCTGCTGCTAGGGTGTGTATTGTTACAAGGAAACTGGAATTGAGAGTGGAGCTGGGACTCGAACCCAGGCCCTCTGGAATGTAGGCATCCCAAGTCGCTTCCTAACTGCTATGCCAAACACCTGCCCCAAATGTCCCATTTTTGAGTTCACTGATTCTTTATTTTGCCTGATACTCGTATACTTTGCTGTGAAAAGTCTCTGTAGAGTTTTTCCTTTCAGTTGTGATTTTCTGTTCTAGAATTGGTTTGGTGCTCTTTTTATAGTTTCCTATCTCCTTTTTCATGCATTGTTTTCCTGATTTCATTTAGTTGTTTCTCAATGTTCTGTTGTAGCTTACTGAGATTATTTAATATGATTATTTTAAATTCTTTGTCAGACAGTTTGTAGATCTCCAGTTCCTTAAGATTTGTTACTGTTGCTTTGTTCCTTTGGTGATGTTATGTTTCCCTGATTAATTTGTTATCTATGTGGCCTTGCATTGGTGTCTATACTCTTGAAGTAGGCACCATTCCCAGTCTTTATAGACTGGTTTCAACAGGGAAAACCCTTCTTCATTCACATCCAGAGATTTTAGGAAACAGGCCTTCTGGTGGGGTCTGTGTATGGACTTACTGCTGGAGTCCTTGGGTGGACTGCCCTGGTGTCATCATCCACAGTTGAGTGTGGAGCCTGGGTCCATTGGAGTGGGCCTGCAATGTTGACTTACAGGATGGGCCTGGATCCCTTGTACTGGGACCATCAGAACCTATTAGTGGCCGGTGCCGCGGCTCAATAGCCTAATCCTCCTCCTAGCGGTGCCGGCACACCGGGTTCTAGTCCCGATCGGGGCACCGGATTCTGTCCCGGTTGCCCCTCTTCCAGGCCAGCTCTCTGCTGTGGCCAGGGAGTGCAGTGGAGGATGGCCCAAAGTGCTTGGGCCCTGTACCCCATGGGAGACCAGGAGAAGCACCTGGCTCCTGCCTCGGATCAGCGCGATGCACCAGCCACAGCGCGCCGGTGGCAGCGGCCATTGGAGGGTGAACCAACGGCAAAGAAAGACCCTATTAGTGTGGTTCTCTTCACTTGGTCCATGGGGTGATGCTAGAGCTAAGCCTGTGGGGCAAACCCAGAGCTTGTATCTGAGGAACTGGCCTGAAGCTTGCACAGTGCTGACTGGGTGCTTGGGCAGGCCTTGCACCAAGTCTGTGGATACCTGCTTATTACTAGATTGGGCTTAGTTCCTGAGTCCATAGGGGCTGGCCTAATGCCAGGATCCACTGGAGTAGCCCTAGAGCCTTTGTCTGTGGGAGTGAGCCTGGGTTCCTGGTCTTTAGGGACTTACCTGGAAGCTGAATCATCAGGAACAGTCTCACAGCCTGGGCTGGCATGGCCAGCCAGATACAGGGGTCTACCGTGCTGATTCTGGACCCTGGGTCCAACTGTGTCTGGGTTTTCCATAGCTTGATGAGGAGCCTATGTCTGTGGAAGGGCCTAGAACCTGCGTTCCCCTGGGATAGACCTATGCCAAGGTCTGTGACGAGTTAGGTGCTTGCTTCACCTTCCTCCTCCTACCTGGAAGATGTTCTGCATTGTGCTTCCTAGTTTGGAGAAAGAGTTGACAAGGTACTGTGAAAATGTTCCTTCTAACCTCTTCAGTGTATTTTTTTGTCTGTGCTATACCTAAGTGGTGTAATCTCTCATCTGACTTCCTTATTTCTTGTGAAAGTATTTTCATGCATGGGTAGCTATTAAAATTGATATTTTTTATAGAGTACAAGCACTGAAATGTCCTGTTCCACCATCTTGCTAACATCAGTCTGTTGCGTGATTCTGAAAGCGAACTATGGTGGTATTTTTGATGGTTATTATTTTGATTTCTTTGGCAGTTTCTTCAAAAACTGAACTCTTCTCACTTAAATATTACAGATACTCACTTTTCCCCATGCTTGACCTAAATAATTGCAATATTTAGTTTAGAGAAAATATTGAGTACTCTGTTTTATTGGAGATTATGTTGATTCTGACTTCCTGGGTTTTGAGTATTTGACATGGTCTGCATCAGTCATCTAGTTACTAATACAGTCCTGTTGTACAGCAGTCAAGTGCACAATCTTATTCTTGAGTTAATTTCTCTTGCATGTGTGGATTTTCTGGGTGGCTCTATTTTAGGCTGTACATCTCTAGATCATCTTTGGTGACTGTAATCCATTTGTCTCGTTCTGGGACCCTGCCCAGGTTATGTTCCTGTTGTGAGGATGGTAGAAGCAGAGAGCAACGCTGGCTGTGTAGCACATTTCAACTTTGTGTTATGTTTGCTAACATACTTTGGCAAAGCAAGTGATGTGACTGATTATGGGAGCCACTTTTGGGAGGTTCTCAGTGTATTTCTGTTCCTTGGGTTCCCTCTACTCCCAAGGGAAATATCAGCCTGCTCTTGTTGGGAGGACCAGAGACTGCAGGTTATTTACGAAATAATAAAAAACTTCTCCAGAGTAACTACAGGAATTGGAAATGTGATAATTTTGGAGAGAGATATTTTGAATGGTTTTCCACTTTCCTTTCTTTAGATAAGATTTATTGACAAAGTGAAGTATTTTTATTAGCATGATTTTCTTTCAAAATCAATATTGTTTGACTGTAGATGTCTTTGCATTTATGGCTAATATGTAATTTTTGTTTTCTTTTAGAAGCTTGAGTTTTATTCTAATTCAGGTTAGTTTGATTTTGATTAGTTGATATTGACTTTAGGTTTAATACAAAAACTAGGTAAAAAAAGGATAAAAATATTGTTATGGTTTAATTTTACATTTTAAACCTTTGAAGAGTAGACATGTTTTCTACTATTTCAGTTCCTGTCCATAATGACTTGTCAATTAAATTATGAATTATATACAGAATTAGATTTGAACAAACCATTGGATTTAAAAGACTATCATATAGATCGTTCACTTAATCTCAGTACTATGTCCTGAAGGACAGAGGGTGTATCCTTGAATTTTTGTGGGCATGTAAGAGGGATAACAATAGTTTATGTTTTGGGGAGTTTGCAAGATCTAATAGGCTTTAAATGAGTGTTGTAAATGAGTAAGTGCCCACCCATCTTTAGTGTTGGCTAAAAAAAAAGTAAATGTCTTAGGAGATAACAGTTTTTTCTGTTGTGATATTATTAGTATTTATGTGAACAAAGTGTTATAACACTGTTCAGTTGCTTTAGATGCTTGAAGGTAATTGAGTATGTGAAGTTACTTGATAGTAACTTTGCAATGTGATCCTTAGGTTATAAAGTAAACGTTTATTTATCCTGATAGTTTGGAAGTACTTATGAACCTGGTTTGATCTGTACCTTTTTCCTTCTTCTTTAGCCCCCTTCCTGTGTCATCCTAATCTATGGATACGCTATGGTGCTGTGGGATTTATCACAGTGGTAGCCCATCAAATAAGCACAGCTGATGTCTACTGTAAACTGATGCCTTATCTTGGTCCATACATTACCCAACCAATAATACAGGTATACATGTTCCAACTTAGAGTCAGTCCTCCTTCCCAAGTGTGCCTCTTTTAAAAATATTTTAGAATTTTATGTTTTTAAAAACTTTTAAAGATTTAAATTGACTCCTAGCAGTTTTATACTCCTTTCCAACTAGTTAATGAGAATGAACCAAGCACCCTTGAAGCTGATAAAAAAAAGAATATTGTGTTGTACTTCATTATACACAATATAGCATGTGGTAGTAGTTTATGCTTTATTTTGTGTAATACTGTAAAGCATCAGATGTTAAAGTGAAATAATCTAGTAGAAACATATATTGATGGAAGTCTGCTTTTATTGTAAAGTAAAATTAATTTCTACCAGGGTCTACATTTATAAAAGATGTTTGTGGTTTTTTTGACTACTAACTGGTTCTGGTTCCGTTTCTTATTCTAGTCCCCTTCCTCTCTCCCAAATGTCCTGTCTCTTCCACTTCAAGCAGTAATAGCACTGGATAAACTTAGGGTCTTTGGTTCATTCAAGGCAAATTTTATTTACTCAGCTTGTCAGTATTTGTATCCTTTATCTTGCTGGATACACAAATACCAATATAAAATATATAAATGGAGTGTTGAAAAGTGATTCTGGCTGTTAAAACATCCTGAAATGTCCCAATTTTACTAACATTTTATTTCCCATTTGGAATTTGCATGCTTCTCTTGGCTTCTCCTACTTTTATTACTCAGTGTACCTTCTCTTCAGTTGGAGAAAAGGATCTTAGATATACTCTGAAAATTAGGAAGTTTTGATTGTGTCTTCATTTCTTACTTTCCTCATAGATTGATCCACTTTCTGGGAATTGTCATTCTTTCTTTTGTGGAGTTTATATAATTCACATATTTTTAGCCTGAGAAGTTATTTATATATACATGAAAGATGGGTAATACTACCAGAGAGTATACCTTTATTTTTTTAAGTTTATTTATGCTTCTTTAGAAATCAGGTGTAGAAATGCCCGGTTTTTGACTAATAATTCTATTTAGAAGTTAATTAAATTTTTGTTTTTATCATTGTTCTATACTTTTAAAGGCCAGAATCAGGAGTTGAGAGGATAATTATCCATTTGCTTTGCAGATTTAACCTTTCTGCAGTTTGGATTAGACAAAAGATAACTTTTTATGATCGTTTGTACTTTGTAACTCACCAGGTTGTTAAAAATATGTTACTATTATAGTAATGTGCTCCTTTTTATTGTGTATGCATTGACAAAGTATCCTGGGGGACAATTAAGGAAAGATTTTTTTTTGTTTTTACAGGCAGAGTTAGAGGGAGAGAGACAGAGAGAAAGGTCTTCCTTTTTTTTTTTTCCATTGGTTCACCCCCTAAATGGCCGCTACAGCTGCCACGCTGCACCGATCCGAAGCCAGGAGCAAGGAGCTTCCTCCTGGTCTCCCATGTGGGTGCAGGGCCCAAGCACTTGGGCCATCCTCCACTGCCTTCCCCGGCCACAGCAGAGAGCTGGACTGAAAGAGGAGCAACCGGGACAGAATCCGGTGCCCCAACCGGGACTAGAACCCAGGGTGCCACCCAGGGTGCCGATGCCGCAGGTGGAGGATTAGCCTAGTGAGCCACAGTGCTGGCCAATTAAGAAAAGATTTTACCAACTCTGTGGAGAGTACTGTTTTTAGATGCAGTTGACTCTATTTGGGAAGATGTCATGGCTGAAGGGGAGACCTGTGATATGAATATCCTTTCTGGTTCAGTACCTACTGGCTGCTAGGCCTGTAACCAAAGATGTTTGTTAGATCTAGAAAACCTTCTGACATATTGGGATCTAGAAAAGGCTCTTTTTCATTTTCTAAAATTTTCTGGCATGTGTTTTTATTATTAGTCTTCATTATGCTAGAAACAGATGTGTATTCTCGTGCTAACAATGAAAAATAAAAAATACCTCATTTAAAATTTTTTCTTCTGAAAAATTTTAGATGATATATCTCATTTCCTTAGAAAGTGTTTATGTTAAGTTTTCACAGGATGGTTATAGTTAACTTGCAAATAACTGTACTAGAATGTATTTTTGGCTGATACTTTTTATTTTTCTAATATAGATTGAAAGAAAACTTGTTCTGCTCAGTGTCTTAAAAGAGCCAGTAAGCCGTTCTATATTTGATTATGCGTTGAGGTCTAAAGATATTACTAGCTTGTTCAGACATCTTCACATGCGTCAGAAGAAACGAAATGGGTCTCTTCCTGACTGCCCTCCGCCAGAGGATCCTGCCATCGCACAGCTTCTAAAGAAACTTCTATCACAGGTCATACTGCTTTTCTGAAATCTTATATTTAAATGCAGATTTCATAAAAATAATGAAGCATCCATTTAGTTATTAAATTTTTTTGAATTTTTATTTGCTTTGTTTGTTTGAAAGGCAAAGAGACAGAGATATAGAGATCTCTCATCTGCTGGTTCACGTCCTAGTTGGCCAGCAACAGCCAGAGCTGGGCCAATCCTAAGCAGGGACCAAGAACTCAATCCAGGCCTCCCACAAGGGTGGTAGGAACCCAAGTATTTGAGCTGTTTCCTGCTGCCTTCCATGGTGTGCATTAGTAGGAAGCTAGAATTAGGAGTAGAGCAAGGAGTTGAACCCAGACATGCTAATATAGGATGTGGTCTTCCCAAGCAGCATCTTAACCCAGTAGGCAAAATGCCTTAAAAATATTTTTATTGAATAGGTTTTATCATAACAAAAAATTGGACAAACATCACATCTTTGCTTAAATCCCAAAGCAAATTCATATTAGAATATGATGAGGCCTTGTGTTGAGCTAAGTAAGAAGTTAGATAAAATGTATTAAGTTTCTTTTGTGATTACTGGCTAAATAAACGAGCGTAACAGTGTACAAATAGCCTTAGATTTAAATAATGATTCAATTATATATTTCATTAAAAATATAATGAAATTTATGTAGCAGAAATGTTGCAAAAATATAGATGCAGCATAGGAGAACCCTTGTTCATTTCAGTCCACGTTGAGAATTCTCACTGCATGTGAGGCGCTGAAATAGCTTACATTTATAATGCATCTTAGATGGAATAGGCAAGCATTTTACTGCTGTATCTTAAAAGGCTGTGAATTTGGATCAATTAATAAGCCGTGTTAGAAGTATGAATCTTCCTATTGCACTTTACCTTGGTAAGACCTCTCTAGAAATACTAAACTGCTGAGATTCAGCCTGCTGCTTTATAAGGGACATGTAGAGAAATCCAGATAGGAATAAAAATGGCTAGAAATACATAATACGATTGCAGAATATGTGCTCCATGAGCAAATACTGAGGGACAAGTTCAATGATTGTATTTAATTCTGCACAATGTTTTGTAAAGAGAATGCTTTTCAGACATCGCTTGCCTAAAAAGAAAAGATGAGAAGATGCATTCAGTGCGGGAGAGAGAATTTTATCAGTTTTGCGATGTCAATCTTTTCATGTATTGTGCTTGTCACTGAGTACCCAGGGCTGTGTGATGCCCGGACTTGGTTTGGGGATTGAACACTGGAATAGGCTCCCGTGGGAAACTGGTCAATAACCATTTTGGGTTTTTTAGATCTAAGTTTGCCTGGAGGCTGAGGCTGTTTCTAATCTGTCTTCAAGGACAATGGTTCTGTTTCCTATATTCTCCAGGACTTCTTTGATGTGACTTGAATTTCCAAAGAGCATTTTCTTTTGGGTTTTCTTTTAACCTTGTCTTATGCATTAGATGTATTTTATGTTTTAGAAGGCAACTTATAGGAAATTGGATTGTGAATCACATTTTTCTGTTGTTTCTCTTGAGTCAGTAATCATTACAAGAAGGATCTTAATGGCCACAAAATTCATACCAGCCTAAATGTCTCTTCAGGCTTGGATTTGTGATATGTGTATATCACAAATATACATATATATGCACACACACACATACATATACACTTTTTTGTGACATATATATATACACACACACATATACATTTTTTTTTTTGCCCTGCCAATCCATAAATCAAATTAAAAGCCTGTATCCTGAGGATTGCTTTTTATTTTAAGTTATGGAGCTAACCTAGCCCTAAGTTCTTTCTTTTCCTCTTGTCAAGGTGCAGCTATTGCTATTTCCATGGTAAAAGGAGGGAATGGGAGGAGTGCTTCCCATAGCTCTTTTGCTGTCTGCTTCTTGCTGTTCTTCTCCCAAGTGCTTTTACCATGCTGCACTCACTGTGCCATGATAAAAATCACCAAAACACAAACTCATGTTGCTGTGCAATTTTGGTGCTTGGTTTATTCCTTTGTCTTTATTTATCCTTTCATTTGTCTGCTTGGAAAACAGGAACAAATTGTCCTTTGTGTTATTCCTGATGAGGAAACGTACAGCAAATTTTGCAAACTGTTAGGGTTCGGAGATGATACACTGTTCTAGGGACAGGTGCTGCTTGTAGAAGGGAGAGCAAGCCAGAACATTTGTGGACTTCAGAAGAAGCAGTAGCAGAAAAACACCAACTTCAGTTTTTTGATATACAATGAGTTTAATGTTCAGTCAATGACCTGAGACCCCTCCGCTGTAACTCTCTAAAGTTCTCACCTCTCTGCATATCCTTCTTCATTTCTCTGCTCTGCAAGTTCAGCCTTTGTGGTTTTCTTGAACTCTGATTAGTGCCGTGAATTCAGCCTGTTGTACTCTGCTTACGTTCCTTCTCTTTGTGCCAGGACCTGGGAACTGTAGGCTGGGACAGTCGTAGGACTCATCTTCATCTTAGGAATCCTAGCCATGTGCCGACTGTTTTTTCGTCTCTGGAAAGTATTTCATGTTTTTTTGACCAGTTTTAAATTTGCTTATTTACTTATTTGTACAGTTTTATTTATTTGAAAGACAGGGAGACTGAGAGAGACAGAAAAAAAGAAAGCTGCTTCACTCTCCAAATGCCTGTAACAACTGGGACTGATCGAGGCGAGAGCCAGGAGCCAAAAACTCAATCCTGGTTTTCCACGAGAGTAGCAGGGACCCAGCCACCTGAGGCATCACTTGCTGCCTCCTGTGGTGCTTTTTGGCAGGAAGCTGGAATTGGGAGCAGAGCTGGGGCTCAAACCCAGGCACTAATATGTGATACAGACAATGTAACTGCTAGCTCACTGCCTTCCCCTTGAAGTTGTTTAAAGGGGGAAAGTTAAACCTGGTCCCTGTTTCTCCATCATGACCAGAAACAGATTGATTTGATACAAGTGGTGCAATTTCTTAGTCTTGATCTCTGGTAGAATAAATATAGCTTATTTTTTTCTTTTTCAAGTTTTTTCTTACCTCTCCTTGATCCTTTACACTCCCATAGGATTGTTTTTTCAAATCAGCTTGTCATTTTATACCAAAAAATGTGTTGGCTGTGTTGGTTGAGATTGTTTTGAACCTGTAAGAGAGGATTGATGTCTTTACAATATTGATTCTTACAGTTATAAACATGGTATATGTTTACATTTTATTGATTTTTCTTTAATTTACCTCAGTAATATTTTATGGTTTACTTTATGGAATTCTATACATCTTTTATTATAAATATTTTGGGTGTTTGTTTTTTTTTGAAGAGTTATTCATTTGTTTGAAAGGAAGAGTTACAGGGAACGAGAAAGATCTGTCATCCACTGGTTCACTCCCCAGGTGGCCATGATGGCCAGGGCTGGGTCAGGCTAAAGCCAGGAGCCAAGAGCTTTATCTTGGTCTCCCTCATGGGTGGCAGGGGCCCAAATATTTGGTCCATCTTCCACAGGTTTCCCAGGTGCATTAATAGCTGGATCGAAGGTGGAGCAACTAAGATTTGAACCAGTGCTCATGGGATTCTGGCATTGGAGCTTGACCCACTTGACCCACAGGGCTGGTCCTAGGTGTTTGATTTTTTACAATGCTGTAGAAATTTGTATATTAAAAATTATTTTCTGTTTGTAGCTGGTGTAAGAAATTCTTTAAATCAGGCCTAGTGCTGTGGCGCAGTGGGCTAAACCTCCACCTGCAGTGCAGAAATGCGATATGGGTGCTGGTTTGGGCACCTGCACCCGCATGGGAGGCCTGGAAGAAGCTCCTGGCTCCTGACTTCAGATCGCCCATCTCTGGCTGTTGGGGCTGTTTGGGAAGTGAACCAGTGGATGGAAGACCTTTCTTTTGTCTCTCTCTGTAACTCCCAAGTAAATAAATAAAATAAATAAAATCTTTAAAAAAATTCTTTAAGTACTTTTTATCCAGAAACCTCACAAAAGTTATTAGTTCTAGTAATTTGTATATTTCTTTTGAATATTGCCAGTTATATCATGTAAGTTGTAACAGTTTTATCTTTTTTCCTAATCTGGATACCTTTTCTCCCTTGGCCAAATATTAGTAGAAAGGATTTTTGCAGTAGGGTTAAAGGAATGGTGGTAGTGGGCATATTTGTTTTTCATCTCAGAGGTAAAACACTCAACATGTTACTATTTAGTGTGATGTTTGCTGTTAGTTGCGTTGTCTAGTCTTATCAGATTGAAGAAATTCCTTTTTTTGGGACATGAAGAAGATTTTTAGGAAATAATGTTAACTTTTTTTTAAAAGGTGCCTTTTCTATATGGGAGATCATTGTATAGTTTTTCTCATGTGGTGAAATACATTGACTGATTCTCATTTTTCCACCTTTTTCTCCTGGATATTTGGAATAAATACAGTCTTGTCCTATTTATCTACAAATGCAATTATTTAATACATAATTAGTATAAAATATGTAACAAATAATTATAAGGCATTTCTACATTGAATTAGGTTTGCTGAAGCTCTTTAGTATTTTTATATTTAAGTTCACGAAGAACATGTGCTGATTTCCTGTACATTTTCTTTCTTACAGTGCTCTTATCTGTGTGTTTTTTTTTTTTTTGGTGATGTATTCCTAATTTTTTTATTGAGTATAATTTGCATACCATAAAATACATTCTTTAAAAAAAATTTGAGAGGCAAAAAGAGAGAGACAGCAGGAAGAGACAGGCAGACAGGGAGCGAGAGTGAGCCAACATACTCCCATTTGGGTTTCATTCCCGGATGCTATAATGGCTGTGGCCCAAAGCTGTGAGCTGCAGCTCATACTGGGTCTCACCTGTGGGTGACAGACAGCTGGAATCAGGAGCCAGAGACACAAGTTGGGTTCAGGCACTCTGATGGGGGGTTACTATCTTCCTTTTTTTTTTTTTTTTCTTTTTTTTGACAGGCAGAGTGGACAGTGAGAGAGAGAGACAGAGAGAAAGGTCTTCCTTTGCCGTTGGTTCACCCTCCAATGGCCGCTGCGGCCGACGCGCTGCAGCCGGCGCACTGTGCTGATCCAATGGCAGGAGCCAGGTACTTATCCTGGTCTTCTATGGGGTGCAGGGTCCAAGGACTTGGGCCATCCTCCACTGCACTCCCTGGCCACAGCAGAGAGCTGGCCTGGAAGAGGGGCAACCGGGACAGAATCCGGCGCCCTGACCGGGACTAGAACCCAGTGTGCCGGCACCGCAAGGTGGAGGATTAGCCTAGTGAGCTGCGGCGCTGGCCTTACTATCCTCCTAACAGGTGTCTTAAACTGCTAGGCCAAGTGCCCATCCCCAAATCATTCTTTCAGAGTATGCAGTTCATTGGTTGTGAGTACATTAATGAAGTTGACAACCATCATTACCATTAAATTCCAGAACATTTTCATCACCCTAAAAAGAACCTTTTTCTTCCTGTTCCCCTAGTGTATGATAGCCACTAATCCACTTTCTGTTTCTGTGGATTTGCTTATTCTGGACATTTTGTGAAAGTGGAGCTGCACAAGCTCTGGCTGTTTGTATCTGGCTTCTTTTCACTGGCCTTAAGGTTTCATGGTTGCAGCATGTACCAGTACTGAGTATCTGTGAGCCTTACTGTACCCCTCTCTTTTGTGGACTAGAACTTGGACTGACAAAAAGAGAAGAACTGTTACTATGGCTGTAAAATACTCTACTTAAGTAAATTTAGTAAGAAAGGTGAAGATAAACCAAGAATCTTGGTTAATATTGGGGAAAATTTAGTCAAGAATCCCTCTGTGATTATCATGCTTTGGTGCGATTTTATGTAATATTTTTTAGCTTTCTGGTTTCCAAGAGTTGTATTGTGTCATACTGCGCCTGTGAATTGTGGATAGTCCTTTAAACTCTAATGAGATTCTACATTGAGGCCTCAGAGGCATTGCCATTTTATTAAATGAATGTTTTTATTCATTTGCATAATAAAGATGTACTAGAGGGTTCTGTGGATGGTTGGAAAGAAGAAAATGTAGAACTGCCACATTTACCAGAATATTTAAGTTGCATTGTGAATTATTTAGATGAATTATTTAGTGTTTATTGTCTGTCAGTTTCAAGTGTTAGTGTCTTAGATTGCATTGACACATTAGAATTTCACTTAAAGGTGAGTGTTAATAATTATCTTCATTTTCTAGATAAATACATAGAGGTATAGAAAAATTGGATAACTTGCCCAAGATCACACATGGGGCTGGAATTTGAACCTAGGCAGTCTAACACTAGCCATTATCCTGGAGTCAGGATATGCTACTTGGTGTGTTGCTTACTTTGCAGTTCAGCCAGTGTTCCTGTCAGCTTCCGAGTTGTGCAGAACATTTTAAAGATCACAGAATACCTGTACATACAGTCTCTAATATTCTGAACACAACTGGGAGCAAGGTTGATATTTGTATACTCCCACTTGCTTAATATTGTATGTTCAGATGTTTTGTTTAGATACTAAATGTTTATTCATTATATATTAAAGATACTAAATTTCAGCTATTATGTTAAGTTCTTTGCACATTTAAAAGATGATTTATATTTGAATGCTGCCATTTAGGAAGAAAGATAAAAATCAAGATACAAAGTAGAAAGTGCCCCCAGTAGAATGTGCTGGTAGATTTGGGTAGTGACATGTTGTTCTGTGTTGGTACTTGTTTTTTCTTTTGCGTTGCTTGCATCATTTTCCCATTCTGACTCTGAATTTTATATTGGATGGGGTGACTCTTCAATCGATCACTCTGGTCTGTCTTATGAAAATAACTTAAAACATGTGGATTATTTTGGTTTTAGGGAATGACAGAAGAAGAGGAAGACAAACTTCTGGCACTGAAGGACTTTATGATGAAATCTAACAAGGCCAAGGCCAATCTAGTGGACCAGAGCCATCTTCACGATAGTAGTCAGAAAGGTGTAATTGACTTAGCAGCCTTAGGAATAACTGGGAGACAAGTTGATCTTGTTAAAGCCAAACAAGAACCAGATGACAAGCGAGGTTAGTACATTTGTTTTTGTGTATTCAGCTTGTAATTATTAACATTTCTTGTGACTGGTTTTTAGCTGATTAATAATAATAAAATTAAAAATCCCATTTTTCAGATGGAAAATATTCTTAATATAATGACTCCATTACTCAGTAGGGAGATTTTAGAGAAGAAAAGTGGCAAAGTGAACTGACTGTTAACAGACTAGATAAGCTGCCAAAATCCCAGCTCTTTATGTGTCAAAGCAAATTTCTGAGCTCTGTTCTTATAGTAAAAACCATGTTGTCTTTGGAGAAACATGATTGAAGATAAATTGCTTGTTTTTCAACCTGTAACTTCCAACCCAAAGCCAGTAGTCTATATAAATGAGAAAAATACTTCTAATTTGTTGTTACTAGGTAATTCCCTGTGAATTAAAAGAATGGTCTTGATGTAACAGTGAAAGACAAAAGAGTGGCGACTTGAAGCAGTAGCCATTTGAAGTCTCAAGACTTGGATCTGTTAGCTCTCGTGCCTTTGCCATTGATTGTATGAAGTTTGTAAAAAGATCTCATGTATATCCTTTTTGTGGATATATTCATTGCTAAGTACGTGCTAGCATCAAATTTTGAGGGATGCTATTAATTATATTTTAAATAAACTTTTAATGGCCATATTTAATATAAAGATTATAACTTTATTATTTTTTATTAGGATTTATTTATTTATTTGAAAGAGTTACTGAGAGAGAGAGAGGGAGAGACAGAGATCTTCATCCATTGGTTCACTCCCCAAATGGCCACAATTGCTAGGATTGGGCCAGACTGAAGCCAGGAGTCAGGAGCTTCTTCCGGGTCTCCCACATGGGTCCAGGGCCTGGTACTTGGGCCATCTTCTGCTGTTTTTCCCAGGCCATTAGTAGGAGCTGGATTGGCAGTGGAGCAGCCCAGGTGCCTGGGCCACCTTCTGCTTCTTTTCCCAGGCCGTTAGTAGGTGCTGGAGCAGTAGTGGAGCAGCCAGGATTGAAACTGGTGCACATATGGGATGCTGGTGTCACAGATGGTGGCTTTACTCACTATATCACAATACCTGGCCCAGCCCTGGCCATTGCGGCCATTTAGGGAGTGAACCAGCTGATGGAAGATCTCTCTCTCTGTGTCTCTGTCTCTTCCTTTTTCTCTGTAAATCTGACTTTCAAATAAATAAATAAATAAATAAATAAATGTAAAAAACAATGAGATGCCATTTGCTTCCTATGAGATTAGCATAGGTCTACGACCATACCACCCTGAACGCGCCCGATCTCATCTGATCTCGGAAGCTAAGCAGGGTTGGGCCTGGTTAGTACTTGGATGGGAGATTAGCATAGACTAAGGCAAGGATGTGGAGTAGTAGGCATTTTCGTGCACTATTGGTGAGATTATAAATTGATCATATTCTTTATAGAAGGCAGTTTGACATTATATTTGACATTATATTTGACACTGTAATTTAAAATTGTCTTTACTGTTTGGTTTAACTGTTCAGTCCTGGAAATTTATCATAAGCAAACACTGATAGGCAATTGAAAAAATATGTATAAATGTATGAGTGAGTGTTCTAAAAACAAAAAAGGTATTTAAATGTTCATTAGTTTAAATGTTTGTTTAAATGTTTGAGGTTAGTTATGGGGAAAAGTAAGTTATAAGACACTGTATATTGTTTTTGCAAAATAATGTGACAGTATGTCATCAGATTATGAGGTTTACAAAATTGGAGAACTGTCCATCAGCCTATTGGAATTATGGTAACAGTTCATGTTTTACTTTGGTAACGCTAGGACTTGGTGTTACTTAAACACATTTTGTAATCAAAGTTAAGGTTTCTTATCTGTAGTCAAGAGGTAGCTATGTAGCAGTTGGTTTTTCCTGTGTATTTATGTACGTATGGATGTATCTTTGTATTGCCTGCATATCTGTCCTGGAAATAGATAATATTTAGCAGTGTGGTCAATGACATTTGAAAAAGTTATTTTTATTGTTGGTTCTTCAGTTACTTGAAATTGAGCTAGCCTTGGGAAAGTAGGAGTCAAGTCTAATGAGTAACACCATTGAAAGCACATCTGTTTCGTCTGCCCTAGAAATGAAGTGAGAATTAGTGAGTTGATACATAGATATGAATGGGTTAGAGCTCCTCAGGAACAAATAGGATGTGAAGTCCATTGCTGCCTCCATCCCATCAAGCAGTAAAAGCATATGTGCATACTGATTTAAAAATCTACCTTGAGACTGACCATTTTGAATATTTTTTCATAGCTAGAAAACATGTAAAACAAGACTCAAATGTAAATGAAGAATGGAAAAGCATGTTTGGGTCACTGGAACCACCGACAATCTCACAGGCACTGCCTAAGGCGAGTGACCAGGAGGTGATTCAGGCTGGGAAGCCTCCACGTTCTGAGTCCTCTGCTGGCCTTTGTGTCCCTTTGTCTACTTCTCCACAGGTACTACCACCCAGGCAGCAGTCCTTCTCATGTCTTTGAATCCCATTCTGCTGTTTTGGTTGTTTAAGACTGTGTACTGTACTAGAGAAATCAACATGATGACTTCCTTTGCGGAGGACATATTTCTTTTTAAGACAGATTTATCTTAAATTTTATAGCTGGGAGAAATCTGGTTACCAGTAATTTCATTCTGGAGTACTTGCCAATAAAAATATAAAATTGTGGGTTGAAAACATGATTATGAACTGCGATTACAGTTAGGCTGCAGTGAACCTTTTAAATCTTTTTTGTTCCTCCTCTAAGATAACATAGTTGTGTCTGTAAAACAGCAGAAATACTTCTGGGAAAACGTCTCAAGTTTGCTGTGTTTGTGATAAACGTCATGATGATTTTGATGTATTTGAAATAAGTTGCCAACTTAAGGCAAGTCTTTCCTGGTCAACCATATTTTATAAAGTAGAGAGATTTGGAAATGCAGTGTTTGTGATTAAACTTCCTTTTAACTAAATTTTCACTGGAAAAATGTCATTTTGTTATGTGGATTTTAAATTTGGTATATTAATAAGGACAAAAAGCTGGATAGAACATACGGATTTTTTATCTTTTTAATCTTCATATATATGTTTCTTATAAATACCTATAATTCTATTTGTGTTACAGATTGCAGAAGTGACAAATGTCCAGAATAAAAAACCAGTAATACAGGTTTTAAGTAGTACAATTTTGCCATCTACCTATCAGATTCGGATCACAACGTGTAAAACTGAGCTTCAGCAGCTCATACAGCAGAAGCGGGAGCAGTGCAATGCTGAGAGGATAGCGAAGCAGATGATGGAAAATGCCGAGTGGGAGAGCAAACCCCCCCCACCTGGTGAGAGCTCCGCTGAGGGACAGTGGTGTTCTGGCCTCGCTGCCGAGCCTGGGATCTAATGGAGGGAACATGCACTTACCTCCTAGACGAAAGAATTGAGGGTAAAACTGTCACCTAGGAGGCCCAGGGAAGAAGGAAAAAGTGAGAAATCTTGTTATTTGTGGAGTTTGAATCATTTTAGCTCTAGGGACAATTTGCACTGTCCTGCTTAGTTGAGTCACTGAATAATTTAGCTTGTCTGTGCTTTTTCTCCATTTGTGTACTAGGTTATATCTCCTTATTGTTATTCCACTTCCTCATTGAATGCCAGCTCCTTGGAATAAACTCCTTTAGATATCTAGACAGTTTGACATACATCTTTTAATATTCTCTAAGAGAAAGAAAGTTTAGAAAATAATGGCTGCTTTTAAAAAGAAAACAAAATCATCTATAACCCCACCACTGTAGAAAGTATCAATGTAAAATTTTGTTTATTTTTAAAGATTGATTATTTGAAAGGCAGGGGTACAGAGAGGCAGAGGCAGAGAGAGAGAAAGAGAAAGAGGAAGAGGTCTTCCATCCACTGGTTCACTCCCCAGATGACTGCAACAGCCAGAACTGGATTGATCTGAAGCCAGGAGCCAGGAGCTTCTTCCAGGTCTCCAATGTGTGTGCAGGGGCCTGAAGACTTGGGCCATCCTCTTCTGCTTTCCCAGGCTGTAGCAGAGAGCTGGATCAGAAGTGGAGCAGCCAGGACTCGAACTGGCGCCCATATGGGATGTCAGCACCGCAGGCGGCAGTTTTTACCTGCTATGCACTGGCGCTGGTCCCCAGTATAAAATCTTGAAGAGGGGCTGGTGCTGTGATGGAGCAGGTAAAGCCACTGCCTGCAGGACCAGCATCCCATATGGGTGCTGGTTTGCTTCCAGGCTGTTCCACTTCCAATACGCTCCATGCTAATGCACCTGGGGAAGAATGTAAGCTGGCCTAAGTCCTTGGATCCCTGAACCCGTGTGGGAGACCCAGATGAAGCTCCTGGCTCCTGGCTTCATTCTGGCTCTGGCCCAGTCCTGACTGCTGCAGCCATTTGAGGGAAGGAAGATCAATCTCTCTCTTTCTCTCTCTCTCTGCCTCTCCTCTGTAACTCTTCCAAAAAACGATAAAAAAAAAAAAAAAAAAATTGGAGAAACAATCCTTTGTTCTGAGAAGATTATAGAGAAATTTAGAGATACTTCAGATGAAAATTTTGTTTCCCTGTTAACAGCTTTGCTGAGTGTTGTGGCAGAGCTAGTCATTGATACCAGGTTTATAGTTTTTAAAAAGATGTTTAATTAAGTTTATATATTTAAATTTTGGTAATAAAACTAATTTGAAAGCTCTCTAAGAAGAAATGTGTAATGTGCTTTTAAAAATATAAAACTTGAAAAGCACATGAATTCCCATGGGCCTTTGAATGTGGCCATGGGAAAGTGCTAGTGGAGGTAATTGATTTAAAGATGCTAAGTGATGGACGGGATTTCTAGTCACAGAAGTGTTCTCATGAAAATAAATATCCTGGAATGTGTAAGATGTCTGTAATATGTCAATATTATTTGCCAGTCCTGCTTTAAAAAACAGAAAAAAAGTTGACAAACTCTCCACTTTATTTTATGATAGACTCTGTGTTTGTAAGTGACATTTTATACTGAAGTGAAGTTATACATTTTATTCAGTAATCATAGTAAACGTATCAAATTTTGTGATTCAAGAAATGTACAGGGGCTGTTGGGCTCTTGATTTTTTTTTATTTTCACACTTGAGTTGTGTGAAATTGATTCTAGAGGAAAATGTTTAACCCTCTCTTCTAGGTTATCTAGACTTCATGACAAAGTATTGTTGATCACGTTGAAATCCAGCATATCCTCCTTTAAAATCACATCCAGCTATTGTTCATACAATGTGAGCTAGAGACTGAAAGGGAGACATTTTGTTTTTTATCTTAGAGTAAGCCAGACTTGGCAGTGGTCTTGGTTTTACTTTGTTGTTGTTGTTAAAAGAAGTATTTTCTAAAATGACATCACACAGTTAGGCACAATGCTGATACCCAGTACAGCATGATCTTCAGCATAACTTTCTGTTTTATTTTAAAATAGAATATTATTAAATACTACGAATGTTATACTTAAAATCAAAGGTTATTCATTAGACATAGGAAATAGTTATAGCAAGACCTATGCTAGGTACTGCAAATGATTTAGGGGAGGGTAAGACATGGTTTCTGGCCTTGGGGAATTCATTAGAGAAAATTAATCATACACAAAAGAATGTATATAACATAGAAGGTTATAGATGTCATAAAGTACTAGAAAGTCCATGAATGTTCTGTAGCTGTTACTTGTTTATTTAGATTTATTTGAAAGCCAAGAGTGACAGAGAGAGGAAGGGAGGGGGTGAGGGAGAGGGAGGGAGGGAAGGAGATCTTCTGTCCTCTAGTTCACTGCCCAAATGACTGTAACAGCTAGGTCAGGGCCAATCTTAAGCCGGGAGCAAGGAACTCTGTGTCTCCCATGTCTGTGGTAGGGGCCCAAGCACTCAGACCATTTTCTGCTATCTTCCCAGGAACATTAGCAGGGAGGTGAATCAGAAGCAGAATAGGTACTCCAGTATGGGATACAGGATTGCAAGCAGTACCTTAACCCACTGTACCACAACTCCTGCAGGCTGTAATTTATAATACAACTTATATTAACATGATAAATTAGATAATTGTAGATAGAGAGGGAATCAAGCAATATTTTTTTTAGTGTAGGCAAGGGGATAACATTAACCTCTTTTATACCTGATGTTTGTATAGTTTAGATTAAGTTGTATGCTTCTCATTTGCATTTGAGGAAATGAAAGCTCACAGTTTACATAAGTCACCCCAGGTGACATATTTCTGGTATGGTAGAGCTGTGTCTTTGAGACTTTTGTGTGCAGGCGGCCTCCCTCATACCAGTTTCTCTAGGCTAAGGCAATCATTACCTCTTTCTGTGAAGTGTCAATGGTCAAGATTTTCAGGGATAGCAGGTGACTGCTATGCCTTCTCAGATACTGGAGAAGGACTCCAGGTAGTCTTTCTAACATTATTTGAGAAATACTTAATTGCTGTCTTGAAGTTTTACTCAGTAAATATCTGTCATGGTCCAGTATGACCACTGTGTATTGGCTAGCTATTGGTACCTTTTTAATTGTTTAGTTGGTATGATTGTTCTCAAGGTATTTCTTGGTGATGTAGCTGGGGTTATGGAAGAGATTGTATTTGTAGATTACAGTTTAAGATAAGCTCCTTCGCTTTTCCTTAGGGTGGCGTCCTAAAGGGCTACTGGTTGCACATCTTCATGAACACAAATCTGCTGTGAATCGAATTAGAGTCTCTGATGAACACTCACTCTTTGCAACATGTTCAAATGATGGCACAGTGAAAATCTGGAATAGTCAGAAGATGGAGGGGAAGACCACCACTACAAGGTAATGTGTTCAGGAATGGGCTAGGTCATTCATTTGAATCAGCACATAGTTAATTGGGTGTTTACTCTTTGACGAGCACTGTTTTAGGTGCCAATGATACAACAGTAATAAATGGACAAAAGCCTCTTCTTTGGAGCTTACCTTCTGTGAAAAGTGAGAACCAAAGGTATGAATAGTAAAACATACACTTGTGTTAGATGGCAAAATAATGTTGTGGGGAAACATACAGCAGGAGAGAGGAAGAGGGAATGCAGTGAGAGTAGGATAGGGTACGACTTAAAGTAAATGCCTCAGAGAAGATGACATTCGAAGACAGTTCTAACAAAAAGCCATGTGGATGTGTTGTGGAAGAGCATTCTGGAGGAGGAAACAGGAAACTCAGAAGCCCTTAGGTACGTTTGAGAAACAGCAGAGTTGTGTGGCTGGAATGGAGGAGGCAGGAGGCAGGAAGGGGAGCGAGGTTAGAGAAGGCCTTGCAGTAATTGTAAAGGATCTTGACTTGGACTCTGAGTGAGATAGGGGCCCCGGGGGACCCCAAGCAGAAGAGAGTCATGACCTAGGTAGATGTCGACAGAATTGTTTTGTCTGTGTGTGGAAGGTAGACTGAGAAGGAGCAAGCCCGAAACGGTAGCAGAGACATGATAGCATAAGCCTGGGTGGTAGTAGAGGAGGTAGCAAGAAATGATGAGATTCTGAGTACACTTTGATTGTAGAGCAATAAGCTTTGCTGAGTGGCTTAGATGGAGTATGAGCAAGGGAAAAATAAAAAACACTGAAGGGCCAACTGTCTTAAGGAAAACAAATACTATTTCATTATCATTATTTCACTGATGTGGACTAATAGATAGTAGTGATAACCTCGTGACTCTGTCTTTTGTTCAGGTCTATTCTCACATACAGCCGAAGTGGAGGTCGAGTGAAGACACTCACATTCTGCCAGGGCTCCCACTACTTAGCTGTGGCGTCGGATAATGGTGCTGTCCAGCTTCTTGGAATTGAGGCTTCTAAGCTCCCCAAGTCTCCTAAGATCCATCCTCTACAAAACAGGTATCTGTATCTCGTCGTCTTTTATAGTTTGTGCTTTGTGCACTAAGGGAAGTTGGCTTTCCCGGATCCCTACACTGTAGTTTGGACCAACTGAGGGCCTCTAATGTTGTGCGTTTTTGGTTTTGGAAACCCAGAAAGTAAGTAAAACTGTGCGTCCAATGTAAAAGTAGCACATGTGATTAGTTTAATAAGACAGTATCTATATATCTTGTTTTCAGCAAATTTGTCTAAACGTCTGAAGAGCAGCTTTGAACATGTGGTTTGTCCCAGTCTGGAATCTGAATAACCTAATTATTAGTTGTATATTCTATCTCCCCTATTAAAAGTACGACTTAATCACTGATGTTCTTCATTTAAGAACACTTAAAATGTTAGCATTCTGTCACTTGGCATTAAAACTGTCAGTGTTGATGGGAATGTAGAGTAGAGCTGATTTGCTGATCATTTTAAAACCAAATTCTCAGTAGTTTAGTTTTCTTCATTTCTTATAATGGTTGCTTACAGATTAAACACATACAAGGTAAGATGTTTAAAGACAAAGCAGAACAGGTTTTTGATGACATGTTACACCCTGTGGATTCCAAAGACAACTAGAATAAGTTTTGTTCCGTAAGAATCTGCAGTCCAGTGTCAGAAATACACAGGTGAACAGTTTTCAGCGCAGAGTGGTAATGTGCCACATTGGATAGAGAAGATGGCAGGGGGAGTGTTTGTGAGTTAGCCATGGAAACAGAGGTTGGGAAGGCCATGCCAGGCAGAGGAAGTAGCCTCACAGGAAGAAAGCACTGAGGAGACTTTGAGTTTAATGGACCATCACTCCTGGCCACTGGGTAGCTTAAGGCAGAAAGGGATGTTGCCTGGGTCACTAAGGATTTGTTTTTATTTTGTGTTAGCATTTTAAAATACATGGAATTTTCAACCCATTTTCCTCAGTAGATTTGAACAGCATCTTTACCTGCCAGTCTTCTCTGAAATGTATTTTCGCAGAGGGTGGCTGTGTAGGGTTACACCTATTTAGCCCCATGCAGATGAACTACTGGCAGAGTATGCCATGGGATGACTGCCGGCTGGCCATACCCAGAGGTGTGCATTCTGTGCAGTTTTCTCTCAGTAGCAGGACTTGGTGCTGTCAGTGTTACTGTGTTTAAACAGACATTACCGAGATTGGGAGACCATGCCAGGATGCTTAGATTTCATTTGCCTGATCATACTGTGTTCCAGAGAAACCCAGTCGTAAGTCATCTGTTTCATTGCGTCGTATCAGCTATTGGTGTGGCTCTTAATAATTAGGATTTGTGGAAGGAACCATTTATTTGGTGTTTGGATTTTTTATTATCCCACTGAAGGGAAATAGAGTCAGAATGTTTGTAATGTAATTGTTAGCTAAGATAGAAGTCACAAGCTACGCCATGCTGTATGGTTCATAAAATAAGAAAGATGTTTACATCTCAAAACAGCTATAAACAACATAAAGGCTGTGCAACAGGAATATATGAGACTCACAAAACCTAAAATATTTACTGGCTCTCTCCTTTCAAATAATGTTTGCTGATCCTAATCTAAGAGATGAAACTACAGGAGTCTGTGAAAGCATGATACATACTAATCAGGGAGACTAGCCAGTATGTTTTATCCTGTTCTTTTTAGTTTTAAAAAATATCTCAGCTTGGGGAAAAATAAAAACAAACCAAAAACTGCTACATCCACACAGCGGCATAGAAAGGAGTGAGTTGCTGACTCATGCAACAACATTAGGGAATCTAAAGTATGCATTACTATTGAAAGGATTAGATCCATAAGGCTATGTTTCTGATTAGGACATTCTGGTAGACATAAAATTATAGGGAGGACCCCCTAAATATGTGTAATTATTATGTTGAAAAATGGTAAGAGCTGAGGAAAAAAATTGGAGGAAAACAGATGAGTTGCCATCAGTTAGGGATAAGGGGCAGAAACTGATGACAGGTGGGCTGGCAGCACACAATGCATTCTAGGATGTGGAACAGTTTTGTGTGGTTCTGTGGTGGAAGATACATGGCTATATGCTTGTCATATATACACCCTTTAATGTATTCCATAAAACAGTGGATTTTACTGTGTATAAAATTAAAAAAAAAAATCAACCAGAATGTAGGTGGGAAATTCGAATGTAGTCTGTGACAAGTGAATCTTGTCAAATGAAAGTTCTGTAATTACACTGAAGGCCACAGAGAACAAAGGAACCAACTTAAGAACTGTGGAAAACCATGCTTTTAATTGGGTACTACAAGGCTAATGACAAAAAGAAGTGAAAACTCAAATGTCAAATTCCAGTTGTTTGTTTTTGACAAGAGAGTGGTTTAACAATGCCAGAACTAATTTATTTTTATACTTGGGTTGAACACAGTAAATATATAGTTAAAAATGTATTGTTATTGGGAACCGGGTTTTTCACTTTTGGAAGAAGGTGTACAAATTAGGAGCAGGGCAAAGGCTAGAATGAACTCTGGTGTTGGACAGGAGTTGGAGACATTCAGAGGAATTCATGATGCTTGAGTAGGTATGTGCATATGTGCAAGAATACATTCATATAAAGAGAAGAATGAGTTACAGCGGAGAATCCTAGCAGACACCACCTAACCAAATGACTGAGGTTACTCTACCAGTAACGCAGACTGGTGTCTGGTGCTCCTCATATGCGCTGAGGTTCCGTCACTTCTGTGGTATCCCTTCCCAGTGAGGCATAATCTTAAGTATTATGAGGAAGCATTAGACAGACTCAAATTGGGGGACATTATCCAGAATAACCAGTAGTCTTCAAAAATACTAGGGTGAGAAAGTTTGAGGAGCTGTCACAGACGAGATTATGGTGGAGAATAAGGAGCTCAGTACCATGCGGTGTCCTGGATTGGATCCTGGTACAGTAAAAGGATACTGGTTAAAAAAAAAATCAGAATTTTCTCTGTACTGTAATTACTAGGATTGTGCCAAGGTTAACATCTCAGTTTCAATAAATTAAGTTATGTGGCTATGTAAGGTGAACACAGGGGGAGGCGTGTCTACTGTTTTTGTAATTTAAGTCTCAAAAATTAAAAAAAAGATGCCTTAACTATCATTGTCCTGATGGAGTCACATAGTTTTTTATTTTTGAGTATGGTTAGTGTGTAAACTCATTTTAAATGGAGGCTAGTGCTCTGCTTTCAGTGACTGAAAGTGTTTCTCTAGAATTCTGGATCAGAAGGAGGACGGCTGTGTTGTGGACATGCATCACTTCAACTCAGGGGCACAGTCCGTTCTCGCCTACGCCACCGTGAATGGCTCTCTGGTTGGCTGGGACCTCAGGTCTTCAAGCAACGCCTGGACGTTAAAGCATGACTTAAAGTCAGGCCTCATCACTTCTTTTGCTGTGGATATCCACCAGTGCTGGCTCTGCATTGGTAAGCTGGCGTTCCAGTCACTGGCTGGATGCAGGTGCCATCTCATGAAAGTTGTTTGTTTCCTTTTCTTCAATGGTGATTTTCCCCCTCTCTTTTTATTGTTTTTCCTAATTACTATGTTATAATCATTTTCAGTGTTAATTTTTTTCATTAAAAAACAGATCTGGAGGAGTGAAATCAGATCTGAGAGTGTCTTAAGGCACAGATCAGTTTCTTCTTTCTCCTAGTTCTTAAGTGAACTGGTCTGCACCAGGGAAGCAGCAGACTTGACTTAAGGAAAATAGCATTTCAGTTTGGGCAGACACAGTTTTAAATTCCAGTAGCCTCAGGCAAGCTGCCTAACTCCTCTGAGTCTCAGTATTCTCATCCTCAGATGGGGCTGGTCCTCTCCAGGTTCTGCTCTGAGGATGTCATGAAGTGAAAGCATCTATCACAGTGCCTGGGTGGGAGAAGAGCTGAGTAGTGGTTACTTCCTCCCCTTCTTATCTGTTTCAGTCCCACAGGCTGAAGACAGGCCTTGCAATTTTGCTTGCTTCTTTCTTTTGGTTGTTGTTGGTGGTGTTTAAGTATTTAATTTGATGATTAAAAAATGTATACACTAGTGTGACCCCTCATAGTCAGGATAATAATATTTCTGTTACTTCAAAAATTGTCCTCAATATTCCTTGCATTAAATACCCTTTTCAATGCGCTCACCAATACCCTCTTTGTCAGTACTCCAGTTATGGGATGCAGCTGCCCTTGCATTTATTTATTGTTGAGTAATATTCCATTGTATAGACAACATTGTGTGCATGCATCCATTCTCCAGTGTTTGGCTTTCCTTAGTAAGCCTGCTGTAAATATTTGCAAATAGGTTTTTTTGTTTTATTAAAAGATTTTATTTATTTGAGAGGTAGAGTTACACACAGAGAGAAAGGCCTTCCATCTGCTGGTTCACTTCCCAAATGGCTACAATGGCCAGAGCTGGGCCAATCGGAAGCCAGGAGCCAGGAGCTTCCTCTGGTCCCCCATGAGGCTGCAGGGGCCCAAGTACTTGCATCTTCTGCTTTCCCAGGCCACAGCAGAGAGCTGGATCAGAAGAGGAGCAGCTAGGACACCAACCAGCACCCTTATGGGATGCCGGTACTGCAGGCAAAAGCTTAGCCCACTACACCACAGCACTGGCCCTGCAAATAAGTCTTTTTAGGGTATATATTTCCCTTTAACTCAGGTATACTCAATATTGAGACTTTTATTTTTTAAACTGAGTTTTATTTTTAAAAAGTTCATGGAAAATGCATATTATGAAAAAATTGCCTAGATTTCAGTTTTTATTGCACCAGAAAGTACTTTCTTTTCATTCTTTTCTACAAACTTTTTGAAGTACCTACATACCTGTATATATTTATGGAGTACAATGTGATGTATTATTACATATTTATATTGTAGACTGATTTAAAGCAACTTAATTAGGAAATCACTCCATAGACTTCTTTGTGGTAAAAACGTTTATCATCTACTCTTCCTAGCAGTTTTGAAACACACAGTGCATCATTACTGTAGTCCTTGTCCTGTGCAGTTCACTAAAGCTCGTGCCTCCTGTCTGAAACTGTGTAGCCTTGGGTCAGCATCGCACCTTTCGCCATCCATCTTCCTCCTCTTTCCTCTGTTTCGAGTTTCACCTCTTTCACCCCATGGTGCTTTGAACTTGTCCCTTGAGAAACTACCACACCTTAGCTCTTTTCCACGTGTCATGCTTTTTCAGAGGAGTTATGGTCTGTGCTCAAAGTTAGGTCTTTAGATCTTGCTTGTATTTGTGACATTGCGAAACCCCTTTATTATTTTTACATGATTTATGCAGAAGGCAGTTTTTTTGTCTTCTGTGTGAATACACGGCACAGGGACAGAAAATGTAACCCCAGACCTAGGAGACTAGTAGCACACACTCGGCAAGTTAGCATACTGCACTGGTGATGTCTGTGGCTGTTTGAGATATGGTCCGGGAGTGGGCAGAGTGACAAGCAGAGAGGCTCAGGGGCCCCTTTTGCTCCTCGCCCCCAGTCTTTCCACTGGGATTGGATACCAGTCCAAGAATGTACGCTCTGCCTGTGTCACAGTCAGCGCTTCAGTGTTAGAACAGGCATTATTCTTAGGACAGAGGGGCGTCTTTGTAGGGTTTAAGTTGTCACAGGAAGATGCGTAGGCACTTAGCCTTCTGCTGTGACTGGTCATCTGTACCTGACTCCATAATGCTCTAGAGAAAAGGACAAATGGAAGTGGTTGGAATCTGATGATACTACAAAGCTGCTATGACTTTGAGGTTGGTAAATGATCACTGAGTGCCAGTAAAACCTCTCGTTATTTATAGCAGGCTGAACATTCTGACTACCAAATCCAATTTCTATCTGCTTTAAAGCTCTGTGTTTGTGGGTGCCTTTGGCAATTAATAAGAGCTTATGTAATTAATGGATTATTCATTTTCAGTTTATATTCACTAGATACCATTGTAATAGCGTTGGTAAGCACTTTATGTGTCTTACTTAACAACTAGAGATGCTGTTTGAAATTGGGGAGATAGCTTCATGAGAACAAAATTTTCTAAGAGACTAAGGCAGTATAAAATGCCGTCTGAGAAAGCTAATGCTGTTTGCCATTGGTATAAATGCAGTGGATGTGCATGATGACCATTTTGTGTTTTTTCTCTTCAAGGTACAAGCAGTGGAACCATGGCTTGTTGGGACATGAGGTTCCAGTTGCCCATTTCCAGTCACTGTCATCCTTCCAGGGCTCGGATCAGGCGCCTCTCAATGCACCCCCTGTATCAGTCCTGGGTGATTGCAGGTAAAATGGATGGCTGGCTTTCTTGTGTTGGGGGATTTTGTTGAAAAGAACATTATATCCTGCGGCCAAGACTGTTGGTTTTAGGGTTTTTATTTGACATGTGAACTGAATGCTTCTGTTCTGATAATGGAAGTCCCCACCACTGACATCTCACTGTCATCTTTATGACCAAGTATGATCTTAAAGGGACCACCACCAGCTTCTGTTCTGGATTTGGTAAAGCTGCCATCATCTTCCTGGTAATCTAGGTTAGAGACCTTGATACATCCTTCCCAGTTACCATCTCTTGTTGATCTCTTTCCATTGTATTTCTTGATGATTTCCCTTCCCTTATTGAGAACCCAAATTTTCTTGTATGGATTCTTGGGTGAGATACCTGAGTAAGGACTTGAAACTGACTTTTTGTTTCTGAAAAAGGTGATTTTAAAGCCTTATCACGTAGAGTTGTAAGAATTTGAGATAAAATGTGTACAGCATAGTTTGGCATACAGTTAATATTGGTAAATAATAGCTCTTTTAATCTTTGTGTTTCCTTGTTGGTCCTGTTCCCTATAAGCTCTTCACAGTCCCTTCTCACACAAATGGTCCATGTCATCACTGCTGCTGTCACAGTCACCACATTGTTGCAATCAGTGGCCATTATTGAGCCCTTCTTTTTTCTTTTTTCTTTTTTAAAAATTTTTTTTGAATATAAGTTTCCTTTTATTTTGAAATTGAAACAGCGGAATGCAGTGGTTTGTCACGGGGAAGAGAAGCGGAGGGTGTGCCCTGCGAAGGTCAGAGCCAGCTGCCCCACCCCCCAGACAAGCACAGAACAGACTCAAGGCAGGGAGGAGAGGTACAATCAGAATTGGGGTGGCGGTGGCTGGCAGATTTCCAGTCATGTACAGTTTTCAAAGTTATCGCGATTACAGAGTAAGGTAGCACTCGTTCTGAAAATCACAAGTCACACGAGGGAGTGCTCAGGGCCCCCCCCCCCCCATTCATAAAAATACACCCATCACTCTCCCGCGTCGGGAGGAGATGCACACCAACCCACCCGACATCAGGAAAGCGGCTCTTGTGACACATTCTGGCTGCAGATTCTGGAAAAAGAGTGAGAACTCACACAAAAACAGAGGTGGTTCGTTCATTATGCCAACTCATGAGCTGCTGAAATTCATTCCGAACACCCTCCCGTAGCAGTGGCTTCCAGGAAATCCACACAGAAATGTTACAAGGGGTCCCCCAGCCCCTCCGGAGGCAGTGCAGGGTCCAGACGTCAGTGCCCACGACACACACATACACACACGCCTTCGTCCCTGGTGAAGCCCCCGGAAGTCACCTGGCTGGGAGGGGGAGGAGGTGAGGGGTCCAGGTAGGGCTCCTTGGAATGGGGTACGGGTGAGATGAGCCAAGGGGACAGAGTGACAGGTGTACCTGTTGGAACAGCTAGAGCATTATCTTAAACATGTGAAGAAAATCGCCAAAGAGTGAAACTTCATTATGGGGGAAAAAAAAGGTAAAGTTTGGGAAATTAAAACAATCCAGTGGTCACTGGAAAATATCTCCCTCTTTTTATCAAAAAAAAAAAAAAAAATTTTTTTTTGTAGTTTTTTGGAAAGTATTTTTAAGGTAACTTTTTTTTTCCTTTGGAAAAAGACATCTTTTCCCCCCCTAACCTAAGCAAGTGGAGTTGCCACTACTAATTCATCTCTGTTGCCTGCTAAGAGGTAGATAAAACAAAGTGAAATGGGGCTTCTAGGAGGAGGTCCATCAGCGGGTGGGGAGGGGCCGGCTTCGCCCGGTGACGCTGCCCCACTACCAAGACACCTGCGTGCGGCGGAGGCCGGGACCTCGGACCACCTTCTGAGCCCTCGAGTCAGCCGTCCCGCTGAAGATGGTGGGGGGGCCATGGGGGAGGCGGGGGACCCCAAAGACACGGCTGAAAAAGGTCTCAGCTCTGCCCCCCTAGCTTCCTGATGTTGGGGCCGAGTGATGGGCACCAGGCCAGGCCCAGACCCCAGCCCCAGCCTGCGCAGCCCCTCTGGGAAGGGGGCGGCTACGCCTTTCCTCACCATCTGGTCCAACATGGCTGTAGCAGTGAGAGCTGACGGGGCAGAACATAGGCAAGGAAGGTCAGGGGTGGGGGCCGGAAGCACCCCCCCGCCCCGGACCCAACCTGAGTGGGGGTCCTGGCAGGCCTGTCTGTCCCCCGAGGACAAATCTTTCGTGGCACAAGCTTCAAATTCACTTCCGGCTGGGATCCATACCCTGACGCACGAGTCCCTGCCCTCAGCTTCCAGTCTGACTGTAAGGATTGAGGTAGTTAATCCATTTATACTCGTAGCATCCATTACCTGTGGTTACTCAAAACACATGCTCCCAAGGAGCTCCTTGCTATTTCATTTAAGAATAACAAAAAATCCTTTTCGTCTTGTCAGTCCGTATTGAACCTGCTGACTTGCCAAGAGGGTCGCAGGGCCGGGGGCGAGCTGGGACCAGGCCCACCCACCCTCTCCAGCTGCCTTCTGCTACCCGAGGGAGAAGCCCTGTGTATCCAAAGCAAAGACACCGGGGAGATTCCCGCTGGTGGAAAGTCTACATGGAAATGCGAGAGAACGTGCATCCAAGCCATGGAATCCCTGGAAGGAAGATGAGCCCTTCTTTTTTAAAGATAGATAGATAGATAGATAGATAGATAGATAGATAGATAGATAGATAGATTTGACAGCAGAGTTAAAGGGAGAGACAGAGAGAGCTCCACCATCAGCTGGTGATTCCCGAAATGGCCACAACAGCCAGAGCTAGTCCAGGTTGAAGCAAGTAGCTTCCTCTGGATCTCCTACATGGGCACAGGGGCCCAAGCACTTGGTCCGTCTTCTGCTGCCTTCCCAGGTGCATTAGCAGGAACTGGATTGGAAAGCTGAGCCGCTGGGACAAAAACCAGAGCCCATACAGGATGCCAATGTCACAGGCAGCAGCTTTACCCACTACACCAGGACGTTGGCCCTGACCCCTTCTTACTTGACTTATCATTTGGCCAGTTCATCATTTCCATCTCTTTGAAATAGTAAACCTGGTTTTAAGGACCTTTCTCTTGGCTCTTAGACTTCTTGATCTGTTAGTTTTTCACCATCTCAACTTTTAAAATGTTGCCCATGTCAGGGTTCATGCTGTGGTCTTTCTTTCTGTTTATACTGGTTCTCTGTGTGATCTCATCTAGTCGCATGCTTATCTTAAAATATATTCAGAATTTGACTATTTTTAAACTAATTCTGTCAGTGTCTTACTTCAAACCACTATGATCCCTTGCCCCTGTTAATGCAATGTTCTCTTAAGTCCCTGCTGCTGTTTCTCTTCTGCTCAGCACCCGCCAGTGGCTTCTTGTTCTAGGTAACAGCCACGCTCCTCACTGTGGCCCAGAGGGCTTTATGGGTCTACTTCCTTGCCATCTCTGATCTTCCTTGTCAGCCAAGATTCCAACAGCAAAAGGTAGGATAACTTAAAGAGCATTTATTTTCAGAGGAACTGTGTACAAAGATGTAAGGGTACCACAAAAGGTAGTGCAGTAATATAGGACTGGTCAGAGTAGTTGTAGAAGGCAGGAGGAGGGTGGCTCCTGGGATTTGGAACAAAATTGGCTAGAGAAGGCAGAGGAGCACTGACTGAGGTAGGGATACAGCCTGCCTGAGCATGCTGACTTGGCTTTCTTCACTCTTTTATCTTCGGGGGCTCCTTGCTAGGAGTGTATTAGCTTCCCAAGACCGCTGTAACAACTTAAATTTGGTGGCTTAAAACTATACCTAATGGTAGAGTTAGAAACATGCATGGGATTCCAAATCCCATTAAGTTGGCATGTACCAATGCCATCTTACTAATTAAAGTGATCAGTTTAAGTTCATAATTGATCTTAAAGATAGGATTAAGTTTCAAAGGGATCACATAAACAAGACTAGTGTCTACTAATAATAACTGATAGAATTAAAAAGGAGCGAGTGATCCAGCATGGGAAGTAGGATATACAGGAGACTCATAGAATGGCAGATGCCCTAAACAGCACTCTGGCCTCAGATTCAGCCCTTCAGGCATTTGGATCCAGCTAAAAAGTCCATGAGAGTTTCTCAGGCATGGAAAACCAAGACACTGTGGCAAAAAAAAAAAAAAAAAAAAAAAAAAACAAACTAAATGAAAGATCTCTGTGAGTGAGATCCCAGCGGAAAGAACGGGCCATCAGAGAAGGAGGTACCTTTCTCTGAAGGGAGGGAGAGAACTTGCACTTTGATTATGGCCTTGTCTAAATAAGGTCAGAGTTTGTAAACTCAAGAGGCTTCCATAGCCTTGGCAGCTCATGACAAGAGCCTTGGGTGATTACTGATATCATAAATAAGAGTGTCAATTGTTAAATCAACAATGGGAGTCACTGTGCACTTACTCCCCATGTAGGATCTCTGTCCTTAATTTGTTGTACTATGCGAATTAACAGTAAAACTAGTCTTCAAACAATACTTTATACTTTGTGTGTCTGTGTGGGTGCAGTCTGTTGAAATCTTTAATTAGTATATACTCAGTTGATCTTCTGTTTATAAAGATAATTAAAAATGAATCTTAATGAAGAATGGGATGGGAGAGGGAGTAGGAGATGGGATGGTTTGCATTTGGGAGCATGGTTATGGGGGGAAAAGCTGCTATAATCCAAAAGTTGTACTTCTGAAATTTATATTTATTAAATGAAAGTTTTTAAAAAAAGAAAAAAAATCCAGAAACATTTAAAAGAAAAAAAAACTATGCAGATTTATACCCTAATGATTCTGAAGGCCAGAAGTCCGAAATGGGTTTTGTGTTCCAGTATCAAGCTGGCAGTGGGACCACACGCCCTCTGGAAGCTGCTGGGAGAGTCTGTTTCCTTACATTCTCCTGCTCCTTGAGCTGTGTACCCTGGCTCATGGTGCCTTCTTCATCCTCAGAGGCGGAGTGGAGCATCTTACATCATTGTTACTACCTCCTGCCTTTGCTGTCAGATCTGCCTCTATCATAAGGATGCTTGTGATTGCATTTAGGCCTACCTAAATAATCCAGAATAATCTCTCATCTCAGAGTCCTTAGTTTATTTACATACACACGTTTTGCCATGCAAGGTAACATTCACAGGTTCCAGGGAGTAGGATGTGGATTTCTTTGGGGGCCGTTACTTAGCCTCCACCATGCGGAACTCAGCTAGCAGAGGCTATGAGACCTGTTGATGTGGCTCACACGGAACAGCTGCAGGATGGCCAATGGAGAGTAACCAGCACTGTGGCCTTTCTCACTCAGTCTCCAGCCACGACTTGTTCCTTTAGTCAAGCACGCTCCTGCTTCAGAGCCTTTGCATTTGTCTGTTGTCTTCACTTTATAGTGGGAAGTTCTATGAAGCAGGGGATTCTTCTACTTTGTCATCTGTCCTTCAATGCCAAGGACAATGATAGCCCCCAATAATTGTTACTGTTCAGTAAATATTAAAAATTGAAAGCAGCCTGGTATTTTATATATTGAAGAAGCCACTCCCCTGTTGAACAGCAGCTGAGGAGCAGGGTCTCAGGCCTGTGATCTGCCTCTCCTCCAGTCAGGTGTGCCTCAGGCAGGGCAGGTCCATTGTGTTCTTTCTCGTGCCTCGTCTGCTCACCTTCACTTGCCTTTTCAGTTCCACCCACAACATCATTCCACAGAGTGCCCTTGACCCTCACCCACTGCACGGGATCCTTTCCCTCCTTCCTTTTTGCTCTGATTTTCTCATACTTCACCAATTTCTTCTCTACTTCTCAGTTGTAGAAGGGAGAAGGCTGCGGCTCAGGGCAAGCTCGTTCTCTGACTCATCTTTCCACCCCACGGTTCTCTTCACTTCTTAGAGAAGTGAATATTTTCTGTTGGGATATTAAACTCTTCTTTGCACTGTTTGGGTCTGGCAGCCGTCATGATTCAAGCACTAGTTGGCATTTCTTGCAGGATGGGGGGAATCGGAGTGGGTGTAGGCTGACTGGCATGACCTACCAAGGTGTGAGAGCTCTGATAGCCAAATTAATGGTTCTGGCCTTTGTCTCCCCTAGCTGTTCAGGGTAACAACGAAGTGTCCATGTGGGACATGGAGACTGGTGACAGAAGATTTACTCTCTGGGCCAGCAGTGCACCGCCACTCTCAGAGTTACAGGTTTGCTTCATTTTTACTGTAGAGGATGAAATTATTTTCAGAAATTCTAAACATTTTTGCATTTTATCAAACATGGTGTTTGTTGGACTTCTGGGTTATGGTAAAGTTTGGGTTTTCACTATGAAGTTATTCTGTGGTCACTGATTGTTGCTTGGGTGTTTTCCAGTTCCTTAAACTTGCTAGTGTCTGCTTCAGTAAGTGTTTTGGTTAGTTCTAAAAGCCTCGCGAGTTCTCTTTGGAACCCCAGTCAGATCTCAGTTAACTTGGAAAAGCCCAAAATAAGTTTAGATCATTAAAAAATGGAATATGACCCTCTGACGTATACAGATGATCCCAGCTTAGAGCAGTTCAACTTAACGATTTCTCTGTCTTATGATGTGTATGAAGGAGCCATTCATCCAGTTCTGATCTTTCATTACTCTGGTGATGCTGGGCAGCAGCTCTCAGTAAGTCACATGATCGTGAGAGGAAACAGTGGATACTCTAGGCTAGGTGTATTACATGTATTTTTAACTTAGGGGTTCAGCAGGATGTAACCCTGTCGTAAATCTAGGAGCATCTGGACTTTTGTTCTTAATGCCAAGGGTACTTTACTGGGACAAAAGAGATTTTTTTCCCCCTTTAGTTGGGGGTCTTGCCCAGTCATCCTAAATACGAATTTTCAGATAATCTGAGCAGGTTATGTATGCTACTATATTCAGAATGATACAAAGAAAATATATTTTAAAGTCTCAAAGAAGTGGATATGACATACATAACTGGCTTCTCATTTCTTAGGTAACCAGGTACCTATAAAGCTACTGACGTTATTATTATTATTTTTTTTAATTATTATTTTTTTTTTGACAGGCAGAGTGGACAGTGAGAGAGAGAGACAGAGAGAAAGGTCTTCCTTTTGCCGTTGGTTCACCCTCCAATGGCCGCCGCGGCCGGCGCGCTGCGGCCGGCGCACCGCGCTGATCCGATGGCAGGAGCCAGGAGCCAGGAGCCAGGTGCTTTTCCTGGTCTCCCATGGGGTGCAGGGCCCAAGCACCTGGGCCATCCTCCACTGCACTCCCGGGCCACAGCAGAGAGCTGGCCTGGAAGAGGGGCAACCGGGACAGAATCCGGCGCCCCGACCGGGACTAGAACCCAGTGTGCTGGCGCCGCTAGGCGGAGGATTAGCCTAGTGAGCCGCGGCGCCGGCCCTGACGTTATTATTTTAAACATCTTTTTATTTGAAATGAAGAGCCAGACAGACAGAGGGAGATGTTCCATCTGCCAATTCATTCCCCAAACGGCTGCAATGGCCAGGGCTGGGCCAGGCTGAAGCCAAGAGCCTGGAACTCCATCTGGGTCTCCTACTTGGTGGTAAGAGCCCAAGTACTTGGGCCACTTACTGCTGCTTTCCCAGGCAAATAGCAGAGAACTGGACTGGAAGTGGAAAGCTGGGACTGAAACCACCCAAATGGGATGCCAGTGTCCCAGGTGGTGGCTTAACCTGCGGAGCCCCAATGTGGGCCCCAGCAGTTAATTTCTTTAGAAATGAAACCATCATTTTGAATATGTTGATGTTTTCTGTTTGACTCCATATTTCTTTTAAGCCTTCTCCTCACAGTGTCCATGGGATCTACTGTAGTCCTGCAGATGGAAATCCTATCCTGCTAACAGCTGGCTCAGACATGAAAATAAGGTATGGTGTCTCACAGAACCGTTAATAGTCAGGAGGGAGATGATAAAGCGGGCACGGGTGCTGTGTTACATGAGGTGTTAACACCTATTGGTGGCACTGCACTTTATTTGTAACTAATGGCATTCCATTAGCTCTTGAAAATAATGCATTCACGCATGTAAGCCAACAATTATTGGTTCTGTCCATTATCTTGTGGCAATTGTCTCCATTTATTTCTTCTTCTCTAGGTTTTGGGACTTGGCTTACCCAGAAAGGTCCTATGTTGTGGCAGGAGGCAGTAGTTCCCCATCTGTGTCCTACTACAGGAAGATAATTGAAGGGACAGAAGTTGTTCAGGTACAGTAGTCTGGTTTTCGGTTTTGGAGCCATAAAAATAATTTTGGCTAGGAGTGGCAGTATTTTGAATTTATAGAATATGTTTATTTTTTATTGCATTTTTCTAACTTGATAAGAAGTATTTTCATTATTTAACTTTTACAAATAAGAAAGTTAGCTGTATGATCTTGGACAGGTTGCCTCATTATGCAACATAGCATAAAATGGATTCAAACGTGACTCTTGGGATTCCGTTCTTAGGAAAAAATTCCAAATGAGATAATGTCCCTGACAGAACGCTTCTTTCATGGCAAATTCCAGTGAACACTGGAAATACTAGAATTCTCCATTTTTTTCCCTTTTTGTTTTTGATGTTGCCAAAGGTTGATAACACCAGAGTGTTGGCCTCTGTATAAATTTTCTATACTTTCTATCCATGGAACCCAGTGACTAGAAGACCAGAATGTCATTTTGGATACTCCTTTTTGCTCAGTGTATTTTTGACAGCACAACTGTTTCACCAGAGGTGCTGACTTAAACACAACATACCCTAGAAGTAAGAATACTGATGAAAGGTAGCATGTGGGACAGACTTTTAACGTGTCTGAATTAACCATCAAACAGGAAATCCAGAATAAGCAGAAGGTAGGGCCGAGTGACGACGCCCCTCGAAGAGGGCCAGAGTCTCTGCCGGTGGGACATCACGACATCATCACGGATGTTGCCACGTTCCAGACAACACAGGGCTTCATCGTCACTGCCTCCAGAGATGGGATTGTGAAGGTGTGGAAATAAGAACCTGCTGATTTGTGTAAACTGTAATTAAGTTATAAATAGACTGTAACTCGAGAAAAGGTACTTCTAGAGAACAGAAGGGAGAACAGATTCGTTTAATTCAAAATTGTGGTTCTACATCCAGGTGGGTATGGAAGTGGTACTTGGCTTATCTACTTGTGCACTTCTCTGTAAGAATCAGCCAGACAATAACCTGGATGTTTTATTGTATATGTATGCAATGGAGGTGAGAAATGTGAAGATGGTTATGGTCTCGGTTTATTTTGTATTGAAGAAGATGGTTGTAAAGCTATTATAATGTAAACATGTTTTTGTTATTAAAAATGTGGTAAACCATATTAAGGCATTCCAAGAGTTTTTTCTTTGTTTTGGGTCCTATTTTTAACAGATTTAGCAGAGGAATGAACTCTCCAGCAACCTTTGTTCTGAGGTAAAGAAATGGTCTCCATGTCACAAGGAATCAGTGACAGAACAAGGCCATGGATAACCTGAGTGTAGGGAGCATACCACTCGTTGAGGACTACTCTAGAATTGATTTTCTACATTTCTTTAATTACATCTCAGTTGTGGTGCAAGACAGGTAAACAACAACACTGTTAGGAAGTGCCAGTCATTCAACTTTACATTCAACTTAAAACAAATACTGTTTTAAAAATATTTCCAGCCATAAACAGAAATGTGTTTGTGCTTAATCCAAAGTTAACCAGAAAAATCCCTTTTATTAAAATACCTCTTAAGTTATTGCTTATTGATGTCCTGTACTTGAAACATACATTTTTCCTGAAGCCCGAAGCACCAGTTAGCTGAAGAAACTTGCTGTGTTACTCCTGAGTATGAATAGATCATGTAATTCCTTGGGCTTCCTGCTGCTCTAGCACCCTGGGAGCTGCCTGTGTAAGGTTGGCAGTAGTAGTTCAGAAAACACGGTACGTGCTGTTCTTCTCAGGCTTTAGGAACAGAGGTAAAGTCTGCATGCAGATTTGAACTGGTCTTGGGTGTTAATAACCGTCTGCCCCACGCACCCATGCAGGGCTTCCCTCCCTTCCCCAAGGGAGAGACGTCCTTCCCAGCAGGGTCATTGCTGCCAGTTCTGCAGCTCACTCTTAGGCTGATGTGAGGTCCAAATATGGGGTCAGAAATAAAAAATGCTGCTTTGCTATCAAGTTGTTGAAAACTGTCGTGTTCATCGTAAGAGTAAAACCTGGATGGGGATGAGGGGACAGAATTTTCTTGCTTTCACTTACTCTGCTCTCTTGTGCATCTTTGCAACCTGATATGGGTTTGCATATTAAACATTCATGCTTTTCTTATACTTTCCAAACCCAGCATCTATATATGAGTTTGGAGGATTTAAAGCTGGAGAAAATTACCCTCTGCTTCTCACCATTCCAAGCAGAGTACTGGAGGGAACCTCCAGCACAAGCCTGTCAGAACTAGTCACACTCAGCTGTGTGTCTAGGTAGAGGAGTCAGGAAAGGGCAGATTTCACACACAGGACAAACAGTGTGGGTCTAATGTGGACACCAGAATAGCCCACACATGAAAATACCTTCGGTTAAACAAGTGAATGTTAAACAGTACTAAATTAAGAAAGAAGGCTTGGTTTTCAGAAAATGTTTGTAGGCCTACAGTCACAAGAATTAAAATTGGCCCACAGCCATACATGCATAGACTCTGTAAAATTTACCTTCAAAACTTATATTCATTAGACTTTTCAGAACACTTTTTGCATTCTCCCATCTTCTAATGGAAAACAGTTCTTGAGGCAGGCTTAAGAGTGCTAGAATTGTCGGGAGTGATCAAATAAATGGGCACGATATATCTTAGTCCCAGTGAGTACAGGGGGTCAAGTTGACTGTACAAGCTTGATCAGCCTTCCAGAATGGACCTCCAGACACAGGCAGATATCCAGATCGAACCCCGCAGTTCCGGCAGTACGGTCAGCTGTTGCAGTCCAGAGTCCGACCGATGCTTCCCAAGATTAAGTTGCTCACGCACTTCCTTTATCATGTTGTCCGGGAGTGCCTTTTATCCCCCTTCTTCCAGTTGGAAAGTTATAGGATGTATTTCTGGTAAAATTTTGAATAGCAGCGTCTCTGCCACCTCTTGTAACTCTTGAAAAATATTTTTTATTTTGAAAGAATCTTGTCTTCAGTAATGTGTCTTCTTTGAGAACAAGTTTATGTGGTCCAGGAACAAAGCTACACAACAAAGAAAAGAACATTTGGAAGTTAAATGCCGTTTAACTTTACCACAGGTTGCATAGTAACCTTTATTCCTGAATTAACTGCTGCACCTATCACTGTTGCATCCTTCAGGGCAGTTTATTATTCCACTGGGGATTCACACTGGCCCGTGTAGCAGAAGCTGACGAATGAGACACCGTGTCAGTGTGTAAGTAGGCCTGATCTCAACAGCAAAGTTTCTTTTTCTCTACTCAGGTCCTCATCTGGCTGTCCTGGTTCAGACGCCCTCGTCACCCACCCACGTCTATTTAGAGGCTCCCAATTCCACTTCCCGTGCCATTCAGTGTAGTATGTTTTTAATCCATTACACTTGTAAGTGTAATGAATTTTTATTTATTTTTTTACTGTAAACATTCTTATTTTCTATTCTTCTACCCACTTAGAAAATAAGTTTCGTGAGAACTTGTCTATTCACCACAGTTATCCCAGGAACCCAGAATTCTCAGCACATGATAGATACTTAGTAAGTTACATGTATGCCACCCATGGGCCTGGTGTTGTGGTGCAGTGAGTGAAGCCACTGCTTGCAATGCAAACATCTCCAGTGGGTGCCAGTTCAAGTTCTGACTGCTCCACTTCAGTCCAACTCCCTGCTAATGGTCTGGGAAAAGCAGAAGAGGATGGCCCTAGTATTTGGGCCCCTGCTACTCACGTGGAAGACCTGGAAGAAGCTCTTGGCTCTGGTCTGGCCTGGCCTGGTCCAGCCCTGGCCATTGTTGCCATTTGGGGGAGTGAACCAATTGATAGACAATATCCCTCCATCTTTCCCTAACTCTGCCTTTTTAATGTTCAGACAAGAACAGTGGCAGTACACCAAAATCTCCATTTCTTCATTTTCTTGTTTTGCTTTCACTAGCTATAAAATCTGACCTCACAAAACCAGCAATATTTAGAAAACAACTACATTGAAAGCTATAAAATAGGTTTTAGTTAAATTAAGTTAGTCATTTCTCCCACACACACACACACACACACACATGCAACCTCTCTACCACCTCATTTTTCTTTCATCTGTCATGCATTGGAAAAGGAAACAACCAAATGTTGAGGAAACCAAGTCTGGTTACATAGACCCCCAAAGCTTCAGAGCGTATGTCCTACATGTGTAGTCTGGGATTCTGAAACTCAAAACCAGTCTGACTTCACTTTCCTTAGTGCTAGCAGCGATGTACTAAGCTCATCAGCAAACTGCGGTTGTAAAGAACGGGAGCCCTGGCTAAATTTCAGTACACACACAGTTTCCTCACGCCTCTCCCTGTTTTTGCCCTCCCCTGTATTTTCCGATTTCCAGATTGAATACTAGGGAGTCAGTTCCCCATAACAATCAGTAGTGTGTGTGGCTCGAACACAGACTCGCTGCGTTGAGAAGGCACCTCCTGGGTTGGAGGCACTCTGGTTTTATGGCTTGCCTCTCTTTTACCTATACCTGATTTTTCGCGCCATCCCTTTGCCCCATTGGAGCCTTTCCTCTCCTTTTATGGCAAGTTATCTTTGCCATACTCCTCCTCCTAAGTTAAGGAAAAAAAATGTTGCACTGAAAACTGTTTCATTGCTTGACTGATTTTTTGCCCCTCTCAAATCATTTTTTTATCTTTGAATTTCCATTTTGTACCACTTGATACACTGGGGTTTGTGTTTGAAGTGCATCTGATAAGAAGCATTTGATCTTCCTGTTTTGAGTCATGCAGAGTTTGTTTCTCCTTTTCCTAGTCTCCAAGGATAGGTGGTCATGGCAGAGATAAAGATGGAATCGGCAATTCAGTGTGCAAGTTGTGCCCAGCTCCAGGAAAGCTTTTGGAAAGAAATTTGCGGCAAATTCTAGATAAGATGGGGTGGGTGACGCTAAGTGTAGGTCTGCCTCCATCCATGCAGGCGTCGGAGCCTGGCCCGCTGTACTGGCTGGATGCACTGGAGTAGAAAATGCAGGTGAGACTGCTTCTGTTTCCCGGGTTCTTTTCTCTTAATGCTCATTGTCTGTGTCCAGAAGCCCTGCTCTGGGAAGCAGAGTTACAGCAGATGCATTACTCTGGCATTGGTGGTTGTGCCCCTTTTTACAATTGCATTGTGCTGGCTCTGGCTTGTCACTGCTCCAGTCTGGAACAAACGCCTCCCTGACTGGATGAGGCCGCACGCACATGGCTTTGTGTCTTTGATTCTCTCTGTGTGGCTCTAAGTGGTGATCCCAAGAGGCTGCCAAGCTTCGCCCTCTGGCCATCTGTTTGCCTCAGTTGCTTGCACTTTGATTCAGTTCCTTTCTTTTCTGTCCGGTAGAACCAGCTTCGGCAGGTATTCCTCGGAGTCTCACAGCACGATGATGGAATTCCTACAAGGGTGGTTCTGAGGACTTGGGAAGTCATCTCTGTGGCCCGACAGCTTGCCTCGCGGGCATTCTCACCCCTCCCCACCACCCGGTCATCAGTGTTCAGTTCTGCCTCCCTCCGGGCAGGGACAGAAGCAGCTGTGTAGCTTGTCACCTTTCATTCCAAGAGTCTCTGGTCACTTGGAGAAGGCTCAGGGAGGCCCAGTCTGTTGTGCCATCAGGGAGGTCATGGCCACTGGTATGGATTTCACGGCTCAGTTCCTTGATGCCCCAGCCATTTCCCGACACTTCACTGTTTCAGATACGGAGGAGCTGCTGAGCCTCTGGATGCCGAGGGCAGTTCAGAGAAGGGAGAAGAAACTTGGGCTGGAGCCCTGTGGACCCCCTCCTCCCACTCGTATTGTTCTGGAAACAGCATGGTGGGGGTGCCGTGGTCTAATTGTGGAGGCGGGCTCCTGTATCTGCCCTTGCAGTCAGGGCTGGCTAGATGACGTGTGGATTCCAAAAGGAAAATTGGAACTCCTAGGTCAAAAAGAAGAAAAGCCTTTTCTCTTTTTTTTCTTGGTCTCTACATACCGCGGCTTTGAATGTGCCATTTAATGCCCCGTCTCCCAGCCTGGAGATTCTCACAGGACAGAGCCGGCTCTCAGTGGGGGTTCTGCCCTAGGACTTGGTGTGCAAGCCAGCTTTCAGGTTCCTCCTCACACCAGCCTCCGAGCGCCCCAGAAGTCATGCCAGGTTCCTTCTTTCCTTCGCTGGCCTCCCAACAGGAGTATGACCCGTTTGCTAGTGAGTGCCTACCTAGAAGTAGCCAAAAGGCAGAGGCCAGCGCTGCAGTGTAGCGGGTAAAGCTGCCACCTGTGGTGCACGCATTCCGTGTGGGTGCTGGTTCCAGACCCGGCTGCTCCACTTCTGATCCAGCCCTGCTGAGGCCTGGGAAAGCAGTTGAAGGTGGCCCAAGTGCTTGGGCCCCTGCGCCCGCGTGGGAGACCCGGAGGAAGCTCCTGGCTTCCCATCAGCCCAATTCTGTTTGCAGACATTTGGGAAGTGAACCAGCAGATGGACGACCTCTCTCTGCCTCTGCCTCTCTGTAGCTGCCTTTCAAATAAACAAATCTTAAAAACAAACAAAAAAAAACCCCAAAAATCAGAAGGCAAATGTGCTGTGGTGCTGCCAGCTGGGGTGGACGGCCACTGCCTTCCTGTCCCAAGCCTGGGAGCACCCCTGACGCAGACTTCGCATGCCTGTGCCCAGGCCATGCAAGGCGGGTGGCGGCGGGGGGCGGGGCTCAGAAAACCAGAAGTCCTGCAGAGGCTCTGGGAGGTGGGGTGAGGACTGAACAAGGCTCCAAACCCCACACCTCACTGTGTGCTGTGTTGTCCCAGTGGACCTCACTAGAAAACAAATTCAAAAACAACACGAAGGGTGACCACACACCACTAAACCCCAAGTGCAGGGCCCTGTGCAAGGGCGTGGGCCCCACACTCATGAAGCTGGCTAGCTTGCAGCACCTCCCACACCTGCCTCCGAGACAGCACTGCACTAGCACCGGCTTCAATGTGTCCTCCAAGTCCACGGTGCCACCTCAGCAAGATCACAGCACGCCTAGCACCTATCGGCCGCTTCCAAACTGACCGGCACTCGCAGCAGGGGGCGCCCTTCTCTTTTCTAACTGAACCTGCTGGCCCGTTTGAGGCTTGACTTCAGAAGTCCTTGCTGCTGGACAGCTCCCCAGGCTCGCACACTCAGGCAGAGGCTTCCTAGCAGGGCCAGGGCTAGAGTGTCTCCACAGCCCGGGTTACCACGTCAGAGTCAACATGCACCCTACACAGAAAGCAGCTGCACTTTCAAAGGCATCTCAGAGTGAGCCCCTGGCGCTGGCACTTCCTTTCTTGTGTCAGTGTCTGGGTGTGTGAGTGTGTTCTAGTACAGATGGTTTATGCCACAGACATAAAGAACTGCTCCCAACACTACTAGATCTCGCTTCTAATTTTTAAAAATATAATATTCATACATCTTTCATAAAAGTTCATGGAAAATGTATATTGTGAAAAAACTGCATGGATTAAATTTTTTGTAATTATAAACTTCTTTTTAATTGTTTTCCAAGCATCCTTGTATATCAAAAGATATACATATATGTTTTTTTAATGAAGACTTCTTTATTTGAAAGAGAGAGAGAGAATCTTCCATCTGCTGGTTCACTCCCCAGATGGCTGTAGCAGCCAGAGTTTGGCCAGGCTGAAGCCAGGAGTTTCTTTCAGGTCTCCCATGTGGATCAGGGGCCCAAGCAGTCAGGCCATTAGGGAGCTGGATCAGAAGTGGAGCAGCCAAATCTCAAACTGGCACCTAGATGGGATGCTGGCATTGCAGGTGGCGGCTTTACCTGCTGTGCCACAATGCCAGGTCCCATATTATTATTACTTTTTGACAGGCAGAGTTAGACAGTGAGAGAGAGAGAGAGAGAGAGAAAAGTCTTCCTTTCCGTTGGTTCACCCCTCAAATGGCCGCTAAGTTCGGTGCGCTGCAGCCGGCATGCTGCGCCGATCCGAAGGCAGGAGCCAGGTGCTTCTCCTGGTCTCCCATGGGGTGCAGGGCCCAAGCACTTGGGCCATCCTCCACCGCCTTCCCGGGCCACAACAGAGAGCTGGACTGGAAGAGGAGCAACCGGGACAGAATCCGGCACCCCGGCCGGGACTAGAACCCGGTGTGCCGGCGCCGCAGGCAGAGGATTAGCCTAGTGAGCTGCGGCGCTGGCCCCCGTATGTATATTATTAACTTTCAGAACAACGACCTTCTGCCTTTGTTGATAATCTCCTGTGTATCTTGAGTTAAAAACTATTAATTATTCTATTTCTATGTTCTTTTCCTTCTTTGTAGTCTTATTTTTTCTGTAACAACTTAAGATGTAACAGAATTAAGACTTAATTCTAAATTAGCTCTAACTTTCTAATTCATGACTTCTATTGCATCCTGCAAGTTTTGACATAAAGCATTTTATCACACAATTCTAAGTATCACAGTTTTCAATATGATTGTCTCTACCCCATCATTTAGAAGTGTGATTTTAGTTTAAAAAAATGTATGAAATTTTAAAAATGTCACTAACTCCTAACCTAATTGCTCATGGTCAGGCAGTATGACAACAATTCTTAGAGATTTTTGTGGACACTTGCTTTGCAAGTTAAAAATAGTGCAACGAACACCCGTAAGCTCCTCCACCTCGGTGTCACAGCTGTTAACGTTCTCCGAATGCACATGTACGTTTTCTGTGCAGAGCTCTAAACGTGTCTGTTAAATCAAGTTTGTTACTTATGCTGAAGTCCTTTATGTCTTTACTAATCTTTGTCTGCCTGAACTACTGGTGTGCAGACACCTCTAATTCCAGCACCAGCTCAGTGGCAGCTCCTCCATGTAGTTTTTCAGTTTCTACAAGATCTATTTTAAGGTTGTCATGACTCTTATAAATTTAGAATCGCCGCGTCTTCTACACAGATTTAACACTTTGTCATCGTGTAGTTATCCTCTTTAGCCCCACAAAATGGCTTTGTTTTAAAAGTACATTTTATGTAATATTAATATAGCTATCTCAGCCTTTTAAAAAATATGTGCCTGGCCTATTTTTTCCATAATTTTAAGTCTCTCCATTTCCTTGTGCTTTAAATATGTCTCTTGAAACCAGCTGAAGATGGATTTGAACTCGTTTCCTGAACCAATGTCTCTGATTGTAACTGGCATCATCAATCTACATATGTTTATTGTATAGTGTATTTAAGGCAGACTTGGGCTTGCCATCCTACTTTGTGCCCGTTACTTGTCCTTTCTTGCTCTTTAAAAAATTGGTTTTGGGGGCTGGTGTAGTGATGTAGTGTGTAAAGCTGCCACCTGTAATGCCAGCATCTCACATAGGCACTGGTTTGTGTCTCAGCTGCTCCACTTCTGATCCAGCTCCCTGCTAATGGTCTGAGGAAAGCAGCAGCAGATGGCTTAGGCCCCTGCTACCCTTGTGGGAAACCTGGAAGAAGCTCCTGGCTTTGGCCTGGCCTAGCCCTGTCTGTTGCAGCCATCTGGGGAGTGAGCCAGCAGATACAAGGTCTCTCTGTGTCTCTCCCTCTCTGTATCTCCTTCAAGTGAATAAACAGAGATTTATTAAAAATTGTTTTTTTCTTGTTTATTTTGAAAATATGTATTATATTGTCGTTTTTGTTTCATTTCCTCTTTACATTTTTGGTAGTTAGTTCCTTTTTATTTTTCTTTATCATGTCTGCCCTCAAGAGTCTCAAGTTTTGGGGTCAGCGCTGTGGCACAGTAGGTTAACTCCTTGCCTACAGCACCGGCATCCCATATGGGTGCTGGTTCTAGTCCCGGCTGCTCCTCTTCCCATCCAGCTCTCGCTATGGCCTGGGAAAGCAGTAGAAGATGGTCCAAGTGCTTGGGCCCCTGCACTCACATGGAGACCCGGAAGAGGCTTCTGGCTCCTGGCTTCAGATCGGCACAGCTCTGGCTATTGCAGGCATCTAGGGAGTGAACCAACGGAAGGAAGACCTCTCTCTCTCTCTCTCCCTCTCACTGTCTGTGACTCTACCTCTCAAATAAATAAATAAAATTAAAAAAAAAAAAACCCTCTCTAGTTTTGCCAATAGCCTAATCTGCAGCCTATATAATGCAGATTCTTAGTACCTTTTCACTCCACTTACTTGTCTGTGACTTACTTATATTATTGTCTGTTTTTAGTGCTACTTTTCTTTCCTTCATTTTAAAAAATAATCAGATTATTTTATTGTTTAATGTCTTTTCTCATTTAAATAAAAAAATATATGTTGACATTTAGCCTTCTTTTGTTGAAGCCACCAAATGAGAAATGTTTCATTTTCATAGCTTTGTTAACAAGTATAGCTTTTTTTGTAACCCTGCAAATTAGATATCACTATTATTTTAAAATATATTTGCTTAGATTGCCCTTAACAGACAAACTGTATGATTTACTACTTCTCACATTTCCCTCCTTGTCTCTGTGGTCACACATACTTTAGAAGTTATCTTAGCAAAGACCTTTTTTTGTGGAAAAAAAAAATTTAATGCTTTTTCTTCCCATTATATTTGAAAGTTTTTCTAGTTGATCAAAATTTTCTTCTACTCTTTGAAAAACACACGGTAGTCCTGCAGCCTCCACCGCGGCTACTGGCAGCTCAGCCACCGGCCCCGTCAAAGTTTCCCTGCAGATGATCTCACAGGTCTGGATGGGGGCTTTTCCGTCTTCTGGGGCAGTCCCTTCGCCATTGGCTCGCTGACGCTCTGTCCTTTTATCCTGCCTACTACTGTATCTTGAATTTCCTTTGTGAACTAATTATTTCATGTTTTCTGGAAAATCATCTTTTGTCTTTGAATCTTGTCTGTTATTTCGTACTTCTAGCTGGATGTAGATTAGATTTTTTTCCATTCTGTTCTAATTGTAAATCTCTTCTATATCTCCTTTGCATTCTGAATAATTTCTTCAGTTTTCTTTCCTAGTTCATATTTTTCTTTAGATGTGTCTACCACTGTTTAATCCTCTACTGAGTTTCACAGTTATTGATTTTGAAAGTTGAAATAGTCAAAAAAATTATAAAAGAACAGGACCATAAATATCTTTCATCGGATTCCTGGCTACCATCTCTCCCTATTCTTGGTTACTCTCTCCCTATGTGTGGATGTAGATGTCTGTGATGTATATATGTGCCTGTACACATATACCCACATGTATGTGCATACACATTCTGCTTTCCTTTAGGAAAACCATATGAAAGTGGACTGAAGCTATCATCTATGCCTCTTACATACTTCAGCATACTTGACTCAAAAACAAAGGCGTTTCTTATACATCCATCACACTGTAACCACACGTAAGGAAATCCACATGAAATCAGTATCACCCAACATATGTTCATACTCAAATTTCCTAATTGTTCTCCTAATGTTACTTATATCAGCTCTTTTTCTTTTCTGATCTATGATCCAATCAAGGATAAAGCAATTACATTTGGCTGTTTGATCTCTTTAATCTTGCCCATGTTAGAACGGTATGCCATATTCCTCTACTCTTCATGACATGAAATGTATGAAGAGTGCAGGCAAGGTGTTCAGAAGAACATTCCAAATTGTGGAGCTGAGTTGTCTGAAGGTTTACCCACTGAGACTTGGGACAAACATACAAGGACCCCACATAGGTGATGTTGCGTGTCTTCTGTCTCACCTTGGAGGCACATAATATCAGATCTTGGTTTCAGTAGGTCTTCTCAAAGCTCACATGTAACACCCAGGCACAGTTTCCTTTTTTAGTTACTGGTTATTATATAGTGACTTAGTGACTCTTTCAACAGCTGCTTTCGCCCAAACAACAGCATATCACAACATTGGTTTTATTTCCCTTACTGATCAGTGACTACATTTGTTATAACATTGTCATCACATTATGGATCACAACTTAGTGGTTTTCTCATTCTACCCCTCTGCACTTGCTAACATTCTTCTAAAGAACAGCTTCTCCTCCCCCTTTTTGGGAATCTTTAGACTTGTGGACTTCAAAAATCCAATGTGTTATAATTCATCCCATGATTACTCTTTGTGATGTCCAGATTATCTTGTTAGGCCACTGGGAATCCTTTAAGACAAGTCCTTTGGCTTTCTGACGTGACACTTTTCATTTCTGAGTATTTCCTTGATTTTTACAGGTTGTTCTAAATTAGCATCACACCATTCCTGCTGAGCCTGGAATCAGGTATTTCTGCAAGAAACCCTGCTTCCTTTTAATAATGAATAGTATTTAGAAGATCTGGTCACTAGTACTCTCACTGCCACTGAGGTGTCCTATTGACTGCATGATTTCAGCTGTTAGATTTTTCCATTAAAAACATAAAAACCCTGTATTTGGTTATTTTTCAGGTCAATTTGGTTATTTTAAAAAATTATCTCTTATTCCCTCAAGTTGTATCTTAATATGTAGCAACAGATGTGTGTCCAAATAGGACAGAAGAAGACAAGTTAAAAAGAAAAAGAGAAGAGGGGGTCGTATTCATATTCAGGTAACACCAAGCAGAGAATACCTTTGAAACTGTTGCAGGGGCTGCTTTGGTTCTGTAGAGCTTGGTCTGTTGCACTTGGCTTTGAGGTTTATTGGAGGGTATCTGTTGATTGCACCTAGGAAGACAAAAGCATGGCTGTTAACATGACTGCAGTCGGCTCTCTACCCCAAGGTCATTTCACTCTTCCAGTGTCCACCAACGAAAGGTACCAGCTAAGGTGGTCATATGAAATAAAAGCAGACGTCTCAAGGGAATCTCTGAAACTAAGTATAAAAAGTACAACTCTTCTGAATGGAGAGGTGAATTCAGCTGACTTCAGTAATATATGCTTAGCAGCTAAAGTGGTCAACTCTTAGAGGAGACACCATGAACCATTTCTAATGGTCTGGCCTTTAATTGATACGAACTCATCAGAATAATTATTTTATTTCCTTCTCTGGAATATTAAAATGCAAAGGGAAAAGGACATTCTCTTTATGGTCTCTGTATCGCTGACGGTAACATCAGCCATCTTGGGTTTAATTCATTAGCGGCTCATTTCATTTGGAAGTGCACTAATTTTTCATAATACTAAAGCATGGCTAGTCTTATGCCACTTAAAATTTAAAAGCCATTTTTTGATGGAAAATTAAAAAAAAGGTATTATATAGCTCCTTAAAGCATTAACTTGAACAGATTTGTTAAGTGTAATTAAGAAATTACATTAGGGTCATCGTAAACAGTAAGTTGTTCCTGGGCAACAATACAGCCACACCTGCAGAGCTGTGTGGTAGGTATGGCGGTGTGTTGTACACTAAATGGCCGCAGACTGTGACGCTACCCGTGGTGCACCTGATTTTTGTCTTTTTGTATGTCTTAGCTCAAAGTGTCAGGCTGCCAGCAGTTGTTCTTCCTCAGAAAACGTGCTGACTCTGATATGGACTGTGTTTGATAGCTTCTGTATTTTAAGAAAGAGTCACAGAGGAATATAAGGGAGCTAAACCAGAAGTCCTGAAAAGGCTGCGACCAAGTCTGTTTCTGTCACCCATATCTAGCACCTGAAACAGCAAGTGGCTTGGAGCAGGCGCCTCAAAAATATACGTTCCTGTCACACGGTGCGGGGGAAGGGCGTGTGAATCTATGGGCCTGTTATGGAACTGCTTCTTGTACTGTTAGAGCCATGTTAAAGATGCCAAGTGTCTAGGTCTCTAAGTTCTGGGAAAGCAGAGTATAATTGTGTCATGGTCAGAACTTTCCACAAGCAAATTTCTCTCATGCACCCCAAGGACATCTCTTTCCTTTTCTCTGGGTCGGTGGCAGGGGGTGGGGGCCATGCCATTTATCTAATTACATTACTTCAAAAATTACCATGAAATACAAGCAAGAATTTGGGGAAGGAAATTCCATCTGAAGACTTCCTTCCAACATCCTGCCTCATAAGGAATGTGTCCGTACAAGTTTTCTGGGAGCTTCCAAGGTGTCATTTTCTCTCTATAAATGCCCTGTGATTACTTCCTTCAGAAAGACCCTTAGCCCCATTTTTTCTCATTGTTTTCCCTCTAGCCTTTCTGCCTTGTTCCTATTCCAGAATACATCCAAAATTTATTTTAGGGGCTTACTACTCCCCTACTAGTGTTTCGCAAACTACAAGCTACTTCCAAAAATTTGTGGACCGTGGAGTTAAAAGGTAAGTTTATTCTGATGCAAAATTTCTTGAAATCCTTGAACAGTTTTTTCATGATAAGCATTTCCCCATAATCTTTTCAAAAATCCCCTCCATGCATGGATTTCAAAGTTTTTTGCACTCAAAATAAATTCATTTTCTAATTCCATTTCCCATGAACTCTTTGAAGTACTTCCCCCGCTCCCCCAAATGTACAACGAATCACCTGGGGATTCGGGTCCAGAATGTCTGGGGTAAGGCCTGGGACTCTGCATTTCTAACACACTCCCAGGTGCTGTGCTGCTGGTCCTATCTCCCAGACTCCTCTGATCTCTCTCTGCACTGAGTCCTAAGTGTCTTTGTAGCCTTAACAGGTCTCACCATTTCAGATTAGTGACAAGTCTGAGATACAACCAGCACTTCACCTGAGCCACGCTGGGTGCTCTTGTTAGCCTATGTGTTCACTTTTACTCTCTGCAAACTAAGAGATCATTTGCCATGAAGATGTCTGACACTTCTACCAGCTGCTTTACTGAGTCATAATAGGACATGGTTCCTTTTTAGCCATCTTGTTGCATTCAACACGAATTGTATAATTTTCAAGGCCAGCTCACTCCAAGAAACACAGCCTGTGTTTCCCTTTTATGGGCATCAGTTACACTAACTACTGGCATCATAAAAAGTCATTGGCCAGGGTAAGAAAGTCTTGCAAGGCTGTGTCTTTCATGCTGACAGGTAAAATGGTATCTCCTAAGACTTCAAACCCAGCCTTGAGAACTTGTAAAAGCAAAGTCGAGAACTGTTTAATTTTTCGTTGGCTCTCTCTTTTGGCGTGTTAACTGCTGAAACCTTCCTTCAAAGGGCAGTGTGCTAATGTCACACAGCAGGGGCTCTACTCCACCGCTGAGGTCCAGGCTGTGACTTCACAGACCTCGACTACGCTACTCCATGCATACAGATGTGGGAACAGCTGCTTGTTATGACTGCTTCTCCATAGGAACAAGAGACATACAAAAGATGAGCCAGAAAATTAAACGTTTAAGGATCAGAGATTTCCTGCCTTCCACCATCCATTACTGCATATTGTTCCTTTCTGATCCTGCAGTGCCCATGAAGAAAGGCAAGAGGTCTCCAGGAGTCTATGCCAACTCATCAGCCTTTTTTGGGGGTCGGGGGTGGGGGGGGAGGGAATACCAAGTAACTCTTATTGTGCAGAAAAGAAGAGATTTTATGACTTACGCCTGACTGAGTTTATAAAGGACTTCACAAACTTCACAGCATATTTGTGGTCAGGTTTGTGAATTCGGCCAAGCTGGACCAAGTGGTGATCCAAAGGGTGGCTGGCTAGTTCTTTCAGTTCCTCACCGTTCCAAGCAGGGCCAAGGGAGAACACAAATAGGGCATAGCCCTGACATTTGGCCCGCAAGGATTCTTTCCTTAAGGCTTCCCCGTCCAAGTGACTGGTTTCTCCAGCAGAGATCACAAATATGACTTTGTTTCTTCTCACGTGGGGTGTCCTTAGGAAGACATTGTCCAGAGTCCACTGTAAGGCATGGCCGACGAAAGCCTCTCCATTGAGCTGTTGCACTGACTCTTGCACGTGCCTCTTCATAAGGCGCTTACTGCTGTAGGTGGTGAGGTTGAACTCGGCTCTAACGGGACTTTTCTGAGTGTTGGGTAGGAAGTCGGGGGGGCTGTGGGTCACCAGAGCCACCCGGTCTCCGGTGACAGAGGTCTCAGGCTCAGGGGTGATTTCAAAGTTATCGATGAGTGCTCCCAGGAAGGCTCTTATATCTTCGAATTCAGCACTCCCCACATTCCGGGAGCCGTCCAGGAGGAAAGCAGCATCGATGTAAGACTGCACAGCGGGCGGTCTGGCCTGCTCACAAGCGGCATCTGGCTTGCAGGTGTCTGCAAACCAAGAATCACTCAGGGTTACTCAGCAGAGGGGGACAGAAATGCAAAGACTGCATCTCGGATATTTCAGCATTTGGAAACGCATAATCCTGGATGCTAACGCAGTTACCAAATGACTTTAATATCAACAGGAAGATTTCCTAGTACATCTTCAAAAGGTACCACGTTTATGCTGGCATGTGTCTGAGACTGCTCACCGAGGCCATCGGGCTCTTCACAGACTGTTGTTTTTTTTTTTTAAGATTTATTTATTTATTTGAAAGTCATATTTACACAGAGAGAGAAGGAGAGGCACAGAGAGAGGTCTTCCATCCGTTGGTTCCCTCCCCAGGTGGCTGCAATGGCTGGGGCCAGGAGTCAGGAGGTTCTTCCGCGTCTCCCATGCAGGCACTGGGGCCTAAGGACTTGGGCCATCTTCTACTGCTTTCCCAGGCCACAGCAGAGACCTGGATTGGAAGTGGAGCAGCCAGGACTTGAACTGGCACCCATATGGGATGCCGGCACTGCAAGTGGTGGCTTAACCTGCTACACCACAGTACCAGCCCCCAGACTGTTTTCAACAGAAGTTTAATCTTGGCAATGTTTATAAAGTTTGAAGGGGACAGCTTTCCTTACGCATGCATGAGTATCTTGTACCACAACCTAGAGCCACTGACCTCTCTAAAGTAACACTATGTAGGCTGATCCAATCTCTCTATCACTATGGTGCATGGTTCTACTATGAGAAAGTAATCTGCTTGAAAAGACTGAAAAAAAATTAGGGAATTTTTAAATTTCTATTTAAGCAAGAATTTGTAACTCTCAAAGAGGTAATTTTGTACCTTTTAAAAACAAGATACTGTTCATTTTCATATCTTGAGAGTGCTTATTGGTTAAAACTTCAATACATGTTGGTTACATGAATGAAAATAAATATTGCATATTACTGGACTTTCATAAGATATTAGGTAACTTTTATTAGTATACATATCTAATTTATAAAAGAATGCATAGACAGTGGGGCCAGTGCTATGACATAGTGGGTTAAGCTGCCACTTGCAATTCCACCATCCCATATTGGAGTGCTGGTTTGAGCCCTGGCTGCTCCACTTCTGATCCAGCTTCCTGCTAATGTGCCTGGGGAAGTAGCCACAGATGGTCCAAATACTTGGACCCCTGCCACCCACATGGGAGACCCAGAGGGAAGTTCTCAGGCTCCTGGCTTCAGCCTACCTCAGTTCCCAGTCACTGTGGTCACTTAGGAAATGAAGCAGCAGATAAAAGATCTCTTTTTCTGTGTCTCACTGACACTCTGCCTTTCAAATAAAATAAATGTTTTTTTAAAAAAGAATGGAGGCTAACATTGTGGCATAGCAAGTTAAACCCCCATCCAAAATGCCAGCATCCCATATCGGAGCTTGTTCAACTCCAGGCTGCTCCACTTCCAATCCAGTTCCCTGCTAAAGCACCCAGCGAAGCAGCTGAACATGGCCCAAGTACTTGGGCCCTGCACGCACATGGGAGACAGGGACGAAGATCCTGGCTTTAGCCTGGCCCAGCAGTGGCCACTGAAGCCATCTGGGGAGTGATCCAGCAGATGGAAGATCTCTCTGTGCCTCCCTTTCTCTGTAACTCTTTCAAAGAAATGAATCTTTTTAAAAAGATAGAATGGGTTTCATTAAATATGACAACAACGAATATTCAAGGGAATTTTAAAAAACTGAAATGGAAGGCTCTTAAAAGTCACTTAATACTTTAATTTTACAGCAGACACGAGCTAGGGCAGTAAATAATATTGCCAAAGAACACATAATTTCTACAAGTTTCTGCCTATGAAGTCAGTGCATGTTAGAGATGAAATTTTAGGGTGTGGTGGTAAGCCCCTTGGTCTGAGAGCTGGGATGTCTGGTTTCTCGTGCTGGTAAGAGACCCGCCGTGTGCCCCAGTCAAGTAACCACTGGGCGTCAGGTCCTCGGCACAGCTGGATGATTGGACCAGACGTACCCAGAGACCCCTTCCAGGACCACACTCTGCAACTGAGCTTTCAGTACCAGTTGATGGTTGAGGATGAGCATGACCTCTTTAGAAACTGAAGAGGAAGCAGAGAAATGAAGAGCATGAGTGTGGACGGCTGGTACTTAGGCACAGGCATGGGCTGCCAGTGAAAGTTATTAGACCAGGATGAAGATCCTAGGGGAGACAGTGAAGTCTTGCTCATGGACGCACTGAACATGTGGCTCTGGGCAAGCTTATGATTCCCTTACAGAAATTTAGTAAAATTTCATGACCCTGCATAATAGTCAGATGACAAAAAGTCACCTGTGTACAAGACAGCTTCTAAAATCAGGGACAGCAGGCTGCCCATTTGCTCAGTTTTGTGGTTTTTTTTAATTGCAGGACACAAATGCCAAAATATCTTCCATTATATGCCTAAGAGGAAAAACAAAGTTTAAAGCCAAGAAATGCAGCCAAAAATCTGTCCCTAGTCACATATGTGCAACTTCTGACTGCAACATACCAGCCCACTGCTGTAACCAACGTGTTTGAAGGCACAACTGAGAATACATAGGGTGGGATGTATCTCCCCACAGCACGGTTAGCACTTAACTGCTTTGAGTGGGATTGCCAATGCTTAAGACCAGCCCTGCTAAATCACGAGAAAGAGAGAGAGAGAGAGAATGACTAGAGAGAAACAGAGGGGAAGACAGAAAGAAGAAAGCGTTCTGAAAATACTGGAAATTCTATGGCTCCCTCAGCATCACCACCTCTCTGTGAGGCTATTTATAGGAAACACTAGTGGCTTGCTGGCATGCATGCAGGAGAGGCATCAAGCAATTTATTCAGACTCAAATGGTGCATGTTGGGGGGCAGGGGAAAGAATGAGACCTGCATTCCTCAGGACCCGCAGGTGGTTAGAGGCAGGCAGCCTTGCTGGGTCTGATCTCGCTGCGAGGCCCTGAGCAGATTATTGCGTCTCTCTGGGGTTCACTTTCCTCAGCTGAAAAGTGGAGCTAATTAGGATTCAAGAATTTCAGGGTGATGATAAAGACTGAACGATACAATTGATGTCAGGTGATCAGATTAAGTACTACCTGTCATCATCGCTACTGTCAACAGTATGTATAGCAATCAGAACAGCGCATGGCCTGCAGTAAATGCTTGATAACCATTAGCTCTGACATTTCCGTGGCTTCCACTGTCTTTGTAGTTATTGTAACACTCATACAGAAGATTAGAGACAAGTTTTCTCGCTAGACCTATAGACTGTGGAAAACCCAACAGTCAAATCAGTACTGCAAGTCCTTCTGATGCCTGACATCTGAGAGTCCACGAAGGCTCCCTTTACGGGGAACTGCATGAATTTTTGCCATCTTCCACTTCTACTCCCCAGCAGAGAGGAGGGTTCTGAGTTGCCTTAGAGCATTTCTTTGGGGGCTGTGGACATCTGAGATTTAGAATATACTATAGAGCACGAAAAACTTGGCAGTGAGACAGGGTTAAGTGTTTCTTAAAAAAAATCATTACTGCTTCCTGGATGCTGCACTGAGTAGAGGCCTGGAACGCACTCCTCCTGCTGAGATACAGAGGTGGAGACCCTGTGGGCTCAACTGAGAGGCTCCAGCTGTGGACGAGGCAGTGTGACGAGGTCCTCCGCGGCCACGTGTATCCCTGCTGCCAAGTTCCAGCTGCTCCTGCCAACGGTAACTCAACGTACTTAACAAGCCTGTCCAAATGATCTTCTCTCTGTGGAACTTACCGTAGCAGAAAGTGCATCGCTGCAGTCTCTCTAATGCTGGTGTGTAGTCAGTCCCGAGGGGAACCACTACCACTTGGAATGTGCCAGTGTCATCAATCTGCAAGAAGCAAAGGGGAAAGCACAACTTAGCGGGTAGTGTTGCAAGAACTTTCCAGCCCTGCAGCGCCAGCACCCCATGTGGACGCCAGTTCAAGTCCTGGCTGCTCCACTTCTGATCCAGCTCCCTGCTAATGTGCCTGGGAAAGCAGTGAAAGATGGCCCAAGTCCTTGGGCCCCTGTACCCATGTGGGAGACCCAAAAGCAGCCCCAGGCTCCTGGCTTCAGATCAGCACAGCTCCGACCATTGTGGCCATTTGGGGAGTGAATCAATGGAGGAAAGACCTCTGTCTCTCTTTGTCTCTGCCTCTCTGTAAATCTGCCTTTCAAATAAATAAAAATAAATCTAAAAAAGGTCATTTAAAATGCATTTTAATATATATAATATATAATATAATATATAATAATATAATATATATAATATATATATAAAAGGGCCTCCCAGGACTGTTCAAAGAACCAAGAGCTGAAGAAGGCAGTCCTGCCCCTTCTGAGAAGCCATGGGGAGGGAGGCCCAGCTTGTCAGCATGGCTAAGAGCACCACCTGGGTTTAAACTCCAATTCTTCCATTAACTGTACGATGAGCTACAGTTGCTTCTGCTTCTTCATCTGTAAAGTGGGACAACTGACTACTACGCGACAGGGCTACCATGAGCTGTAAGTGAATTCATAATTGTAAAGCAGAGTGGGTGCCATGTGGGTCTTTAAGGGCCACAGGGCATTTTCATAGCTATTATCTCAAAAACACTCTAGTGAGTTAAGTCTTAAGTTCACCATTCCCACTTTACAGCTGGAGAAAGTGAAGGTTAAAGGTGCTCAAAAGACACTAGACATGGAAGGGACTGAAGGTAGAAACCCCCACTGCCAAGCCCCAGGGAACCACGTGAAACCACAGGCTGCTCTTCAGAACTCTTCGGGCTTCCACTAGGAATCAGGCATTGAAATAGATACTCAGGGGGCTGGCACCGTGGCTCATTAGGTTAATCTTCTGCCTGCGGTGCCAGCATCCCATATGGGCGCCGGGTTCTAGTCCCAGTTGCTCCTCTTCCAGTCCAGCTCTCTGCTGTGGCCCAGGAGGGCAGTGGAGGGTGGCCCAGGTGTTTGGGCCCCTGCACCCACATGGGAGACCAGGAGGAGGTGCCTGGTTCCTGGCTTTGGATCGGCGCAGTGTTGGCTGTAGCGGCCATTTGGGGAGTGAACCAACGGAAGGAAGGCCTTTCTCTGTGTCTCTTTCTCTCACTGTCTATAACTCTACCTGTCAAATAAATTAAAAAAAAAAAAAAAAGATACTCAGGCCAGTTTCCAGGCAGCTCTCCTTTCTGAACAACTCCCCTTTCCTGTGCGGCCCCAGGTCACTGACCCATCTTGGCAGCCTGAGGCTGCAGGACAGAGAAAAGATGAGCCTCCGAATAAGCGAGAACAATGTGTTAGCTGACCCAGAAATAACTGCTACTTGAAGGGAAACTGTAGGTAGGAGTCCCTAATGCTGGGAGATGGGTCAGGGGCTATTGATGCTTTCCCCTGTGGATCCTCCTAAGCCTACAGCTCCCCTTGTTCTCTGGGAAGTTCCTCTTTTACCAGTAGAAATAGGACTTTGGAGTAACTCCATCTCCCACCAGGGCTGGCCGATCAGGGATGGACATCTAAGCCCATCACACCCACTCTCTCAGGATTGTGGAAAGGGGTCCTGAGGGCTGAGTCTATCCACACTCAGAGAAAGAGCTAACAGAGCTACAGGCTGGCCAAGGTTCTCTCTTATGGACTAAAATGGGAAACAGGAGTGGGGAAGGAGAAGGTGGCAGCTTTTCCTGAGGCTTGTCTTGGTTTCTCCCCATTTTTTATTCTTGCTTAAGATTATTTATTTGAAAGTCAGGGCAACATAGAGGCAGAGACTGAGAGAAAATCTTGCACCACCTGCAACAGCCAGCTGTGGGCAGGCCAGAGTCAGGAGCCAGGAACTCCACCCGGGTCTCCCACCCGGGTGACAGGCCCAAGTGCTCGGGCCATCTTTTGCTGCCTTCCCAGGTGCATTCACAAGAAGCTGGGTAAGCAGCATGTAGCCAGGACTTGAACAGGCATCACAGGCAGCAGCTTCACCTGCTGGGCCACAATGCTGAGCCCTGCCTCTTTTTGTTCCACTGTGCACCCCTGCCTTCCTCTCTGGGAGACCACTGTGTGTGCCTTCATTAGTTGTCTAGACTAGGCAACAAAATTCTGAGGCAGTAGGTGATAACTGAAACTTTACACAAAATTTCTAGACACAGTAGAGAAAGGGACATAGGGTGCCAGGAAAAGACAGAGGGCAGAAAGTAGTGAGAGTGAGCATTGTGTGGTATAAGATGGGGGGAAGACCCTGAGATGGTATGGCAGGGGAGAAGGGACGGGGAGGTGACAAAACATGGGGGCTCCAATTGGGGGACGCAGTGCTGTGTGCGATGCTGCCTTCTCTTCGTGGTACACTGTCTTCAGTAAAGTCTGCATTGCTCTCGGACAGTGCAGACGGATTCTTTGATGAAATTCTGCACAGATTCTCAGAAGTATGAAACAGATGAAGGTTTAAAAATATGGCCCCCAAATCAAAATGCCTTGTGACATTAGACATGTGAGTTCCTTCCTTAGAAAGGACTGGACTGTGTAACTAAAGCACAATGGGAGAGAATAGACAGAACAAAAAGGCAGCACACAGAGTGGCAGCACTGCAATTTCTCTTCTGTAATATCCCCAGGCACCGGGTTCTATTTGGAGCCCTTCCAGACACCCTGCTCAGTCCCACCCTCTAACATCAGGGTGGGCCTTTGATTTTCTAGTTTACTTTTGTATCACTGGCGCGCCTAAGACAACACCTAGAGTAGGTCAGATGCTCACTAAACTCTTTTTGGATGAATGAACCTTGGGCACAATTCCGATTTTGGCCTTTATTTCTCTCTCTTCTTCTGCACCAGCAGTGCATAGCAGATTAAGCCTATGCCTGCAATGTGGCATCCCATATGGGTGCTGGTTGGAGACCCAGCTGCTCCACTTCTGACCCAGCTCCTTGCTAATGTGCCTGGGAAGGCAGCAAAAGATGGCCCAAATCCTTGAGGCCCTGCACCCCCATGGCAGACCCAGAAGCAGCTCGGGGCTCCTGGCTTTGGCCTGGCCCCTACCCCAGCTGTTGCAACTATCTGGGGAGCGAACCAGAGGATGGAAGGTCTCTCTATCTTGCTCTGTCTCTCTTCTTAACATTTCAAAAGTAAAAAAAAAATTTTTTTTCTAAGTTGTTGTGCATGTACCTTTGAGTGGGTGGAATTGTTGTCGGGTTGAGTTTATATCACAAGTGCCATCAGTTATTTGGCTCTTGCTTTTTGACTAAAGCCAAAGGGTGAGGGAATTATGAGGCCTCTGTGTAATGTCACTTAGAGTTTCTGGAGTTGCTTGTCTTGTAGCAGCCTCATTTGCACAGACTGCCCCCAGTCTTTTCTCATTCACCTGCCTTTTCCTTTCTGAACCTGACCCATCAGCCTTTTCATTTGCATGACTGACATTACTTCAATGAAGCTGGTAGCAGCTTTAGATCCTTTACAAGGTACTATTCATTACTATTAAATAGATTCTAGTTCATCATCAAGACCCAAGTGGTGAGGATAATAATTAGAGCAAAAGCTATTCTTGAGTGCTTAATACGTACTAGGTCCTAATTCAGGGAAATATCATTTCATCCTTATACCACTCTAGGAAATAAGTACTTTTCATTTTTGACAGATGAGAAACAGTTCAACTCTGTTCTGCTTATCTCAACACTTCCACAGAAAATTACAGATATGGGAAGGCTCTATAAGTGGTTCAAAAGCCACTAGTCCTAGCCTCCAGTCTCTCAGAAAGAGAGGAGTCACTTTTGTAAGGTGACTGACTGCCCTCCCCCCCCCCCCAAGAAGGTCATCAGAAAGTAGGTGACATATTGGCCAACTGCATTAGTCCTTATAACCCATGCCAACAGTAAATCAAAATTGCCTTCAGAACAGTTCCTACTTAAGGGGGTGGGCATTGTAGTCCACCAGGTTACGCCACTGCCTAGGCCAACAGCATCACATAGTGCTCCTGTAACATGCGTGGGAAGGCAGATGACGGCGCAGGTACCTGAGCCCCTGCCACCCACGTGGGAGACCCAGATGGAGCTCCTGGCTCCTCACTTCAGTCTGGCTCAGATCTGGCTGTTGGGAGCATTTGAGGAGTGAACCAGTGGACGGAAGATCTCTCCTTTCAAATAACTCATGCTGCCTTTCAAATAATTCACTCCTTAATTAAAACAGTTCTTAAACCTAAAGTTTCCTACAGCTACTGCCTCTAGCTTCCCTAATAAGAGCTTGTGCGAACTTGGATTTCAGTTGGCTGATTTTTTTTTTCCAGGAATACTTTTCTACACACTTGGAGACAATGATTCAGTTGCATCAGTCCTTCCTCTTAATGAAGTGATTTTCAGGGGTTTGGCCCCTTTAGAGTGCATTTTCTTACATCCTGCTGCTGCTCCTGGGGCCCTGCATCCTGGTCTCCAGATGAACAGAGTACAAAAGGCCAGGTTGGGCCACACAGCTGACAGCAGGGGCACATGGCCGGCTCCTGCAGGCTTTCTGGGACGGAGGTCTGCCATCGAGTGCTATCCACAGGGTGTGTTCAAATTACACATGGCTGTCTTCATCAAGGATGGTTTATTTAGAAATACTGTACATTGAGGCCGGCTGCTCACTAGGCTAATCCTCCACCTTGTGGCGCCGGCACACCGGGTTCTAGTCCCGGTCGGGGCGCCGGATTCTGTCCCGGTTGCCCCTCTTCCAGGCCAGCTCTCTGCTGTGGCCCGGGAGTGCAGTGGAGGATGGGCCAAGTCCTTGGGCCCTGCACCCCATGGGAGACCAGAAGTACCTGGCTCCTGCCATCGGATCAGCGCGGTGCGCCGGCCGCGGCAGCCATTGGAGGGTGAACCAACAGCAAAGGAAGACCTTTCTCTCTGTCTCCTGTCTCTCACTGTCCACTCTGCCTGTCAAAAAAAAAAAAAAATACTGTACATTGAGATCTTTATCCCCATTCTAAGAAACTATAAGTGGCATGGCTTCCCCTTTATAAATTTTCAACCTTTACATTATTGGTTATGTCATAAAGTCAACCCATAGGTTTTTACTGTACAGCCATGACTGTTCGCTGGGTCTCCAAGTGACAGCCATACATGTTTTTTCTTTTTTTCTTTTTTTAAGATTTATTTATGAGAGGCAGAGTTGCAGAGAGCGGGAGACACAGAGAGAGAGAGATCCTCCATCACCTGGTTCACTCCCCAAATGGTCACAACAGCTGGAGCTCAGCTGATGCGAAGCTAGGAGTGTCTTTTGGGTCTCCCATGCCGGTGCAGGGGCCCAAGGACTTGAGCCATCCTCTGCTGCTTGCCCAGGCCATCAGCAGGGAGCTGGATCAGAAGTGCAGCAGCCAGGACTCCAACCAGCGAGGCAGGCACATGCCAGGCCCTCTGTCCTGAAGTCAGCACCTTCATCCCCATGGGCACTCAGAGGGTACTGGGGAAGCACCGACTAGCACCCGGGAATAGGCCCTGCCACACACACTTCTCAGCTAGGCGGGTCCAGACAAGTGGCCTCACTTCTCACTGTCCTCATCCACAACACGGGAACAGATCCTGTACACCCTACTTCCAAGAATGAAACAGGATAGCATATACGGAGGGCTGGCACACGACAACACGCTATTTCTGTTCTGTCCACCCGAAGGCTAAAGCTTGCAAACGAACGAGCTAGGTCCCGAGCGCCGGCAAGCTCAGCTCCGCAACCTCCCGTGGAGGCTTCGGGCACCGGCGGACTCAGAGACCCGGCCCGGCGGTGTCAGCCCCTTACTGCGAACGCCCGCCGCACGGTCGGCACTGCGCCAAAGGCGATCACCACGGGCACGATGTCCAGCGCTCCCAGCTCCATGGTGGCCGCCGCGAGCTCCTGAAGATCGGCAGCGTCGGCCGCGCCCGCGCTGAAGAAGGCGGCGACCCTCCTCGCGTGGGCGCCCGGCAGCGTGCGCTTGAACACGTTCCTGGAGATGAACCGCATGGCGCGGCCCAGCTCGCCGCCGGACGACGACGCCTCGTACGGGATGGCGCCAATGGCGCCCAGGAGCCGGCTCTCGTCCAGGGCGTCCGAGAAGCGCACCACGTGCCGCGTGCCGGCGCCCCCGTACGTGAGCACGGCCACGCGCGCGCCCACGGCGCACCCGCCTGTGCGCACGCGCACGCCGCGCAGCGCGGCCGCCGCCATCTCCTTCATGCGCGAGAACGCCTGCGCCGTGACGCCCCGCGACTGGTCTAGCGCGAACACCAAGTCCGTGGGGTGCACGGGGCACTCGGGGCTCCCTGGAAGACAGGACGGAGACGCTTAGCATGGTGCGTGCGCACTCGGATGAAACATCTACAGTGTATAAAATTAAGTACATAAACATGAAATACAGGTTATGCGTCTCATTTTAAATAGTCATTGTCCAGAGTTAACACTAATCATCTCAATATTAGAATGTGTAAAATACAAAATACATAAATCTTGAATTTTTGCTGTTCTAAAATCTAGAACAACAGTGCCTGGCATGTATGAATGTTAGCCATTATTATTATGAGATTCTCAATGTGCCAGGGAACAACTATATCACCAAAAGGAGAGAGAGGCGAGCTCTGATACACTTTTGTTCGACATTTAAAAACGTAAATGTACCTAATAAATATGCCTTACTGCATAGAGAAACTCTGAATTGTGCTCGCTAACTAATATGTTAGAGGCAGATTTTTGTGTCCTTATTCTTTGCCCTGTCCCCTGCACGTACCACAGTGGGCCATCTGTATTTGATTTTTAATGTTTCTTTTTCCTGCTAATTTATGACAGATGGAGATAGGAACTGTGTCTCCGTTAAGCTTCCGGGTTATTAGTTCCTGCATACAGTAGATACCTAACACCTGTTGAAAGATTGTGAGAGAGCCGAAGAACTGTTCTTTTGCAACAGGCTCAGGAAGAACAAGACCAGTCTATGTGTCAGATGCCTGGTGCTGGGATGTAGGATGAAACCCAGGGAGGCATTCCTCTTGGAGGGGAAACCTCCTCTCATTGAGATGCCAGTGAGTCAGATTCAGGGGTCAAAAACACAGCATGAGGCCCACGAAAGGGGCTCAGCACCTCAGACTTGCTGGGGCTCCCCCAGCCTGACCAAGGCCACAGTCCCTCAGCCACAGGCCTTAGTGCTATTCACTCCTGTCCTGGACCCTATGACCTTCACAGGCCAAAGGAGTTATCACCTGGCCATTGAGAAGAAATGTCCAAACCTAATCCCACTGTTCATCTCAGTGGAGACGGAATATAACTAGACTGTGAGTCTAGTTAGTGTGTTGAGCGTGCACACACATACACATACATATACATACACATGTATGTGTACATGTTTTAAAATTGAGATCATGTCAGTTTTCCAATTTAAAAAACGAGTACAATTACAACCAAATAGGAAAGTTCTGCTGGCTTTTTTCTGTGTTACTTGCATATGGAAAGAACAACAAAGATCTTCAGGTGCAATTTAGAGATAAAAGAACAAAAGACAACACTGGCTAAAGATATGAGGTAATTCAAGATTTCAGGGTTAAAAAAAAATCTAAGGAGGGTGTCAGCTTGCAAAATACAACCCAGCATGCACCTTGGAATGCCAAGGATCCTAAAGAATACTCGGCTGGATTGCAGGGGTACTTGGGAGGCCTCTACCAGGGATGGGTCCCCATTTGGAGACCTAACATGATTTGGTGGCTACACACAAAGCAGGTGATGGAAAAGACGGGAGACATGCAGATCAGCGCAAACTTCCTCCACGTCACTCACACACACACTGTGATGGCCACCTCCTGGCTACCATCATTTCTGTCTGGAATACCAAGCACCCTCCTGCCTCTGGTCTTTATACTCACCCTCCTACAACCTACTCTCCCCAGAGTAGCAAAAGCAAGTTCTAAAAAGTCGCTCTCTGGAGCCGGCACTGTGGTGTAGTAGGCTAAGCCCCTGCTTGCGGTGCCAGCGTCCCATATGGGCACCAGTTTGTGTCCTGGCTGCCTCTCCTCTGATCCAGCTCTCTGCTAATAGGCTGGGAAAGCAGTGGAAGATGGCCCAAGTGCTTGGACTCCTGCACCTGCATGGAAGACACAGAAGGAGCTCTTGGCTCCCCCTTCGGATCAGCCCAGTTCCTGCCATTGCGGCCATTTAGGAAGTGAACCAGCGGATGGAAGACTTCTGTCTCTCCCTCTCTCTGTCTGTAACTACATAAATGCAGCCTCCTTATTAGACCTTGCAAAACCCAGCTTGATCCGGCTCCTGCCTCCTTCCCCAATTTTTTTTTAATATTTGCCATACCTCCTGCATTCCACCCACACCATGCCTCAGTCATGCTGGGCTCCCTCCTAGAAAATGCTTAGTTCTGTTGCCTTTGCACTTTCTAGGCTCTCTGCTTGGCTCTTTCAAAGCTGGTTGTTTTTTATTCTTCAGCCAGACCTCAGTTTCACTGCCTTAAAAAAAAAAAAAAAGAACCTGGGCAGGCATTGAGGTTCAGCAGGTTAAACTGGTGCTTGTGACACTGGCATCCATATCGGAGCATGGGGTTGAGTCTTGGCTGCTCCACTTCCAAGCCAGCTCTCTGCTAATGCGACTAGGAAAGCAGCAGAAAGATGGCCCAAGTGCTTGGACCCCTGCCATGTGCATGGGAGACTAGGACGGAGTTCCAGGCTCCTGGCTTTGGCCTGGCTCAGTCCTGGCCGTTGCAGCCATTTGGGGTATGAACCAGAGTTGGAAGATCTCTCTTCCTCTTTCCCTCTGTGACTCTGCCTTTCAAATAAATTTTTAAATGTTAAAGAAAAAAAAAGTCCTCCACCCAGAAGCACCTCTGCCCCCTTTTAACACTTTGCTGTGACAGAACAATCTGTGCTTTATCTCTTGCACAACTAAAGAACTCTGAATCCACCAATTTGCTCGTTCTTTTATTTTCCGGCTCTCCCCTGAGAGTGGGCTTCTGAGCATAGGAATCTTGTTCCTTATACAACCCTGTGTCCCCGAGCCTAGGCCCAAGGCTGGCTCACAGTAGGCTTGCCATGCGTGTTTGTCGAAAGAATAAACAGACAAGCAGAGGGTGTGGGGTTGAGCGTTTACACCAAAGTTATAAGGGTATAAATGTAAAGAGAGTATGACGGGCTCCCACATCATGTAAAAAGCATCTGAAAAACATTAAAAACTAGCACTCAAAGACATTAAGTCAGCTTGATAATTAGCATCAGCACAAACTCTGGACTTCTGTGTTATCCAAGCTGCACATTCTGTTTGCTTGCTCTCTGAAAAGCCTTCACTTGTGTTCTGTCCTCTGCGTCTCCATCCCTAACCACTCACATCTCACAAAGGGAGAACTACGAACAGAGAATCTAACAGTAAGGTGCATGGTGATGTTAGTCATTAAAAGATTATTAATAGAAGGGCTGGCGCTGTCGCGCAGTGGGTTAATGCCCTAGCCTGAAGTGCCGGCATCCCATATGGGTGCTGGTTCTAGTCCTGGCTGCTCCTCTTCTGATCCTGCTCTCTGCTTTGGCCTGGGAAAGGATGGCGCAAGTCCTTGGGCCCCTGCACCCACGTGGCAGATCCGGAAGAAGCTCCTGGCTCCTGGCTTCGGATAGGCCCAGCTCTGGCCATCGCGGCCAACTGGGGAGTGAACCATTGGATGGAAGACCTCTCTCTCTCTTTCTCTTTCTCTCTCTCTCTCTGCCTCTCCTCTCTTTGTGTAACTCTGACTTGAAAATAAATAAATCTTAAAGAAAAAAGATTATTAATAGAAAAGAAGACCAGTTGGTTGAGAAATAGCTGTGAAGTTTAGCTAATGCTGAGTGATTTATTGAAGACAGGTCTCTGCTACCAGTATGAGACAGCAAAGGAAGCCCACAGCAATTTTATATCAGTTGGCAGGAAACACACTGCTTGAAGTCATCTTTCCAGATGTGTGACACTTTGGAGCTTGAATAAAACATGCTGTAAATAAAGATTACTCACCGTGTCCGCCAGCTGGGGAAGAAGAACAAAGGAGACTGGGTTATTGTTTGGGAGGAGAACAGAGCTCCGCATTGTGTAGGAAAATCATGGCAGGGAGGTTCTGCACTGCCTGCTCTTGGAAGACGACTCAGAAATCAAGGCAACAGAGTTTAGAGAAAATGCAGACAGAACTTAGCCTTATTCTTTCTTCAGGGCAGGGGGTGGGAGAAGAAGTGGAAAAACAGATAATCATGAATTAGCAGCTGCAGCAGACTCAGAGCAAAGAACTGCCTGGATGAGAACATTTTTGTAGGGGAAGGCACTGCATGTGGCCAGGTAAGAACATCCTAACCTCCCTTTCCTCTCAGTTTTCCCCATGCATACATCTATAGCTATCAATTTTATATTCACACACATAAAAGTATCTATGGCTATCTATAGAATATGTTTATACAAATTGAATATTCCTTATCTGCAATGACTGGCATTGGCTTTTGAATTTTTTTCAGATTTTGTTAATATTTGCATATGCATATGGAGATATCGTGTGGAGGAGACCCAAGTCTAAAATTTATTTTTGTTTCATCTTACACACATAGCCTAAAGGTAATTTTATACAATATTTTTAGTTCACTTATGTTGTGACTTTGACTTGTCACGTGATGTCGGGTACAGAATTTTCTACTTGTGATGTCACCTCGGTGATGAAGCTTTATAATTTGGAGCCTTCAGGTTTCACATACTTGGATTAGGGACGTTCAACCTGTGTAGTGCATGTTTACATACCATATCAATATCAGCAGTGCATTTACTCTCCAGCAAAGGAACCCTGTCCACCATGGCAGCCATGTGCCACATGCAGCCATTTTCATTAAAATGAAATGAAGAACGCAGTTTCTTTCAGAGGCACCAGCCACAGTTCAAGAGCTTGCAGCCCTCTGGGCTGGTGGCTGCGGGGACAGTGCAGTGGTTAACACCCAACAGAGAATCCTGTTGGATCACGTGGCTCGGGGGCTCGCACCTGCTCAGGCCCTCACACAGCCCTGCCTGCAAGGAACCAGCTGTGTTGTTCACGTGCTTTCCTAAAACATGCAGATGTTCTTGGTTGTGAGGCTTTCCTACTTTGGATTTATAACTTTGTATTGAACCCTTCTCTTTTTTAAAAGATTGGGCCCCATCACACTTGGACCTGCCTTTCAGTCATTACAGTACATAGTGTTCCTATCCCAGAAGATCTACTGCCCCAAATCAACCCTACAACACCCAATCTTCACGTGTACATTAAGAGGTTCCACACTGCTACCAAATAGCAGAATTCCAGTCGACTTGGCATTCAAAGGTTTTTAAAGTCTATATTAGGATAGGCATTTGCACAACAGTTAAGCTGTTTCCTGGGACATCAGCATCCCATATTGGAGTCCTTGGGATGCAGTCCCATCTCTGCTCCCCAATCCAGATTCCTACTAATGGTCATGCCTACTGGGAGGCAGCAGGCAATGAATAAAACAGCTGGGTCCCTGCCACCCAGATGGGAGACCTGGATGGAGTTCAAGCTCCAGACTTCGGCCTGTCCCAGCCCTGGCTTTTGGGGAGTGAACCAGCAGATGGAAGTGGGCTTGCTCACTCTCTCTGCCTTTTGAATAAATAAAAATTAGAAAAGAGAAATCTCCCTTTGAGGCTAATGCTATCTACAGAATTGGGCTCAAGTTTGTCTATTTTCTCCTCCAAAATGCATTCACAGAACTGTCAATGCTTCCTTTCAGGCCTATTGTTTACTTGGGAACTTACGCACATGAAATAGTAGACAGACATGAAATAGTATTTTTTTTTCTCTCTAAAGAAATATTTTATTTGATGGGGTTGGTGCTGTGGCTCAGCAGGTTAACACCCTGGCCTGAAGCGCTGGCATCCCATATGGGCGTCGGTTCGAGACCCAGCTGCTCCACTTCCGATCCAGCTCTCTGCTGTGGCCTCGGATAGCAGTAGAAGATGGCCCAAGTCCTTGGGCCCCTGCACCCACATGGGAGACCCGGAAGAAGCTCCTGGCTCCTGGCTTCAGATTGGCGCAGCTCTGGCCATTGCGGCCAACTGGGGAGTGACCCAACAGACGGAAGACTTCTCTCTGTTTCTTTGTACCTCTTCTCTCTCTGTGTAACTGACTTTATTTTAAATAAATATTTTTTAAAAGAAATTGTTTATTTGAAATAGTCTTAATCTCCTACAGGGAATGCTTTTGATGGCGCTAATGATGCTTTAACAGAAAAGCCTGCTGAAAGGGTCTTAAAAATTCAAAAAGAACATCTGCCAAATCAAAATAGATTTTGGTTTTAACATTTTGAAAAAGAGAGAGACAGAGAGTGTTGGCATAGTGAATATTGTTGATTTTTTTTAGGAGTAAATCAATCAGTCCACCCAAAAGCAAACAGATCTTTCCTGGAAAGGAAAGACGTACTAAACAGTAAACCAAAGGCAGGACTCCCGCCCACCAGGACACCCTGTTACCGTAGCCTCCTTCACACTAGGTGAGTTCAAAGTGTGTCAGTTACAATCAGGCATTCATAATGGTTTTGAAAAAGTTGAATGTGACTCTCTGATGTTTATTTAATCATTGGGGATCTCAGTGTTCTGCGGATTAAAAGCACCAGCTCTATTGCATTGCTCAGTACTTGGAATAGGTCCCCACAGACACACTGGCAGCCTGAGAGGGAGCTAATAGTCACCAGTCTATGCTGGCTCAAAATATACGCAGTAACAGCTCTCATTTTAAGAAATTGGCTGCTACGTCTTCCCAATCCTGAGTGCAGAGCTCCTGGCTTTTTTTCTGGATGCTGACAACTTGGGAGATTGCTGTCCGGCAGGGTACTTACGACTGTGGTCCCGCACATACTGGATGAGCTCACACACCTGCAGTTCAAAAAGAAGGCAAGAATTAACTGACAGGCTGCTAGGTCCTGTGTTTAAAACAAACGCACGTCATGGAGGGTTCAGGACATCTCTGCTGGAGTCAGGAGGTACATACGGAAAATGGCGCCAAGCCTCTGGCCCCTTTCACACCCTAGAAAAACAGAAGAAAACATAATGTGATTTTACTGCTACACACACACACACACACACACATCAGTTGCCAGAATGTGCAGCAAGCCTGCCCTAGCAAAGCTATAATTTTTTAAGGATTTTGTTCTCAAAGAATACAGGCAAGAACACTCATTGTCTACTTAGCAGTAACACACAGAGGGGGTCAAAGTGAACCATCAGCAACAAGCTTGGGGCCCACAAGCTCCCACAAGCTACTTTCCTCTGGCTGTAGCTCTAGGCAACAAAGATGGTCTAGAATCTAGGGATGGAACTGGTAACTTGACCCTGGTACTGCAGAGCTTAGGAGTAGGCTCACGGCTCAGAACTAGCTCAGGCTGAACCACCTGTGTGCAGCTGCCCCTCCTTGTGGCTTCTTCAGCCCCCATCCTTTGCTTGGGCTGGGGCAGCAGCCGGAGCTGAGCCTTCTTCTACTCCCATCACCATGACAACAAAGGGACAGACTCAAATTGAGCAGCTGGAAGACTTATTCTCACTCTTCCAACAGGGAATATATGTGCCTGCCTGAGTGGGGACAGAAAGAACGAAGCAGAACTGGTTTTCATTTCATGTGTTCAACCCATTCTTTGGAGGAGTCTGGCTACTCTCAAAGAGAGACACATGGGAAAATGCAATGGAGAGTGACCCAAACTCCAGAAGCAAATAAATTCTGTGTGAATGCAACGTTGATCACAGCCATTATTTGTTAATTTCCTCTCACTTGCATTCATTCACTAGTAACATGTTCAATGCAGGAAGAGGGAAGTGATTGGACAGATAACTAAAATTCGCTGATGACTGAGAAATCTCCTTTTAATATAATACTTTCCATTTCTTATATAATCAACAACTTTTCTCTCTGCACAGGTGAAACAGTAAAAATAGTGGCAAGGCAGCAGAGGTGGAAGCAGGCACATTTGAACTATGAAGGTCCCACGCACTGGCTTTGTAAGTGGAAAAGGGTTTGTAGCTTTCCCACCCACCTTGCGTCCTGGAGGTCCCGGCTCCCCCGGGGATCCTGGCTCTCCTGGAAGCCCAGCAGATACCTCAAAGAAGAATGCGTTTATTTAAAAATTATATATATGCATACATATGAGTATGTTTATCTTTTAAATTCAGATGAAAACATTTAAATTTCAAAGATGAAAATTCAAAAGTGAAAGGTTCACTTTAACTCTGGAAAATTGAAAGAGTCCCAAAAAACACCAAAAGGAAAAAATTTCCAGCAACCTCTTCTTCCCCCCAAAATCCTCCTTAACACTTTGATGCCTTTTCTTATTGTTTTATGTATGAAGATTTACATTCATTTTTGAAAAAATTATTCTTTATCATGCTTTTTCCTGTTGCCTCTTAAACTAAAGACCTATCTCTGGCTATATTTTCATGTTACTACACGTTCTTTTGCAAAATCATTTTCCATGGCTACATAGTATTCCATTACAGTGGTGGTCCACGAATAATCTAATCAATCCCTTATCATTGGCATTTAGGTTTGTTAGTGCTGCAATGCTAGTATAAAGTTACACACTCATTTCTGATTATTAAGGAAGAGGACTAGGTATAGAATTATTGAGTCAAGGGATAAACTTTTCTCTAAATGAGATTGCAGGTGACTAACAAAATAACAAGAAATCTAGGATATAAAATACGAAAACCCTTAAAATGACAACAGGAACAATTTTTGGCAGGGCACATCTGTAATGACACGTGAACAGCTGCAGTCATATACACAGCTCTTGTTATCTGCTCGCTGTGTTCCACAAATTGCCCATATGCATTCAGCAATACAGTTGATCACAGAGAAAGCTAGAATCTAGTTTAGAAATTGAGTTTACATTCTTTTCTTCATTCAAAATGCCACTGGATTTACAACCTCTACAGGAACACAAAACGAAGTTGTCTGACGTCGACTTAATTTGTTATAGCATTGCCTAGGGAATAGGAAATTATTTCTGATGTCCTCTGAGTATACCAATGATGTTGACAATATGCTAGGTGGGATGCAAGAAGAAAAATTAACTTACTGACAATATGTTATTTGAAAGATATAGGTAACCTCCAAGGGAAAAAATGGCAGATTGAATACACGCATTTACTTTTTTGTTCCTTTTCTGTATCTTACTAAAATGATAGATTTTTTTTCAAAAAGGCAAGAACCAATGATGGGAAGAAAGAAGAAGGACACAATTGCTGTAAGATTTTGGAGGCTGGAAAGTAAAGGCGTTTGTGTTAAATGACTTAGCAGGCCTGAGAAAGCTGAACTCGGTGCCAGCAGTCAGCAAATCCAAGAGCAAATGTGTTTTTTATCACACATTCCCAGCAGCCTGTGGATCTGGCAACACCACGTCCCTCCAGAAGTAAAGGTAAAAAGAAAGAGGCTACATTAGGAGGTTTCCTTGAAAATCACCGTAGGAGTTTCCAGACCTCTGTATTCTCAACAGCTGGGCAAATGGCCCAACAAACAGAGGAGAAACTGAGATGTGACTCTGGGCAGAGCTGGGGCCAGGGGTGCTGTGCTGCAATGGGTGCCTTGAGGGCTGACAACCAGCCCTTACTCTCCAGGAAGGATGTAGATAAGATTTGTTTTCCAGGGGAAGCTGACTAGACAAAGAAGACCCAAAGGCACTGATACTGCAGTGCCAATAAAGAGTTCCGCCAGATCACTCTCCATAAGAGAAACTTAGAGTTGAAACCCCACTCCTGTCCTCAGGACGCCCAGTCTTTCTTTTGATCTCAGTTCTTAAAAAGGAGGTGGTGCATTCCTGAGCCATATGAGAAACAAATCAAAATAGGAAAGAAAATGGCAGGAAACAGACTATGATGGGCAAAGACAACAAAAATACTAGCTTATAGCCCAGATAGCTGTTGCACCCATGAAACAAGAATAGTATACTGTAAATAAGGAACATTCAGAGAGCCAAAACAAGCTCTTAAAAATTAAGGTCTGAGATAAACATCATAAGATCAAGTCCAACTCTTCCAGAAAGTAGAAAGCAACTAAGGAACCAGAAAATAGGAGATACAAGAAAGTTAAAGGATTATATTAATAACCAAATAATAGGTATTTCAAATGCAGGGAATATAGAAAACAGAGGAAGAAATCACCAATGTGATTACTGAACACTTCTCTGAATGGAAGGACACACACCTCCAGGCTCAAGAGGCCTGCCTACTGCCCAGGAAAATGGAATAAAAAGTCTTAAAAACCATAAAATATTAAAAGACTATGGACAGAGACATGATTCAGTAAGATCCCATGGAGGGAACTTGAGTCACATACAAAAGACCAGGAATCAGAATGACTTTGGACTTCCCAAAGCAACAAAAGCCACTAGAAATGATGGAGCCATGACAAAATTCTCAGTTCACTCCAGCCCAGAGATGTACATATAGTAGCCACTACATTTAAAAGTAGAATAAAGTGGGGTTGGTGCTGTGGCATAGTGGGTAAAGCTGCTGCCTGCAGTGCCGGCATCCCATATGGGCACTGGTTCGAGTCTCGGCTGCTCCACTTCTGATCCAGCTCTCTGCTGTGGCCTGGGAAAGCAGGAGAAGATGGCTCAAGTCCTTGGGCCCCTGCACCTGTGTGGGAGACACAGAAGAAGCTCCTGGCTCCTGACTTCGGATCAGCGTAGCTCTGGCCGTTGAGGCCAACTGGGGAGTGAACCAGCAGATGGAAAACTCTCTCTCTCTCTCTTTCTCTCTCTGCCTCTCCTCCTCTCTCTGTGTAACTCTGACTTTCAAATAAATAAATAAATCCTTAAAAAAAAAAGAAAGTAGAATAAAGCCATTTTCAGGTGGTAGCTGTTAAAAAGAAAAAAGGACTTTAATTCCTTCTAAGCAAGTTACTGAATGAGTTTTCCATGAAACAAGGGAGAAATCCCACAAGAATCTGGGATTGGGAATGAGAAGCAGAGACCACACACAGAGGAGACGCACAAAGGGAACACCCAGGTGGAGGTGGGGGGATTGCAGCATGGCAGCTGGGTGCCAGGTAAAGTGGGAAACCAGATCAGAAGGCTCAGGGTCACGGTCAGATTTGACAGAATCCACACTGTATCTTAATATCTTCAGAGGGGATCTAGACAGATGGCAAATTACTAAAGGCAAATCAACAACATCTATTTTTTTTTTTTTTTGACAGGCAGAGTGGACAGTGAGAGAGAGACAGAGAGAAAGGTCTTCCTTTTGCCGTTGGTTCACCCTCCAATGGCTGCTGTGGCCGGCGCGCCATTGGTCTCCCATGTGGGTGCAGGGCCCAAGCACTTGGGCCATCCTCCACTGCACTCCCGGGCCATAGCAGAGAGCTGAACAGGAAGAGGGGCAACTGGGACAGAATCCGGCACCCTGACCGGGACTAGAACCCGTGGTGCCGGCGCCGCAGGTGGAGGATTAGCCTATTGAGCCGCAGCGTGGGCCATAAAGGCAAGTCATCAACATCTAAACAAATACTTATTTTCATCTACTTAAAAGGTAGTGAGAAAGATTGGTTGATTGGTTGATTGACTGATGGATGTCCCATCCTCTGGCTCACTCCCCAAATGTCCACAATAGTCAGGCTAGCCCAGGCCAAAGCTAGGAGCCAGGAGCTACATCTGGGTCTTCCACGTGGGTGCAGAGTGGGAGAGAAGAGAAGAGAAGAGAAGAGAAGAGAAGAGAAGAGAAGAGAAGAGAAGAGAAGAGAAGAGAAGAGAAGAGAAGAGAAGAGAAGAGAAGAGAAGAGAAAAGAGAAGAAAGGAGAAGAGAGGAGAGAAGAGGAGGAGAGAAGAAGAGGAGAAGGAGGAGGAGAGGAGAGGAGAGGAGAGGAGGGGAGGGGAGGGGAGGGGAGAGAAAGGAAGGGGAGGGGAGAGAGAGAGAGGAAAGAGATCTTCCATGAACTGGTTCACTCCCGGAATGGCTATGCCAACCAGGGCGGGGCCAGGCAGGAGCTCTGTCCTGGTCTTCTGCTGCCTGCCCAGGAGCCTTAGCTGGCAGCTGTACAGGAAGTGAAGCAGCTGGGGCACAGAGCAGCACTGCCATACGGGATGAAAATCAAGGTGAAGATTTAGAGGACTTAAACGAGGAATATAATCATTTCAAGGGAGCTGAAGCAGCACTCAGAATTGAAGGCAAAGTTTTAGCAAAATCATGCAGCAAACACTTCAGCTCATTCAGGGTGAAACCCAGAATTTGTCAATGTCTAAATGTGAACTCCAAATCCAGAAATACTCATGAAAAGTTGAAAAAGCAGCTGGGTAAGTGAAGTAAACAAGCTGCGAATCATGATAAGCTATCCTCTATGGAGAACAAAAAAGAATTCAGACATTTCCAATGGCAAGAGAAAAGGTTTATGTTTCTCATTAGTTTATTACCATTTTTTTTAAAAAATTGATGTTCACTGGGGGGAGGAACTTGAACAAATAGATGAACTTGTTAGCATGCTTCCAACAACATCTATGGTTAAAACACTTCATTAAGAAGGGAAATGATCCAGAGGTATTTCAATGCAGATGACATCTGGATTAATTTGGAAGTCTTTTCCAATGGTTTTTCTATTTGGATTGTTTTGAGAGTATAATATTAAAGAACACCCATTCAAAAACATGCTTGAGGAAACTAACTACAGCTGGGGAGCAGTTCTCTTGGGAAGAAGGGGAGGGAGAGAAGAGAAGGCTCTCCACTTTCGTACCCCTAACATCTACATAAATAATCTCTATACATAAAGTTCTAGTGACAGCTTGCAGCAAAAACCAAACAAAACAAAACTAGATCAAAGTAAAATTCACATGAAGCCAAACCTGGAAAACCTTCCAAGTGTCAGTTTTCATTAGACATCTTTATTCTTGCTAATTAACATTGTATTAAGATCAATTCACCTGATGGGTGCTATTCTGAAGAAAAGTGAGTCATATCATTTACACAGTCTAAGATGTATTAAAAAAAACTCAGCAAATGCAAAAAATCCTTTCTCATCTCTCTACCCAAGACAAGCTGATGAGATGAACCACAAGCTTGTGTTTATTCCCTGTGATCCAAGCATTGCACAGATGTCAGTTCCCCACAGAATAGAGAAGGCATAATCAGATACAAGTACTTAGTAGATGGAGACTTTCTCACAAAGCTCAAGAGCTATCAACTCGAGCTAAATAAGGAGAGGACTTTTCATCACATGCCTTATTAAATTTAGTTTAACGAAACCTTAATACTGAGGACCTGTCAGGGAGACAGGATTAAACTCATGATATTTTAGAAGTGCAAAATCTGTTATGCATCACAATGATTTTTTTTTTAAACTATGTTTCTAGTGGTAAGAATGGGACCTTGGCTTCCAGAACAGGTGAACTTGTTCTCTAAAAGCAAATAGTTCATTGCCTTCTCATCGGCATTATGAGCCTCGAGTAGGATAGCCATAGCCCTTTCCCAAATTTGTCTTAAGAGAACAGTACACACATTTGACACTTCTAAGGAAACAAGGGATGGTTGACATGATCACAAGTGCAACAGGAATGTAAAACACTTACCGTGTTGCCCCTGGCTCCCTTGGGCCCCGGCTCTCCTGGACTACCAGGGTCCCCAATCTCCCCCTGGGTAAGTTAATTAAAATAAAAGTAGTTATTAAAAATCAAATACACCCCTCTGAGATTCATGTTCTTAAATGGATTCCAACATGAATCCATTTGTCAGACACTTTTCTCTTCTATGCAGTACTTTCTTCTCTGTTCATTTGTATGGCTCTCTACAATGCACAGTGCACCCTTGTTTCACTTCTGTCTTCCCAGACAGATCACAGCCTCCCTGCAGACACAAAGTGTGTCCTTCGCTTTATCTCCGGAAGCTTTCGCTGAGTTTCGCAGATGTTTCTAGAAAAACGGGAAGCCATAAGGTAGAGAGTATCATTGCTGACTTCCTCTTGGAAGATTTATAAATATATTGGAAGACTCCAGCCAAGAGAAGTCAGATAACGTTTGTTTGCTTTGCATTTCAGAAGGAAAACAACGAATTATCTTTCTTTACCTATGAATAAAAAAAAAGAAACTAGAAATATTTTTAAAAGTCTGTCACTTCTAAAAAAATGTTCTTAAAAATTGAAAGAACAAAAAAGCTCTATTCCTTCTTTCCTTATGCTCCCAGAGGTGGAATTTGTTTAATTGGTTAGCACCAACTTCTCCTCTAGTGGCCTCTGATAATTTTGTAACCTGAGGAGTGTTTCTGATCTCCAGTGACTGGGAAGCATAGATACCTTAGGTCCGCTTTCTCCGGGGAAGCCTTCTTGCCCCTGTAATCGACAACAGTGAGATTAATACATGCTCACATTGCTCAAGTGGCTTTATATCGACTATAATCCAACTGCTGCCTTGATTTGTTTTTGTGTCTCTGAACCAAGGAGAGCTAGAACAACAGCACTGTTGGAAACAAACTCCTTCTTTTCTGTACCATTTTACGAGTTAAGATAGTTTTAATTTACTTTATAGTCAAAGGATTGATACTCCCCTAACTAAAAAGTTCAACCAATAAAAAGTAAAAAGAATCATAGTTCAGCAGAAAGAGTCAAGGACTGTAAACAGTAACCATTTGGGAAAGATGGGAACTCCAACTTCTAAATTAAACTATTTATTGCTTTCATCAAAATATCATGGTAAACCAAGACACTAACTGGGTAAAAGTACACAGTTGAGGAACATAAGCCAGCTCCCTCCTCCTGTGTGTACACAGCAGGCTAGGTCATCACTTGCTTGCACATCTGAGTCCTTAGAGAGGAGTTCAAAGCGAAGTCTGGGAGGCTTACATGGAGTCTAAACTTGAGTATTCCTTCTTGGGTCCTCTGTTTACATACTTTAGCCAAAGACTATCATTGGAGAGGTATACTAATCCCTATTTGATGAAAAATACAGATTTTATTGAAAATAAAGTATATTTTCTGCTTATTATAAGTAATAACTTGTTAAACATAAAAAAGAAAGATTACCCAAGTTTCACTATCCAGAATTAGTTATATACATATTTTGTCCTATTTCCTTGTGTCACATTTGGGATAGATGCTTTTCCTGAGTATTTTCTCAATTTTTTACTTGAGATTGCCACATAACTTATACATAATTATATTTCATATACATTAATTTTATAGGATGCCCAGTATTCAATTGCCATTGGCTATCTAAGATACACTTTTGTGAGAGATATTGTGTTTGTTTTTAAACTATAATTATTTATTTGAAAGGCAGAGTGGTAGAGAGAGAGGGAGAGACAGAGAGATATCTTCCATTCACTAGTTCACTCCCCAAATGCCCACAACAGCCAGGACTGTGCCAAGCTGAAGCCAGGAGCTCCATCTGGGTCTCCCATATGAGTGGCAGGGGCCCAAGCGCTTGGGTCATCTTCCATTGCCTTCCTAGGTGTATTAGCAGGAAGCTGTATCAGAAGTGGAGCAGCCAGGACATGGAGCAGCCAGAACTCAACCAGTCCTCCCATATGGGACACTGGTGTTGCCAGTGGCTGCTTAACCTGATGTACCACAACACTGTCCTCTAAGGTTGTTTTTAATTATTTTCTCTTCTCATGAATACGTCACTGGAAATTCCCCATTCATTAGCTTTATTTGTCAAAAAGTTTCAGATTTTATTGATTTTTTTATTCTTCCAGAAAATCTCTTTCACCATTCCCATTGGGATTCCATTTGGAATATTTATAATATTTTAGATTTTCTGAGAACTTGGTAGCCTCTCTGCTTATTGAAGCTATCTTTTGTATCTCAGTAGTTCTCTGACAGAGGCGCAAACATTCTCAGAAAGGTTATCTATAAATTATATAGTGTTTTTGAGGACTATGTGATTATGACTTAGCCCTTTTCATTATGGTTTCTTTGTAGTTGCTGTTGGTACACAGAAATCACTGGTTTTGGTGAACTTATCTTACTTCCAACTGCTTAGATATTTAGTGAAAATATAAAATTGTCATTCTGATGTACAGTTTTAAGTTACCACCTAACCCAAGGCATTTTTAAGAAATCCTGCAAATCCTCTCACTACAAGCCAAAGCCAGCAGAGTAAGATGGAGATACATTCTGGAATGCTCCCCTGAGCAGATGTGAGCACAGACCTGGGCCTGAGCCACACTTCATTGCAAAAACCAGAAAATCTATTTGCAAGTTTAAATTGTAGCTTGCAGCTTAAACCATCACACTTTTTTCTCCTCCACCACATTCCTCATGGGACATCAGTAAATAAATGAACAAAATATATTTTGAGGGCCGGCGTTGTGGTGTAATGGGTAAAGCTGCTGCCTGCAGTGCCGGCATCCCATATGGGCACCGGTTCAAGTCCCGGCTGCTCCACTTCTGATCTAGCTCTTTGCTGTGGCCTGGGATAGCAGGAGAAGATGGCTCAAGTCCTTGGGGCCCTGCACCCTCATGGGAGACCTGGAAGAAGCTCTTGGCTCCTGGCTTCAGATCAGCACAGCTCTGGCCATTGTGGCCAATTGGGGAGTGAACCAGTGGATGGAAGACCTCTCTCTCTCTCTCTCTCTCTCTCTCTCTCTCTCTCCTCTGTAACTCTTCCTTTCAAATAAATCTTTAAAAAATATATATTTAGAATGGTCCAAGACAGCTATAGTTTGTGCTTTTTCCCTCTTAAAATGGCAAACAAAACAAGCAATGAGAAAATAAATATCTGGCTTTTAGCAGATGGGCTTACCTTTGCTCCTTTACTTCCCACACGCCCATAGCCCGGACTGCCATCATCACCCTATAAACAAAACAGTTCATTACAGAACATCCCAGACTCCAGGCGAAAGAGAGGACAAGATAGCCAGCTTTTCTGGTCTGTTTAGGAGAAGCTAGGAAACAGGCTCTTCTCTTTAAGCAGCCCCTGGTGGCAGTAGCACCAAACGCAACCATCTAACAGAGACAGACAATGCATTCTGTCCCTTAGTCTTCTCATCCATAAAGTGGAAATAATGTCTGCTCCTAGTGTTATGGGGATTAAATGAGAAGATATGAGACATACAGTAATCTCCTAAAAACAGGAGCTTGCCATATTGCCCTCTTCTGGGTAACATTTGTGTTTTCATATCTTAACTCTAACTCATTTTTAGTTTGCTAGACAGAAGCAAGTACTCCTAAATGCCTGGGCACTGTGAGCTCTGAGCAGCTGGGGGAGCCTGGGGTGGGTTTCTGCTGAGGTGGTTCTGGTGGGAGGAAATGTTGCAGAAGGCTCCTGGGGATGCTAAAGACCAACTGGTCCCTGTTGCCATATGTCTTCAAGAGCATCCCAGCCCACGTCTGGTACCTGGAGGATCGCTGCCTTGGGAAAACTGCCACTTAATCCAAGATGAAGACAACCCCTCTTTCAAATTCTAGAAAACCATGAGGCTCAGTTTCAATGGTAGCTTTAAACTCTTCAAGAACTGTACCAGGCATCTATCGAACTCTAAGACTCCCAGGGCCAGATCAGAAGTAGTGATAAAACACAAACCGGCAAGCCCCGAGGACCAGGAAAGCCAACAGCTCCTTTCTCTCCCACATCTCCAGGTTCTCCCTGTTAAACAGAACAAGGAAATATGTCCTTAAATCCGAAGTGATGGCACCAGGGCAACCTCCAGCTGCCTCCATGTGTATCACACACAATGACAATGGAAGACAGTGCTGTGTGTCACACAACTGACAACTCTGGAAACACTGCTGTTGGCCTGCAAGGTCTCCTCCATCAACAACTGGAGCCTCAGCAAGTCTGATTTATTGTTTGGTGCAAGTTGCCATCTCAGCAACCCAGTGCCATGAAAATCTTTTACCGTGAGTCAAAGAGGAAGCTGTACTGCTAAGAAAAAAAATAATAAAAAATATAATCGTTTTCCCTCATGAGCTATGAAAATCATCTGGCTGCTGCAAAGATGGCAGATTGATTAAACCTAGTTTTAAGGATTTGAATGTGAATCAAGATAACCGAGGGAGCACAGCTTCCCTGGCAGTAGCATCTGACTTCCGCCTAGTAGAGCATCTACTGTGGGTTATAAATCAATCTCAGTATTACTTTGAGCAAGGTCCAGTTTCATAGAAGCATTTACATGGTTTATAAAGGAAAGTTAACTCCTTTTCCCCCAAAATAAAAATCTTAACATTGCAATAGTTTCAGATTTACAGAAATGTTGTGAACAAAATCCAGGTAGTTCTTATATACCTCCCAACTGCTTTCCCTATTGTTAATATTATTTTATGTTAGTTGCCCATATGTTCATAGGGCACATTTGTCCTACAAATGAATCATTATTGGTTCACTGTGTTCACTAAAGACCATACTTTATTAGGATTTTCCTAGTTTTTACTTAACATTGCTTTTCTGTTCCAGGATTGCATCTAGGATACCACAAGTCTTGTCTCATGACCTCTTCTAGATTGGAAAAATTCGTCAGAGGTTTCTTAGTTTGATCACCTATATAGTTTTAGGGAGCATTGGTCAGGCATTCTGGGGCGGTTTGTCTGCTGTGTTTCTCAGGGTTAGTCTTTGTTCTGGGAAGGAGACCGCAGGGTAAACTGCCTTTCTCATCACATCATATCAAGGGTACGTTCTACTAACATGGCTTCTCACTATGGATGCTAACCTTGACCTCTGGTTGATGTAACATTTGTTAAGTTTCTCCACTGTCAGGTATTCTCCACTCCTCTCCCCTGTTCTCTTTGGAAGAAAAATGGGGACGTGTGTGCAGCCTATACCAAGATATAGAGAGTGGTTAAATATTTTTTAGGAATAGAAAGGTAACACAAGTGTCAGAAGGACAGACAGACAATGTTCACCAGCACTGAGCTTAGTCTAAGGGTGAAACGGAATGGAGTTCCATGAAAGGAGAGCAGAGTTCATCTGTCCCGATGACTTGCTTTCATGATAGTCATTCTTTTTTAATTCTTGTATTTGTTTATTAGAGAGAGAGAGAGAGAGAGAGAGAGAGAGAGAGAGAGAGAACACTTCCATCTCCTGATTAACTCCCCAAATGCCAGTGATTGCTGGGACTGGACTGAAGCCAGAGTCAGGAGCTATAAGCAGATAAGTAACCCAGGCACTCCCACAGCCAGCTTCCTAGTTGCTAGGTCAAGTGCTTGCCCCCAGGGTAGACCTCCTTAAAGTATGGTCTGGGAGTCACCTGTCCCACAACCACCTGGGGGTTCTTGTGAAAAAAGGAAATCCTGGGCCCCATTCGATTACAGGCCCAAAATAAATACTTTTAAATAAGCTTCTTAGCTGATTCATACACTGAAATTTGAGAACATCTGTTTTTAAGGCAGAGAAATAAAGCCATATGGCTTGTCCAGGGACAAATACTTGGTTATTGGTGGAGCCAGGCATTGAGCCCAGGATTAACTGTTGGGTTGCTGGCCTCCTTAGGAACCTGAACTTCATGGAGTAAAGTAGGCATGTATTTGGAGCCTAGAAGGTCTCGTCCACCCTGGAGTTTGGATTTGGGTTTGCTTTGGGGTACTTACCTCCCAAATTCTTGCCTATTCCCTTAAAAATCACCTTCACTAATACAAAGAAACTTCAAAAAGTCCATGGACGAACAAAATTAAAATATAAGTTTATATTGGTGCAAGAAGTTGAAATCCGTAAAGTTTTTTTTCATAATATGCATTTTCCATGAACATCCAGAAGACCTGTCATGATAATCTGCCTAGGCACAAACTGCCTTGCTTGTGTGTCTTCCATAGTCTCACTTCCATCTTTCTAGGACCCTCCACTTCCGTGTACCCGCCCCTCAATTCTGTCTAATATTCTGAGATGTGCCTTGCTCTCACATGAGCAGTATACATTCCACATATACAAAAGGTCTTCAAAAAGTGGAAAAGGCACATTAGCTTCTAATTCCAGTTCTCCACAAGTATTTTGAAGTCTCCTCGTACATCCAAGATGTCTGCCACCCATGCGCCCTTCCTCACCCTTGGATAAACATTCTCACTGCTGACTCCTCTTCCTCTGCCTCCTTGTCCAGGGCGAGAGGGCAGCACTGCCTCTGTTCCAGTCCCTCACTTCCAGGCCATTACTGCTATGCTGCATGCCACGGAAATCTTCTGCTCTTGACTGCTCACCCTTGTCATCCACCTCTCTTATCTGTACCAACAAACTGTCTTTGCAACACCCGGCTGCCGGCTTCCATCATAGCTAGCAGTCCTCCATTGCAAAACTAACTCCCCTTCCCTCTTGCTCTGTCTCTGCCGGCCAGTTAGCATCACTTTTCATTCTCCAAGGATACCCTTCTCCCAGGATCTTCCAAGCCCACATCTCCTGTCACACCATTTCTCCTCACTGAACTTCCCCTGCTACCTTTTCTGCTTGCCAAAACTCTTATCTCCCGAGGCCCACTCCTAGCCTGTATCCTCTGTGAAGCTGCTTCTCCTGACCCAGGAACACCTCTATAAATGTTGTTTAAATATCTATTTTAGCTCCTTATCCCTGCTTCTTTCATATCCCAGATCATTGTTTTAAAAATATTCTGAAGTCTGTGGGGTTGATTTCACGTCGCACTTAACATCAATACACGTAGGGGCTCATTCAGTCAATAACTGCTTCCTAAGCACTTATCACACTCCAGGCACCATCCTGTTGAATTCAGCAAAGATCTCAGCCCTCCTGTAGCTGGCTTTTCAGCCCAGCCGAATGCTCAATGCAGTGGCTTGGTCTTCAAATGTGCTCAGCAAACGTTTGTATGAATGGTGGGAAGAGAGGAAGGAAGAAAGAGAACAGAAGAGAAAGAGGGAGGGATCATGGGTGAAAGAAAGGAAAGCCTGTCCCAGAAAAGCCCTCATTCCCTGAGATCCTACGGTTCTGATTGGGTGTAGCCTCTCATGAGATTATGCTCAGCTGGAATCCCTGACCTCACTGTGGTCCACACCCATGTCCTTAGAGGTTGCTGGCTCTCTAAGAATCCAGCCAGAGCTTAGGGGCAATGAAATGTGTTCGCCTTTTGTGTTGAAAGGGTTCTGGCCAATGTAACCAGGCAGTTCTCTGGAGTTGAAAATCTACTCCGGTGGGTTTAAAGAATGTGACTTACTTTATTTCCTTGGCTGCCCAAACGGCCTTGGTTCCCTGCTTCTCCTCCAGGTCCTGGAGGCCCCTGAAACGAAACAAGGATTATAAATATAGCAAAAACATAAAGCAACTTTCCCTGAAGCCCTTTGTGTTTCTTCTAAGAGGAAAATGAAGCACAGATGGGCCAAGAGCTATGGCCGCCTTGATTCCCGCTCTGGAAAAATGTATCACAGCTGTCAAATAAAGACCAGTAAATAAAAGAAAATTAATAAAGTAATTCATGCCAGATGTCGCTTAGATGATTGCATGTCCTTATGAGTCTCCTCTTCCAAAGAGATTTCAAGTTCTCATTGCTTTTCTCTTACAGCAGATGTTGCTAAAATGCCTAACATTTAAAGAGGCATTCTAAATAACATTTGTCTTGAACTTAATTCTTACTGGTCTCTTGCTTTGCTTGAAAGTTTTTTTTTTAAGGCAAATTTATCTTTACTTGCAAATAATATGATTTGTACATTGGAAAGTTCAAGAGACTTCACTGAAAACAATCAGCAGTAATACCAAAATATTTAAAAGAAGATAAATATTCTGAAAGACTTTTCTTTCCCAGTGTTACATTAGAAAAGTAAATGGAGGCCAGCGCTACGGCTCACTAGGCTAATCCTCCGCCTTGCGGTGCCGGCACACCGGGTTCTAGTCCCGGTCGGGGCGCCGGATTCTGTCCCGGTTGCCCCTCTTCCAGGCCAGCTCTCTGCTGTGGCCCAGGAAGGTAGCGGAGGATGGCCCAAGTGTTTGGGCCCTGCACCCCATGGGAGACCAGGAGAAGCACCTGGCTCCTGCCTTTGGATCAGCACAATGTGCCGGCCGCAGCGCACTGGCCGAGGAGGCCATTGAAGGGTGAACCAACGGAAAGGAAGACCTTTCTCTCTGTCTCTCTCTCTCTCTCACTGTCCACTCTGCCTGTCAAAAAAGAGAAAAGAAAAAGAAAGGTAATGATAATCTCTCCCTGCTCCCCTCCCTTCTCCATGTTGAAAGACTCAGCTTCTTCACCTCCATAGGTAGCTCTCAATCCATTCTTTTTGAACTTTCGCTTCTGCCTCTGCACAGAGCTAACTCCCATGGCCTTCATGTGCAGCCCAGTGGACATTTGGCTGCCCTGATCTTACTTACGTTTGAACACATATTCTTACTTTCCATTAACTTCTGGCATGTCAAGTTGCCATGGTCTTCCTGGCTCTCTCTAGTCTTCTCTCTTTAACCCCAAAGAAACTGCTCCCTCCCCCACCACCTGCTACCTTCTTTTTGCCTCTTCAATTTCCATGTCCCCAGGACTCTGTTCTCCATTCATCCCCACTTCCTGAGTGGCACCCTCAAAAATTCCGAAGATACTTCTATGTGAGGAGTATAAATAAATGCACCTCCAGCCAAAACCACTCACCAACACCAGATCATATATTAAAATGCCTACTGGCTATCTTGCAGGAATTGTCAGAAGTAACCATATTTACCTTAAATCATGCTTTTAGCCTTATATTCTTTTCTTGAAGGAATCACAAATTATTCCTCTGGAAACCAAGTCAGAAGATCCTGGCCCCTTCTAGCCTACCACTGAAACCACTCAGCTGTGAGTCCCACAGAATCTAGCTCCCTTCTGCCTCCATAACTCTTTCTTTATTTTATTTTATTTTATTTTATGAACATAAATTTCCAAAGTACAGCTTATGGATTACAATAGCTTCCCCCTCCATAACTTCCCTCCCACCCACAACACTCCCCTCTCCCACTCCCTCTCCCCTTCCATTCACATCAAGATTAATTTTCAATTATCTTTATATACAGAAGATCAATTTAGCATATATTAAGTAAAGATTTCAACAGTTTGCACCCACACAGAAACACAAAGTGTAAAATACTATTTGAGTACTAGTTATAGCATTAATTAAACACCTAAGAGTAATTGTGTATTAATTACAGAGTTCAACCAATAGTTTTAAGTAGAATATAAAAAAATACTAAAAGGGTAAAGTATTAAGTTCTTTTTTTTTCTTTTTTTGTTTGTTATATAGTTTTTTTTTTATTTAATAAATGTGAATTTACAAAGTGCAACTTTTGTATTGTTGTGGCTTCCCCTGCCCAACCTCCCTGCCTCCTGTGGCCCTCCCCTCTCTCACTCCCTCTCCCATCCTACCCTTCATCGAGATTCATTTTCAATTACCTTCATATACTGAAGATCAACTTAGTATATACTAAGCAAGGATTTCAACAGGCTGTACTCACACAACCGCACAAGGTATAGGGTATTATTCGACTAGTAATGTTGTTTTTAAGTTTCATAGTAAAACACATTAAGGACAGAGATCCTACGTGGGGAGCATGTACCCAGTGACTCCCGTTGTTGATTTAACAATTGGCACTCTTATTTATGACGTCAGCAATCACCCGAGACTCTTGCTATGAGCTGTCTAGGCTATGGAAGCCCCTTGAGTTCACCAAATCTGAACTTGTTTAGTCAAGGCCATATCACAGTGGAGGTTCTTTCCTCCCTTCACAGAAAGGCACCTCTCTCCTTGATGGCCTGTTCCTTCTGCTGGGGTCTTGTTCACCAGGATCTTTCATTTAGATTGTTTTTTGCCACCGTGTCATGGCTTTCCATGCCTGTGAGACTCCCATGGACCTTTTAGCCAGATCCGAATGTCCCAAGGGTCCATAACTCTTTCATACCATTGCTTTCACTCACTTTCAAGTCTTTTTGCATTCTTCCTAACTTCTTGGCTTTGCTGACATCAGCTCAGCCTTTCTCTAATCCATCCATTCCCCACCCTTTCATCAGAGTGATTTAAAATGTCATGCTGATGGTACATCCCACTTGCTTGTCTAAAATCCAGAAAACAAGCTTTCAGAATAAGGTTTAAGGTGTACTTGCTGTGGGAGATCCTTGAGCATCTCATTATGGCATGCCTCTGTTGCCTCATCTCCTGACACGACTTCAATCGCTCTATGTTCATGCACATCAAACCTTCTGAGTCACCACGTTTCTTGTCTGAACGTTTCCATACTCATACAAATCATTTCTTTAGGTGGTCCATTTTGCCCTCTAACGAGGGGCACAATGATCCTCTTCCAAAAATATTACAGACAGTATCACTGTTTCAGGAAGAAAACTGGAACACCCAGCTGTGTTAGGTCCCACCCATTCCTGCACTGTGCATGTGATTGTTAATTCATTTCTCATTTTCTTTAGAGACACCAGGGACTACACTGTACACTTTCTGAAGGAAGGGGCACATCCTCTGGAATTTAAAGCTCAGGATTGTCACGCCTAAGACTCATCCATCCAACCATATTTTCAGACACCTACCCATGAGTGATCCCCAAGAGAGATAAAGCAGTGTCTTCAATTTGTTAGTTTTCCATACGAAGTATTCATGTACTCACATAGAGGAAGTAGAGAAGTTCTAATTGTCCCTGATAACAAGATATAAATCGAAAGCTTTTCCCTAGGAGCTTACATTCCATTCTTCCCTCAGGTACAGTGGACTCCGTCAGCTGCAGATTCCTGGGATAGTATTTCATGTATAATCACCCCAAGCACACATAAGCACAAATGAGAACACAATGTTTAAGGTCCTCCAAAACAAAAGATGTCTTGATGGCATGCATGGATGGGTGTGCGGATGGATGCTACAAGATCTTGCTGTCAGAAGATCAGAAAGCACAATTCTTCCTGTGAAGCATCCCATGTAATACCACACTTGGGCTTATGACTGCGTGAATGGGCATCGATGAATTGTCACCTACTCTGATGCTGATCACTGGGTAGGGAATGCTGGTGGTTTCTAAAGGGAAGAGAAAACCATCCCTGTCTCCTCCAAGATATCAGGGGGTTTCCTTGACTTGAGATCAAGAATAACTCTGCAGTATAAAGCGAAACCTAACAGTTATAGGGGAAGGGCTTCAGCTTGATGTCAAATTCTCATTGGCTTTGTTCAAACAGCAGCCAGACTTCTATTGCAGGTTTGTTCTGTGCAAGATACCTTGCTGTGTGACAGAGTCTTCAATCCTCACAACCCTACAGTTAGATACACATTACTAACCCAACTGTTTGATCAAAAACTGGTTCTCCAGGCACTTGCCCCCAAATCATTCTGTTAATAAGAGAATGAAACAAAATTGAAACTAAATCTAACTTGGTCCCACAGGCGTATTTGGGACAGGATTTCTCAACTGTTACCATCCATGTGCCAGTCCAGATCAGAGTTCTAAAAATGTGGATCTCCAAATTTAATGCAGGAGGTGGGGGACAGATCAAACCCCCAATATAGGGACTTGGGTTGAGAGTTATGTATCCCTTGGAAGTTGTGCCAAGTGAAGAGAGAATGGAGGTGTTTAGAGCTAAAATGTTTAAAACATTTGTCCTTGGGTCTAGTGTTGTGGTGCAGGTTAAGCCACCACTGCGATGCTGGCGTCCTAAATGAGCACCCATTTGAGTTCTGGCTGCTCTACTTCCTACCCAGCTCCCTACTACTGTGCCTGGGAAATCAGAAGCTGGCCCAGGTATTTGGGTCTGCTCACCCATGTGGGAGACCTGGATGAAGCTCCTGGCTCCTAGCTTTGGCTTGGTTCAGCCCCAGCCATTGCAGTCATTTGGGGAGTGAACCAGCAGAGGGAAGAGCTCTCTCTCTGTCTCTCCCTCTCTCTGTAGCTCTGCCTCTCAAATAAATAAATAAAATAAATCTTTAAAACAAAACAAAACTTGTCCTTAGACAGCCTCTGATTAGAAGAGATTACAATAGAATTTGGGATAAACTGTTGGGGACATAGTCAAGGACTCCTTGACGTTGAATGAAACAGGGCAGAGGCAAGAGGTACAGGTTCTTCTCACATGTAATCCTTGCCACTTATTTTTATTTGCATGAGGATAAACCTTTGCAAAAACTCCCAACCAGCAAATATGAAGCTGGGAAGCAATGTGGAGATTAAATACTCAGCTTCTGTAAGAGATACGAGCTAAATCTGAGAAAAAAAAAACCAAATATCCCAGCTAGTAGTTAGCTAATGCAAAAGAAACCACAAAATACCTGAGAAAAGGCCAATCTTGAGATAAACCTTACCCTTGACTTCTAATGCTTGTCCATGCATCCTGTGCTCTAAACATGTTGAATGAGACATAGTTCATCAAACTCAGCTCTACTATCTGTGTACCAGGCTTCCTTTTCCTGAACACCTGCCTCTCCCTTGGTTATCTGGAAAATGTCTCATCCTGCAAAACATAATCCATTCATTTCCTCACCTAATTCACCATTTTCTGCCATAACTATACCTTGGGTACACTTCTCTTTTAACATTCAGTATATAACATCTCAATTACTTGTCTGTGTGAGTCTCTACTATGAGACTGGATGTACTTGAGGCTGGGATCTGGATCTGAGTGACCCTTTGATCCTAGGATAGATTTTGACACACAGAAGGCACAGAGGAAATGTCCGTCAGATGAGTAAAAGGAACAGTTGACGGATCATCCAACTTTGATTACACAGAACGATGAAACTCAACAATTGTATATTGTTATATAACCATCAGGCCTTCCTCGAAATGAAGATCTTAATACTTTGGGCATTAACTGTCCCACTAAATTAGGTAATGTTGACACAATGTAGTAGTAAAAACAAGGATTTATCCAGTGTTTCCTATTGCTGGCGATGTGTTAAGCACCAATACATATTAAATCATTTCATTTTCACAAAAAATCCAATGAGGTCGCTACTACTGCTCTTCTGATTTTACATGGAGAACACTGAGGGGCAGAAAGGTTAAATAAATTTCCCCAAGTCACACAGCTAGTAAGGTACAAAGTCAGTAATCACACCCGGGCAGTTTCACTCCAGCTCCTGCTGTTGACCGCTTAGCATCCTTTATAAGGAAGACAGCAGACATTTGATGCATACTCAAAATTTGTACTGAACATCTCCAACCTCCCTTAGCACTGCGAGAGTTAGATGGGTTAACAGGCAGTTAGGTAAAGTCCCTGCTAAAAATGGACCAAGGGAGCAAGGTCCCTTCAAAAGTAAAAGAAAAATGTCTGCTCCCTCCTAGGGGTGGCTTTTAACAGCACTTAGTTTCATTCCTAGCAAAACCAGGTGTGGGCTAAAGATAACCCAATGATGCCCCCCCCAACCCCAGAAGACCCACTGTTTTCTGATTGGACAACAAATTCTATCCTGGCTCCCTGATTGGCTGTTATCCCTTAGCTGCTGATTGGCAGTAATTTCTCTCCCTATCTCCCTGAGTGACTATTAACCCCTGTCTGCACAGACCTATCAAAAGTGTGTATTTCCCTGATCCTTTCTTCCCCACTGATTAGACAAAGTTCTTATCTCTTAAACTAGCCAATCAAAGAGTTACACACCATTTTTGGCGCCATTTTATGTGATAAAAGAGTCTGCACGTTCCAACTGTGCTGGCAACTCTTGCCCCAGAGTTTTGCCTCCTGATGGCTGCATCAGGAGGCTCCCTGCTCTCAGTAAAGCTTCTGCTTTGCTCACTAGTATTGCCAACGTGGGGCAAGAACCAACACCAGCCCTCTCCTTTAACAATATCATGAGTGCCATTAGTGACTGTTTCACCAAGAAACACATAGAACACTCATAACTCCAATAGAAGTTAGTATTTTGTATCTGATTTTCCATTCTTATTCTAGACATTGGTTACACTGGGGGTAGGACCTTGAGGTAAACCAAATAAGAAGGGAACAAAAGAAAGAACAAAAGGATATGTTCTTCCCTTCAAAGCTCGCTCCTCTTTTTCACTGTGCGAAGACCTGTATTTCTTGGTAGCATAGCCATAGACCCGACTGCAGTAGCACATCTGATTTATCCAGAGTGCCCCTGACACTGTGTAAGTTACTGAGCCTTCAGAACACTGTGAACAGAAATCAAATCACATCCCCCTTTTTTCTAAAAGCTGCAACTAAAGCAAAACTTTGCAGCCCACAAATAGCAAGCACTCGTGTTATTCTTCTAGAGTGGCTGGTCCTTGTGTGCAGTGAAGTGATATGAAGCCTATGACAGTGGATTTATAGAGCCACTAAAGAATAACACTGTCCTGTATATCCAATTGTGTTTACCTTTCTGGTTTTCCTTTGTAAACAATTTTGAGAGTTCACTGATCATGGATTGAGCACAAATATTCAGCACGTCTTTGAAATGGTCTTTTCAGTGTGTTGACAAGGGTATTTCATGAAAAGCAAGCAGAGAAAGAAAAGTGTGCTTGCAGCCAGATAAATGGAAGAGATAGAGTACAGAAAAGTGGTGCCTTTTGACTAATGCTGGCAATGCCAAGACACTGAATGATTTATGACTGTGCCCATCCTGGCCAAAGTGAGATTAGAGGGGACTCACAGAGGTATGCTCCAGGGCCAATGGAAAACTTAAATTTGAGTAACAGCTACTTGGATACAGTTTTGGATTCCAGAGGGAGAGAAATACCAAGACCTTCAGCTTTCAACCCAGTGGTATCTCAGTCTTTCATATAAACAGATGAGCTAATCACCTGGTGTATGTTGTCCTTGGCATTTGCTGCTGTTGTTTCCCGTCCCCCCCCCCCCCATCTCCATTTACGATGCCATCAAGCTTTCGATGATTCCAGGGTATGAATGCAAAATAGTTTGCATTAATTTAGTTCTACCATTTTCATGCTTTTTTAAGGTGGATCTTCATCAAAATTGGGAATGAAAATTCTTCATGAGTAGTAGTTGATATGCTTTGAACTATTATGATAAGTGTTAACTACTTCAGGGTTGGGCCTCTGCCCAGTTTAACCAATGGAGACAAAGTCATGGATTCCTTTTATGCTAATTAGTGGTGAATGCAGTTCTCAGCTCTGTCTCATTCATTTAATTTGTTATACAAATATGTGCTGAGCTCCGCTTGTACTAGGTGCTGCTGTTCTGGGGTACAGTAAATCAATACGAAAGCCTAGCTCTCAAGGAGTTTATATTCCAGAAGGGGAAATGGGCAAACAGCCAAACAAGTAAATAGAGGAGAATATTTTTTAAAAACTCACGGAAAATGGAGTGAAAAGGATGCATTTATTTTGGTGCAAAAACAATGTTGAATGCTGTGTATGGTCTTTACATAATGTGTATTTTCCCACGAACCTTTTGACAAATCTCTCACATACATGGATTTCAAGTCTTTTGCACCATAATTAATTTACCTTTAACTCCATTTCCCATGAACTTTGGAAGTGCCCTTGTATCCTGTAATATCAGGAAGGCAAAGACCAGGTCAGGTAAGGCTTGGCCACTCGAAGTCCGTTCCAGAGACCACCAGTATTGGCAGTCTCTTGAGTGCTGCTTGGAAGTACAGAGTCCCAGGCTCTGTCCCAGATCTCCTGGATCAGAATCCGTTTTATTAAGTTCTCTAGGAGATTCTTCCATGCTTTGAAGTTGGGAAGGTGCTGACGTTGGACAGAAATTGGTAGCCCAAAATATATGTTAAAATCACTGGGGGAGAATTCAAAATTACTGACACCCTGGCCTCATTTCTGGGGATTCTGATTCAAGTGTTCCGGGCACGGGCCCCGTAGCAGATGGTTTCTTAGTCTTCCAGAAGATTCTCACGCACAGCCGGGTTGAGGAGCGCTCCAGAAGACAGTTTTAGTAGGGCTGTGTGAGTTCCCGAGAGGATGGACTCAGGGGAGTGACCTGACCTGAGTTACACAGAGGAGAAATTCTTAGCTGAGGCTGAGCAGCCCAGACGAGAGCCTGAAATGATCCTCACCCCACGTGTCCGACAGGACAGCCTGCTCTGCAAGAGGGACCAGGGTTTGGTGTGGGCACCACATTGAGCACTGAAGCCAAACCTAACACACTTTGCTCATTTACAGCAGGCAAGAACTCCCGCTGTGGGGCGTAACCACAAAGGCAGGTGCCGTGAACCAAGGTCAAAGCCACAGACACGTTTTCATTACCTACCTGGGGGCCTTTGCTTCCCAGATCTCCTTTTTCTCCTTTCACACCAGCCTCTCCTCTTCGGCCCTAAACACATAGAATTAAAGCATTATTTTCTTCCTAAAAGAAAACACTTGAATATTAAAGGCAGAAACGCTAAGTCAGTCACATAGACAGAAATTGGAGAAAGAGTTCCAACAATGTCTTTGATTCTGTCTTGATCTTTTGAGGTCTCCCTTATCTTGTGGGGGACTCCATGGTCTAACAGGAAATGCTGGTGGTTGGGCATTCATGGTCCGAGTGACTAGGGCTTGGAGGAAAGACTGCACAGTTGAGTTCTTCAGAATTGTTTTCTCATTATCCTAAACATCTTCATGATCCAAATCCCTGTTTCTTATGTTAAAAAGAGAGAAATCCTTAATTATAAAAATCTGAAGCTGGAGTATTTTTATAGGCTTTCTATTCAACAAGTATACTAAACCTGGTCTTGAACAAGATAGGGCACGTGGTAAGATAAGATCTAGGCCGGTGCCGTGGCTCAGTAGGCTAATCCTCTGCCTTGCGGCACTGGCACACCGGGTTCTAGTCCCGGTTGCCCCTCTTCCAGGCCAGCTCTCTGCTGTGGCCCGGGAGTGCAGTGGAGGATGGCCCAAGTGCTTGGGCCCTGCACCCGCATGGGAGACCAGGAGAAGCACCTGGCTCCTGCCTTCGGATAGGCCATCAGATCAGCATGGTGTGCCAGCCGCAGCACGCCGGCCGCGGCGGCCATTGGAGGGTGAACCAACGGCAAAGGAAGACCTTTCTCTCTGTCTCTCTCTCTCGCTCTCTCACTGTCCACTCTGCCTGTCACAAGAACATAAACAAACAAAGATAAGATCTAGATTGCTCCACCTCTGGGATACCCAGTTGCCTATTAGCTGTGGCTTCTCTAGTTTATACAGAGAACCCCTCCTGCTGTGTTGAGTTCGAGCTTCTCCTTTAAAATTATGTCACAGGAAAAAAAATAAGAGTCTACAAAACAGAAGAAGTGATGCTAGGGTGACTTGTTAAGCATGAGATAAAGTTTCTTCACAAACCAAGTGGCAAATATTGCTCACTTGAGAGCAAGAAAAGTGAGTCTTCCTGAGCTGGCAAGCAACAGACAGAAAACAGCCAAGCTGGAAAGAGGGAGCCGACCAAGGGAGAGACGTGTACTGCCCTGAAATCCTTCCTGGACACGGGCACAACCTCCCTTCTGATGCCTAACGGTGTTGTGTCTGACTCTGGTGTGCGCAGCTGCCAACACAGCTTAGCTACTTTCATTTGTGGATCAAGGCTTCGCGAAGTAATGGGGCCATTGTTCTGCATAGTCCAAACAGTCATTTTGAGGGCTTTCAAAACTAAGTCTGGAGAGGAAAAAAAATCATTTTTGTGTGTTTGGACCTTCTTTCTTTCCTCTCGGCATTTGCTGGGACTTCCCTTCCCTTCTCACTGTTATTTTAGGCTGTGCTTCACCATCCCTGGCACTTGCTTCCTCTCCCTCCTGTGACCAGCAGACACAGCCAGCCATGGCTTGTTCTTTGGAAAGGAAAAAATGCTCCAAGCAGCTCCCCGGAGAAGTGGGCTAGAAGGGACAGGCCGAGCGCCATGCTATGGATCACCCCGTGGAAGACTCCAGCTCTGTTTGGAACAATTCTTTCCTAGAACGGAGCCAAGTTTTCTATACTGCAGGCTATTACTTGCTAAATTGACCACAATTTGCAGGCTTGAGGCTCGACATTCTCTTGGCTTAGAGCCTCCCTGGAGTACCGTAACTACCCAGAGCCCCGTGTACAGAGACTGCTACCCAGCAGGTTCACCCTCTTCTCATCTCTGGACTGAGACAACACTTAGAGCAAGGAGAACAAGTGTGGCACAAGACCAGACCATGCAGCTTCCTTGCTGTATTACCCTGGAATCTGTAATTCCGCAAAGGACTTTGAAGGCTGTAAGACTTCACATTTTCTCACCCTGATTGACCGTGATTCGTACCTGTGGGCCCCTAAGTCCCTGGGAGCCTTCGAGTCCAGCTGGGCCCGGGATGCCCGTTATTCCCTGTGGTGAGAAAAACCCAACCTGTTAACACTGTCCCCTGAGAATTATTCCTTTTGCATGCAAGGTTATAAACATGTATTTTTCAATCACAATGGGAATGCAAGATCTTCGCACAAAAATGTGATGTGCAAAATAAAGGCAAATACAAAGAAAACAAAACCTATAATTTCATTAAGTAGAGAAGACCACACCTGGTATGTTACTGTATTTCCTGGCATTCTCATACATATGCAAACTCCTTTGTACTATACTGTATCTAACTTGGGTATGTGGCCTAAGAGACCTCACAACTTACTTACATTCTCTTTAAACATCTCCATACCATTATCTCTTAAAACATTATATTTACTTTCAAATAGATGGAATATCTAAAGGTCAAAAGTTAGGCACTGTCTTGGGGGCTGGCATTGTGGCATAGCGGCAAAGCCACTGCCTGCATAGCTAGCTAACATCCCTTATGGGTGCCAGTTCGCTTCCTGCCTGCTCCACTTCTGATCTAGCTCCCTGCTTGTGTACCATGAGGTAGGGGGCAGGCTGCAGAGGACAGCCCAGGTGCTTGGGCCCCTGCTGCCCAAGTGGGACACTCCTGGCTTTGGCCTGGCCATCATAGCCATTTGGGGAATGATCTAGTAAATTTGAAGTTCGCTGTCTCTCCCTCTCTTTCTTAACTCAATGTTTCAGATAAGTAGATTAATCTTGAAAAAACAAAAAAGTTAAACATTCTCTTTGCATTGTTCTTGGACACTGCCTGAGAAGTGACGCAGGATAAGTAAGGAAGCTTTATGAAGATTTAATTTGGGCAATCAGGATATTCTAGTATTTTTCCTCTGCATGGCTAAGGTATTACTCTGCTGTTTTCTGATATGTATTACTGTTGAATAGAACTCTGATGCAATGTAATTTGTCATTCATTTAATGAATAAAACAGTCTTTTTATGCTCTTTAAATTAGAAGAAATACTTTAACATTCTGCAGTTTTATCATGATGTGACCAAGAGTGGATTTGTTGCAAGAAGGCTTCAAAAAATTGAGGAAAACTGGAGCAGGTATTTGGTGCAGAAGTTAAGACGCTGCTTAAGACAGCCACATCCCAAAAAGGAGTTCCTGGGCTACAGTTCTGGCTCTGCTGTCCACTCCATCTTCCTGCTATTTTGCATGCTGGGAGGCAGTAGGTGGTAGCTCAAAGAGCTGGGTCCCTGTCACCCAAAGCGGAGACTGAGTTCTGAAGTCCTGCCTTCAACCAGGCCCAGGGTTGTGAGCACTTGAGGGAGTGAATCAGCAGAGGGAAGTTTTCTCTTTCAAATAAATACAAATAAATTTTAGAAATTTGTATGTAGAAAATAGAATTAAAAGATAAGTTTATTATGATGCAAAAATTTTGAAATCCATGCATGAGGGATCTTTTAAAAATTCACAGAAGGGGCCGGCGCCGTGGCTCACTTGGTTAATCCTCCTCCTGCGGCACCGGCTTCCCATATGAACACCAGGTTCTAGTCCCGGTTGCTCCTCTTCCAGTCCAGCTCTCTGCTGTGGCCCGGGAGGGCAGTGGAGGATGGCCCAACTGCTTGGGCACCTGCACCAGCGTGGGAGACCAGGAGGAAGCACCTGGCTCCTGGCTTCGGAATGGCACAGTGCCGGCCGTGGCGGCCATTTAGGGAGTGAACCAATGGAAGGAAGACCTTTCTCTCTGTCTCTCTCTCTCTCTCACTGTCTAACTCTGTCAAATAAATAAATTCACAGAAAGTGCATATCTTGAAAAAAAAAACACTCCATGAATTTCAATTTTTTTGCACCAAAATAAAAATCTTTTAATTCCGTTTATAATGACTTTTTTTGAAGTATTTTCATATTTATCCTCATTGTATTTTAATTTGGGGATGTGTGTTTTGTAGAATTTGAACTCACAACTGCTCTTCCATAAACACTGTATGTTCATTGAGCTTCTGCAATTTACCACCAACACATGCACAGGGAATAGGATATAGTTTTTGAACAAAATATCCAGAATATCCGATTTTTATTAGGGCTTATTATATTCATAGTCTATAAGGGATTTTATGCAAATTGCAAGTTTCATAGTTAATTGATCAAAAATCTGAAAGAAAGGTCTCCTACTGAGTTGCTAGAGTTTGTTCCTGAAATGCAAACAAAATTAAATTTAACAATAATTGGGCCAAATTCTGTGTCTGGTCATGAATTTTTATGTTTTTGAAATTGAAAGTTCCCAAATATGTATTTTAAGATCTGATTTTTTGAAATTGTAGCCTGAATGTTTTCCAAAATTTTATTCCATCATCAGGAAGAATTTTAGCCTTGGAAGAGATTTTATAGAGCCATTATTATTCCAGTTCTTGACTAGACAAGAAATATTTATCACTTAGAGTTAAGAAAAAATATCATCTTACCTGTGGACCTGTCTGACCCCTTCTGCCACGAGTTGCCTAAAATAGGAGGAAAGGGTGGATATCTTTAATTCAGAAAAAAAATGCTTTTTATATTTAAGCTAGCAAAGCACTGACATAAATAAAAGTTCCCACAAAGTGCCTGACACATTCAACTATCCACTGTACCGTGAAAGCAAAACATTGCTAACTCTGAATTTGTATCCTAGGACCATAGCAATTGAAATCATAAACAATTGAAGTCTAAAGACACTTAGGAAAACAGATTGTGGTCAATAATTTGTCCTCCACTCAACTTTTACTAGAGCTATTCACAAGCTGCAAAATTGACTGATTAGATTTTTATTTCTTTTTATTTTCCCCAAGCACTACCAAGTAAGCCAGAAACTGGGAACAGAGTGCCAAGAGGCAGGAGGCCAGAGGAAAAACAGAAAAAAAAAATTGACTCCATGAGTTTCATAATAGATTCAGCCCAGAAATTAATGATGGTCAAACTGTTATTTTGAAAAAGCCAAATAATACACTTATCTGTCGGTACTGAAAAAAATCATCCCAAGCGTTCAAATGTACTCAATTCAGTTAATAAAATATCTAATCAAAATAATGATACTGTAACAATCAAGTGGATTTTTTCTTCCTACCCCATATGTAAGGGTAGGGGTCTGGGTATATTCTAGATCACTATTTCGTAGATCAGGATATCAAGAGACAGTGACAATTTGTTGTTTGACTTAGGAACACTCAGTAAGGTTATATCAAGTCGGACATTCAGGATTTGCAAAATGCAGTGAACGTCAGATAACCATGTCTTGTAGAAATTTGAGATGTTCCAAAAGGCCAGTATTGCAGACTTTAAATTCTGCTAATTGTATTTCAGTCAAAATTGGTTGGTATCAATAAAAGACTGTGCCGGTAGGTGGTGGGGAGTGGCATATTTCTTTAAAATACTGACTACTTATCTTCCCATGGAAGTCTAAATCCTCTCTATCAGAGGGAGGAAAAGTAGTTGTTTCCACTCCTTTAACACAGAGTTTGTCTGTTCTGATTCACTTTACTTCAGTTTCATTCAGAAAAATATCTCCCATGCACAAAGCATACTGGCCGGGAACCATGGGAGCATAAGGATGACAGACAGAAACCACACACACACACACACACAGTCTTTTTGATGTTGGGCAACTCTCAGTCAATGGGTTTCAGGGGAGGAGATAAGCACCACAAATATATACAAGGCAGAGTATGGCGAGTGTCCTAAGAATGGAAATGATAAGGATGTGGATTTCACAGAAAGCAATCACATCCAATTGGTCAAATTGGGAGACTCTTTCCAGAAGAAGGGATTTTTGAGATGGGCTTCAGAGCATGAGTAGGAGCCTTAAAGGTTGAGCCTGGTAAGAAGTCTTTCCAGCAGAGGGCGCAGTCCAGGTGATTCAGGGAAATAAGCGTATTTGGTAATGGCAGTGGGCCATTTTGGTCATAAGTGTGAGAAGAGTAGGAAGTAGCAGAATTATGAGGCTAACAGCATTGGGTTGAAGGCTCCTGCTACATTTAATAGAAGCCACAGCGGCTCTGGAGCAGGAAATGTACATGGTCAGACCTGGGCTTAAGTGGATGCATTTGCTGAGTACAAGAAGCTGAAAGGAATGGTACAGGAGGCAAAACAGAGCACGCCCAGTCTGCTGTGTTGTGAGGGACATGGTATAGACCTTCCTACTCACAGGTCTTCCCCTGGGTCACGGGCGCTGTGTCTTAAACATCACTAAACACTCATCCTCTTGTGTCCTTAAGGCTTGATTAAAATGAATTATCACAGCACACACTTGGAGAGTTCGCGCTCCCTTGGAGGTGCGGGGCTGGGCGGGGGTGAGAAAAACTGGACTCCTGTTATGGCCAGGGGTTTATAAGTCTCCTGCAGGGGTGAGACTGGAATCCACCACCCACAGGTAACAGAAGCATCTGCAGGAGTCATCATCTAACACCTCTGGGAATGGCTGCTTGGGATTTAAGCCCCAAATGAAGGTCGCGGGAGAGACACCTTGGGTGGACGTGAGAGACGGAAAGAAAAGGAGGAAACTGCGCAGATGATGTCGCCTAATATTTTCAAATACTTTATGTGAGCGAGATTACATCCCTCTAATTAAGATTACCCTGCCTTAACGGTTTGCCCCAGCACTCGCCAATGTCTGGCAACACAGGGAGACAGCCTGCCTTATCTTTAGAGGAAACACAGATAGGAAGGAAAGACAATCTCCCCAAAAGGAACCATGACGGAGAGGACCCAGAACAGGGTACCCACCCCATGGTCCCCTAACAGCCTGGCTTTCTGGGTGTTTACCAGGGCTCAGTTTCCTGAACAGGTGAGAACTGGTTTGGGACAGAGTTCCCAAAGGAAAAGTAGGCTATCCTGAATGATAAAACCTCACATTGATACTGGGTCATCATGGCAAACTCATTTGCAACGATGCACCACTGTCCTAGAGCAAATACCATGCCTTTACGGCAGTGCCAAGAGAGACAAGAAAGGCAAAGCAGAAGTGACAGCCCCTGGAATGAATGGGAATGAAAGCAGGCTTTGGTTGAGACTGTTGTTGCTTCTCGCTGTCCTTGGCGCTAGCCTCTATTCTAATTCTCAGGAAAGTCTGGTCCACAAACAGCCAATCCTTCCGTCTTCCCCATCCGCCGCAGCACTGCTGCTTGCTGACCCTATCTTTTCTCTTTGCCCCTCACCCTACTGCCCCCTGCAGTCTCCCAGCACAGCACTGAGAACCAGTCTGTCTCTCTCTACAACAACTGTTTTCCACAGTCCCTTTGCTACCTTCCCCAGAGAATATTTAGCAATATCTAGAGACATCTGTCACTGTCACAAGTTGGGGGTCCCAGTGACACTTAGCGGGTAGTGGCCAGGGACAAAATTAACATTCTACAATGCAAAACAGCTCCCACAACAGAGAATTGTGCAACCCAAGTATTAACAGTATTGAAGTTGAGAAATCATGCTCTTTGAGGGAGGTCATCTCTTATTGCTTTCCTTGCTCTTGTAGTCAGTGGCGTTGCTGATATATTGTAGGCGTTTAATAAATAGTTGGTGAATGAATCAAGCTCAGACTTGGTCCATGTGGTTTATTTCCTCACATGACACATCCTCCGATCACTTTCAGTTCAGTAGATAGATATCTTATTACCCTGAGTCCTCAGTACTCCCAGTCTAAATACATTTGCAGTTCTGCAGTGAAGAGTGTAGTTTTTCCTCTTCCTACAAGAATGACTTTGCTGTTACTACAAAAATTATATACTCTGATTTTTAACTATTTGAGTGCAGAGAAGACGCAAAATAGAACTCACCCAAGATCCTCTATCTAGAAGTTACCATCATTGACACTGGGTAATCATGATTTCTGACCACACATCCTTTAATGAATTTTTACAAACAGAATTCTGAACAGTGGGACAGTGATTAAAAAGGATACAATTCCTGCTTTTAAAATTAAATACTACATTTAATTTTCCTTGAATTTAACAGAAGAAACATAAGACAGAGGAATAGGATTGTCAGCGAGCAACATTTCTATTAATCTTAACAACCATTTTTGTCTATCTTGCCCCAAGCATCACCAGCTTCCTGTCTTAATTTTCTATTGTCTTATTCATCCCCTGAACTTTTTTTTAGAAGGCTTTTATTTAATGAATACAAATCTCATATGTACAGCTTTTAGGAATATAGTGGCTCTTCCCCCCATTCCTGCCCTCCCACCCTGACTCCCATCCCACCTCCTACTCCCTCTCCCATCCCATTCTTCATTAAGGTTCATTTTTAATTGACTTTATATCCAGAAGACCAACTCTATATCAAGTAAAGATTTCAACAGTTTGTACCCACACACACACACAAAGTATAAAGTACTATTTGAAGACAAGTTTTACCATTAATTGTCATAGTACAATTCATTAAGGACAGAGGTCCAAAACATGGGGAGCAAGTGCACAGTGACTCCTATTGTTGATTTAACAATTAACACTCTTATTTTTGATGTCAATGACCACCTGAGGCTCTTGACATAAGCTGCCAAGGCTATGGAAGCCTTTTGAGTCCACAAACTCTGTCAGTATTTAGACAGGACCATATGCAAAGTGGAAGTTCTCTTCTCCCTACAGAGAAAAGTACATCTTTCTTTGATGGCCCCTTCTTTCCACTGCAGTCTCACTCACAGAGATCCTTCAGGCAGAACATTTTTTGCCACCATGTCATGGTTTTCCATGCCTGAAATGCTCTCATGGGCTTTTCAACCAAATTTGAATGCCTTGAGGGCTGATTCTGAGGTCAGAGTGCTCTTTAGGGCATTTGTCATTCTATGAGTCTGCTGTGCGGCCTGCTTCCCATGTTGGAACTTTCTCTCCTTCTCAATTCTATCTATTGTTATAACCACACACTTGGTCTTATTTATGTGATCCCTTTGACACTTAATCCTATCTATATGATCAGTTACACACTTAATATGATCACTTTATCATGTAAAATGCATCCTCTGAACTTTTTAAAACAGTAATAATGTCTGAACTTTTGAAAGTTTGAAGAACTACTTGCCAGGGTTCTACTTTTCTCTTGAATAACTCCTCTTCTAATGAGGGTTTATCTGCCCCTTGCTTGTAAGGTTTCCTTCACCATGCATTGCAGCTTCTAGGCCTAGATCCTGAGTGCTAGTTATCTCATTAATAAAGATCAATAGATCTGTTTTTTTTTTTAAAGATTTATTTTTAAAATTGAAAAGTCAGAGTAACAGAGACAGAGGGAGAAATCTTCCATCCACTGGTACACTCTTTGTATAGCCTCAACAGCTGGAGCTGGGCCAGCAGCTTTCTCATTCATGTGTTGTCTCATTTTCTTAGTAAACGAATTGCCTTTTACCCTAGGGCCACACCTGGCTAACCTGTTGGCACTGAAGAGAGCCATGGATTTCACAGTGGGTGGCTCACAGTTTGTTCCTCCCACCTCATCGCTTCTGCAGGCAGCATGGCCTTGGTTGCTGGTTGCAGACAATACAAGGGAACACTTTTCAGCTTCCCATTCTTCCTGCCCCTCTGCTGAACTGTGTTCACAGCTCCTTCAGGACAAGGGCAGTAGCTGCAGAGAAATCTGATCCTGACCTGAGGTCTGAGGACTGAGGTCTGAGGTCTGAGCTGGTGTGTGTCAGAGCTCTAAGTCCTTCCTCATCAAGGTCCAGACTTAAACATAGTTGGCTAGTAGTTGTCATCACTTGTGGTTATCATTTGTTTCTCTATTTTTAATGTCTGTTGTTTTTGGTGAATTGCACTAAGAAGTGTAAAAAAAAAACTCTTCTACTTTGCCATTCTCAGCCGGAACTCCTGCTTCTCCTCCTGAATGACTTGGCTCAATCTGTAACTCACACTTGGGGCTGCATTGCTGAGGACTTGTGTGGTATAAATAATGATATGTGGTGATATTGCATTAGCCGTTAGAGGCTATAAAATACTAAAAGCACATCCTCATGTGCCAAGATTTCCTGGATAATATTTTTTTAAATCATAAATACTTTCCAGGGGTATGTAAGCTGGCTACACCCTTTGAGAAAGTGAAATGAACAGCAAATGCATTTCTTTATCTGTGTTAACCCAGCATTAGCAAATCACTTTTCCAGCAATTTTAAGACATTTCATATTTTGGGGAGAGGTGGAGGAAGTCAAAGAAGCCTGGACAACTAAATAAATAATGGAAAGAAAATGTTGTAAAATGACATAAGACAGGCCTAATTTAGGACCCTAAGGCAGGCATTTAAGCAGATTTCATTAAAGGCATCTTTGCTTATTGGATAAAGAGTTTATTTATAATCTCTGTGCTTTTCTATGCAGCCAAGCATAGAACATTTTAAAATGCTCATTGCAAAAATAACAAAGTAAATCAAGTAACAAAATAAGAATCAACCAAAAAAAAAAAAAAAAAAAAGAATATGCCCAAACCAGGAATGTCTTTTCTTTCTTTTTTGCCCTGATTTTTCTTAAAAGCCATGGAACCTGGCACAGCAACTGAGTGCAGACTTCATACGACATCACTGGTGATCTTGGACAGCATAGCCAGGAACCCAGACCCACACTTCTTCCCCTGCCTGGCCATCTGTGGTCTCTTTGCGCAGCTGTCTCCCTGATGGGTAATTTCTCCCACAACTTTCCTACCTCCACTGCAGGGGTCTTCCTGAGTCCCTGGCCTGTTTTACTCTGGGATAAATGCTAAGTGGGTTTTCCTGAGGCAGTTGACCATCCCACCGATGCCTGTCAGCCAGCCATTTTCATCACGGTATAAACTACCACAACAGAGGGGACCCTGGTCTAAAGGGCTCTTACCGTCTTTCTTCTGGAGCCTGGAGTCCCAGGGGCGCCCGGCCAGCCTCTCCTGCCCTGTCAAAGGAACAGACAGATGATGGCAGTGACCACACAGCACTGGCAAGTGCTCTTTAGCCTCAGCTTGTGGTTCAGGGACCAAGTCCACACGAATGTTGGGTATCTTCCCTTGGAACGTGGCGTCAATGTCCACGGGTCATAAGTCTCATGTCCATGGGAGTCAAGAAGAAAGACCGGACAACCTGCTAACTTGTCTTTCCCTCATCGTCACCGCTGTGGAACTTGCGTTTGGGGCACCAGCCACAGAGTATTTAAATCAAACTATCCCCACTGTCACCACAGTGGGTTTAATGGAAGATTCCCACCTGTCAGGTATGGTCGCTACTACATGTTTGGATTTCTACCTTTGGATTTCCTATTCTGTTTGGCTAACCTGTGTAGATGAATACCCTACTATGATTGAAACCTCATAAAACTAACAAGTCTCCCCAGGGCACAAAAGTACCGAAAATAATATGAGTCTCCTAGGAGACTGACATTAGCACTTACTAACAGTGCCCAGTAACATTTGCAGACGGTTCTGATGTGGCCCTTAATTCCCACCACAGCCATCAACTTCCAGAAGTAGGCTATTCACCCAGTTCCTCAGGTGAGAAAAATGAGATTTTTAGGAAGTGATCCAAGGCTGCAAATCTGGGGCAGGACAGATCACGAGGTCAGCCTGTCCTCAGAGAAAACTCTTTCTACCCCATCAGACTTCTGCCCCAGGAGGGACCATCGAGGGAAGTTTCTCATCAGGAAGATCCAGAGACATACAGGTTCTAGATAACCATGTTTTAAAATCCTAAAAACAGACTGCATCTTGTGGGGTTTCATGGGATTTGTCTCAGGAGACTTGCCTTAAGGTTGTGAGTCATCGAAATCTACCAGTTCTTGTTCTTTTTGTCATATCCTACTGATCATATGATGTCTTATTAGTGTATGTGTCCTCTGGCTACTAGAAAGGCCAGGAGCCCTTGCTACCATGGTTCTGTCATCAGCTGCTCTATCTTATTTATTTTTTAAAAAATTTTATCCATTTATTTGAGAGGTAGAATTACAGAGAGAGGAAGAGACAGAGAGAAAGGTCTTCCATCCGCTGGTTCACTCCCCAAATGGCCACAATGGCTGGAGCTGGACTGATTTGAAGCCAGGAGTTTCTTCCAGGTCTCCAATGTGGGTACAGGAGCCCAAGCACTTCAGCAATTTTCCACTACATTCCCAGGCCACAGCAGAGAGCTGCATCAGAACAAGAGCACCCAGGACACGAACTGGTGCCTGTATTGGATGTCGGGCCATAGGCGTAAGCTTAGCCCACTACGCCACTGCACTGGCCCCAGCTGCCCTATTTTTCAAGTAAGGGTTCTGATGTTTCTCTTCAGGAAGGAAGACCTCAAGTGTGTGGAAAAGTCAGTCATCATACATTTAGAGGCAGAAGAAGAAAATGTTTCTCCAATCTCACAGACAAGGAGGAGTGAAAGATCACTGTGCTCCTAACAATAGTTCTTCTTTTTCTTTTTTCTTTTTCTTTTTCTTTTTCTTTTTTTGACAGGCAGAGTGGACAGTGAGAGAGAGAGACGGAGACAGAGAGAAAGGTCTTCCTTTTGCCGTTGGTTCACCCTCCAATGGCCGCCGCACCGCGCTGATCTGAAGGCAGGAGCCAGGTGCTTCTCCTGGTCTCCCATGGGGTGCAGGGCCCAAGCACTTGGGCCATCCTCCACTGCACTCCCGGGCCATAGCAGAGAGCTGGCCTGGAAGAGGGGCAACCGGGACAGAATCCGGCGCCTTGACCGGGACTAGAACCTGGGGTGCTGGCGCTGCAAGGCGTAGGATTAGCCTATTGAGCCACGGCGCCGGCCACAATAGTTTTTCTATACCAACTCTATCCACTTTGATTCCAAGTTATGTATCAGACGTCTTGTACTCAATCACTAAGAACTTGAGCTCACAGCAATCCTTATAGGTTGAATTTTCAGCCATTTTTAAGTCATAGAACATTTTTTTGAAGATTTATTTTATTTATTTGACAGGGAGAGAGAGAGGGAGAGAGAGGGCGGGGGATGAGAGAGAGAGAGAGAGAATGATTTTCCATCGCAAATGGCTGCAACAGCCAGGGCTGGGCCAGGCTAAAGGCAGAAGCCAGGAGCTTCTGCTGGGCTTCCCACACGGGTGTAGGAGCCTAATCACTGGGGCCATTAGCAGGGAACTGAACTGGAAGTGCAGCATTTGGGACTCGAACCAGCAACCACATGGGATGCCAGTGCTGCAAGTGGTGGCTTAACCCGCTACATCACAATACTGGCTCCAGAACATTTCTTTTAAAATAAAAATTCTTTCACATTCTTCAACTTCGTTTGAAAATGGTATATAATTATACAGTTGATAGACAATTAAGGAGAAATTCTGATGAAAGTCAATGGAAACTGTGCATCAACTTGTCAAGTGAATTTTTGGTCATTATACAGAGATAACTGACATGTCTTTGCACTTGAACTGGTGTTTCTTAATTAGTCTTATTTGTGGATAGTTCCCTGGATCTAAATTAGACACTGAAGCTGTTTGAAAGCTCTCAGTTCACCAGATCCTTATCAGAAGACGTCCCTTAGCAAGCAATGTTATCTTCAAGTGCCAATGCCTCTGCTTTTTAAATAAATTTATCTTCAGTGCATACCTTACATTAACGAGTACATTGCACCAAATTCTTTCTCTGATCAACCCACTGTATATAGACAGAGGATATATTAAAGAAAAAGTCCTAAAAGAATCTATAGAAGTAAAATTGACACTTTGAGATGTGATGACATTGAACAGTCCTTTTTTCGACTGTTGAGGAGTTTTTTTTTCTATACTATTCATTGAACTCTTTACTTAGTATTGAGTTAATGTTATGTGTATAAAGTTAGTTGAAAATATATCTTAGTAAAAAAATAAGAATGGGAATAGGAGAGGGAGGAAGAGGAAGGGTGTAAGTGTGGGTGGGAGGGCACGTAGAGTGGGAAGTATCTTTTTCCTAAATTTATAATTATGAAATGTGTGAACTGTGTATACCTTAATGAAAAGGTTTCTGGGAAATATCCTTGTTAGCATTTGTTCTTGTAAACTTTGGCCACTCTGATGGATCTATAGTACACTGCTCTCATACATTGCTGGGAGAAAGGTAAATCAGTACAAACAATTGTTGCTACAACTCTTTGACTGTAAAGACTTAAGCCAAGTATGGACATACACATTGAGATCCAGAAATTCTATTCCTAAAGTATAGGCCCAACAGAAATGTGTATAAAAGTACATCAAAAAATGATGACACTAGGGACAAGTGGGGAAAAGGGAATAGTAGCATGAAATGGAAACAACTCAAGCATTTGTTACTATAATGGAAGACTGAAGCATAGTGGATTCACACAATGGACTACTACACAGCAGCGAAGTTGAGCCAACTGTTGTTATACACAACTCATGGATGAAATCTCACAAGTGTTCAGTAAGACAATCCTGAAGCAGAAGAATACACACTATGTGATTCCACTATAGTTCACCTATTCTTGGTTTATAATGTATGGTGCCGTAAGAGTGATAACCTTAGGGAGGCTGGTGGGATATTGATAAGGTCTTATTATTTTTTTTTAGATTTATTTATTTGAAAGGCAAAGTTACAGAGACGTAGAGGTAGAGGTAGAGAGAGAGAGAGAGAGAGAGAGAGAGGTCTTCCATTCACTGGTTCACTTCCCAAGTGGCTGCAACGGCCAGATCTGAAGCTAGGAGCCAGGAGCCTCCTCTGGGTCTCCCACATGGGTGCAGGGGCCCAAGGACTTGGTCCATCTTCCACTGCTTTCCCAGGCCATAGCAGAGAGCTAGATCAGAAGTGGAGCAGCTGGGACTTGAACTGACGCCTATGTGGGATGCCGGCACTGCAGGTGGTGGCTTTACCTGCTACACCACCGTGCTGGCCCCAAAGTCCTGTTATTTTTGCTCAAGCGGTTGTGACACAGGTGTCTCCACACTCATCAAGCTGTGAATGCATAGTTTGTTCACTTTTCTGGTGTATGTTACAGTTCAACAAACATTTAGAAACAAACTCAAGTTCCAATTCATTGAAGTTTGGGGGATTTACGTGTGGGCATGGAGATGCAGATCCTATAGAACGGATGTTCCCCTGGAGGTGGCCTTCTTCCTATACTTCCTGTGTTGTTTCTGTTGTGGGTCAAGCCTACTCAACTGAGGGAGGAGGAGCTTTGTGTCACAAGTTTTGTTGAAGAAAACCATACCTGATTGCTCAGATTCAGGGAGATGAGGCTAATATTCTTAATTGCGAATGCCTTTTCTTAAACAAAGGAGAAGGGGCTGGCACTGTGGCGTAGCAGGTAAAGCCACTGCCTGCAGTGCCGGCTTCCCATTCGGGCGTCAGCTCAAGTGTAGCTGCTCCATTTCTCATCCAGCTCTCTGCTGTGGCCTGGGAAAGCAGAGGAACATGGCCCAAGTGCTTGGGCCCCTGCACCCACGTGGGAGACCTGGAAGAAGTTCCTGGTTCCTGGTTTAGGATCAGCGCAGTTCTAGCTGTAGTGACCATCTAGGGAGTGAACCAGCAGATGGAAGACCTCTCTCTCTGTCTCTGCCTTGTTGTAATTCTGCCTTTCAAATAAATAAATAAATCTTAAAAAAAAAAAGAAAGAAAAGAGACTATGGGGTGAATATTACAGTGTAGTAGGGTAAGCTGCCACTCAGAGTGCCCATTCCCCACACTGGACTGCTGGTTCAAACTGAAGCTGCTCTGCTTCTGGAACCAGCTTCCTCCTAAGGTGCTTGGGAGGCAGAGGCAGCGGATTAGGGCTCAGTAACTGGGCCCCTATGACCCATGTGGGAGACCCACATGGAGTTCTGGGCTCCTGGCTTTGGCCAGTTCCAGTCCAGTTGTTCTGGGCATTAGAGAAGTGAACCAGAAGATATTTCTCTCTTTCTCTCTCTGTCTGTCTCTCTCTGTCTCTGCCTCTCTCTCTCTCTCTCTCTCTCTCTCTCTCTCTCTCTAATGCCCTGTGTTTCCTTTTAAGCACATCAAAAAAGGAGAAGGCTATGTTTCTTCCATTCTTGTCCCCTTTTTGAGATACTTGGAAGACAATGGAGTAGACTGGAATTCCTTCATGGCACCCAAGCTCAAGAGTAATTCTGAATGTTTATTTTTTCAAAAAATGCATTTGCAGATGGTGTGCAAGAGCTAGGCTATTCACTGACCTTCTTCATCTGTGTTCAAAGAAAATCTAACGCAGCTGCCTGCTTTTAAAAAATTCTGTAAAGTTTACATCCGTGGTGTAAACCGTGGATTTCTCTCATAGTGCCTCTCACAGAAAGCAGCAGCCCCCCTCAGCAGAAGGGCTGATGACAACCGGGCCCTCGCTCTAGTCGATGGCCCAGGCGGCCCAGCACTCACAGGATCACCCCGCAGGCCCTTGGCTCCGTGGTCACCAGAAGTCCCTCTCCTTCCGGGGATTCCCTAAAGTTGACACAAATCAGAAGATGAGAAGTTTTAATAAAATAAAAACAAATAATTTATTTTCTCCCTGATTTGAATAATTAAGTATTTTTCTATCAAGTTTATTTAACTGGAAAGAACAGCTACAAAAATAGTTACAGGCATCACATAGATAATTGAGTCATGTACTTAATTATTTGCCCCAATGACAGACTCCATGTTCCAGACAGAGCTGCCACCTTAGTCAGTTGTTACAAGTGTTCTGACAACCAGTTACTGCTCATTATCTTTCTCTAATGAGGCAACGGAGAATCAGAAAGTAACGGGATCTTCTCAGAGTGGCTGCATCAGCTAGAAAGTGAGCTTCTGACTCAACCACTCACGCTTTGAAGACAAAGCAGGTAACTGAAGTTGCAATGGGTGTTTGTTCCAGTGGGAATGATGCACAGATCACTTGACATGCTGCCTTGCACCCCAGACCCTGGTTAACACCCCACTTCTTTTGCTGGCATGGTACTGTCTCAATAGCCCCCGCTCATTAATGGCCCCATTTCTCTACTCCTCCCTGTATCTGTGCCCCTGCCATGTGCATCTGCAGTGACTTCCAACAGCAAGGGGATTCCCTTCTTGTGGTTGTGTCACATGACTTGATTTAGCCAACAGGAAGAGATGGAAGTGTCGCTGCCACAGCTCCAAGCCTAGGCCTCCAGAGGCCATCAGCGGTCTTATATATTTCTCCTTGCCCTCTTGAGCTTCGTCCATAGCCATGACAAGGTCTTGGTCACCATGGCTAGGTTAGCTTCTGGTCCCAGGAAAACAAGAACACAAGAGCCAAGTCCCTGGCCAATCCACATTCACATGAGCATAGACAATTCATGCCCCATATGGGTCAGCCAAACCCTTCAGACAGCAAGAAGCACGTGTTTATTGTTTTATTTGATTCAGGTTTTGTAATTGTCACAAAACACTTTTGTGGCAGTAGCTAGCTGGTGCATCTGGGGTCGCTGTCCTACTCAGTTAATCATCCTTGTACTTCAGAGCCCGGTTTTTAGGTTGTCCCTTCCTTCCATCCTTACCTGGATTCCCTCATCACCCTTTTCTCCTTTTCTTCCAGGAAGACCATTGTCACCCTAAAAAACACAAAATGAAAAAACTCAACTTCACATTTTCTTAATGGGAAATAACTCACAAGGTTTCTGCGGTAGAAAGCAGAGGCTCTACCTGTTCTCCACTTAATCCGTCAATTCCACTTTCCCCAACTTCTCCCTGAAAAGACAGACGTGATTAAGAGAGAGCGCATCGCATCTATGTGCAAGGAAGTTAAACACCAAACAAAAGCAGTCTAATTCTGAGTTTCACATACAACCTCTTTGTTAGGTTGGGCTGGGCTAAGAGTAGAGACTATTTTCAGTAAAAGAACCAGTCGACAAACAACACACATTCCCTGCAATAAAAGACAGGAGCAAACCAAGTGAAATGGTGGGCAATAAAAAAAGAAGATCAGCAAACTTCAGCTGCATCCTCCACACATGAGTTCCCAAGGTTGATAACCTCACAAATGAAAATGTGGTTTGAGAACAGATGGGCTGATGAATGCATGTGCCTGGTCGCATACCTCCTGTCCATTCAGTCCTCTGTTTCCCTGAAAATGGAAAGGACAGTAGCAGTTAGTATAGGAGACAGAGCTAACGCTGGGGAGGTATCACAAAGTGCAGGGCAAGCCCTACCTTGGGGCCTTTCGCGCCATGACATCCTTTAGTCCCTTGCTCCCCCACTGGCCCAGGGGCGCCTCTTTCTCCCTGTAAGAGAGGCCACAAGTAGGTGAGCTATCACCATCTGTGATATGTCTTGAAAACTTGACGAGAGTATTTTTTTTTTAATAAAACAAGTTTAACTGTTCACAGTGTATAATCCAGTTTCTGTTTCTAAAAACTTAGAAGTAAGTGAGAGCCACTCTGCTGACAGGCCTTGGATCTCACCTGCACATCACATAGTGAAGTTTCTCCTCCAGTGGTCACTAGGTTACATCCTCTTCACCTCCTTAATATATCCCTTTGTCCTGTCCCCAGCCAAGATTAGGAGCTCTTTGTTTTGCCCCTGTTACTGTCAGGCTATTCCTGCAACCCTGCTTTCTCGTCATCTACAATGGTGCTTGGGCATGCATTCTCAATACCTCCATTGTGTTCACTCTTCCGGCTAACACCCTTCAGTGGCGGCCCTTGAACTAGAAGACACAATCCAACTCTGCTGCGTGGTGTTCAAGATTCCCAGGAACCTGGGTCTTGCCTACTATTCATGAACACCATCTCTTCCTGCAGTATCTTAGGTTCCAATCATGTTGACTGTGCCATTTTGGCAACGTGCAATTCCCTAACCGCTACACATAGAATTTTCTTTTCCACACACGTTGCTTGGAGAATTTTTCCTTGTCTCCTTCAACCGTCTGTCCCAGTACAACCCCTTGTTTGCAGCCTTCCCTTCTCAAGCCCCAACTCTTACCAGTGCTGTGTCTGGGGCTGCTAGGGACCTGGAATGCCTCATTCTTTTGCACCTCCTTAGGCCTCTACTACAGCTCTTGTGTATAAACAACTGGAGTCACAGCTGTCTGATTTGCCTTAGCCCTACGTTGGAAGCTTCCTAAGGTGGGAATCATTTTTTCCTTTTGATTTATTTTTCTTTCTCTATGGCCTACCTCTCTACCTGACCTAGAAGATACTTAATACATATTTCTTAAGTGAATAAAAGAATGCATGAGTGCATTAATGAGTGATGTCTATGATAAATAATGTGGTAAATGGAAAGCTACTCCATGCATACTGTGAAATCAATGTCTGCATGGAGAGCCAGAAGTCCACAGGAAAGGCCAGAGGGATGTAAGACAGAGCGAGGGCCCTGACAAACAACGTGGCAAATCAGTCTTGCTTTTGCAAACTAGACCAGGAAGGGAGAAATGGCAGTGACTTGACTTGCTGGTGAAGCAGATAATTTTTGCATTGAGTTCATTGTGCCATGTTAATGACAGCCAAATGGGAAACAACAGACTGATGAGCTTCTAATGACTCCCAGAAACAAAACTCGGTGAGGATCAGGAAGCCCTGAGATTTTACATAGGAATTTTTAGACTTTCTTGTTTCCCTCTGAACTGACCCAAGGGATTTCGCATGATACCTATGTTCCTAGGCATAGATGCAGTTGAAAAACAAAATAATCAAACAAGCTAGAAACTCCTAGACTTACTGCAACACCCTCTTCTCCCAGGTAGCCTTCACTGCCTTTGAAACCTGCGAGGCCCTGAAAAGAAGAAAAGGAGAATAATATTAGTGCACCACAGGCCAGAGGCAGAGGAGATTAAGTGAAATCTCCCAACCTCACAGCTTTGTTTCATGTGCCATAGTCAGAGCTCCCTCCTCAGCCTAGGCTGCACACACACAAAATCTCCAGACGAGTATCCAGAGAGTGTGTGTGTGTGTATCATAATATTGTCTGTAACTCTTCTGTGTTTTATATATTTAGCACTAGAGTTTATCTAAAGACAATATTCAAGCAAACAGAGCTATGTTTGTCCCGAACAGACTAGCATTATCCTCTTTTCATTAAAATAAAAAAAGCTTTTTTTAGGATTTATGCTATGTGTCGAAAGACCACACACATTTACTTTCACTTTTTTCTGAGCCCTGTTTAAAAAAATCCAACCACTCTATTTATATGAAGTTGAAACATTCAGGAAACAATAAATCCAAAAATTTTGGGAGTTACAGTGACATCTATAAATTATTTACAAATTATATACACATGTACACAAGCAGCATTGAAAACATGATTTAATGCATCTATAGCATATTTATACATAAACATTTCCTGAAATCTAAAATATTTTTGCATAAGGATACACGAGCTTGTTTTGGTTAGGAAACACGTACATCCATGTCTTTAGTCACTTTAACAAACAATTGTCCTGTTTTGTGTGTATATCTGTGACAACATTTTGATCTGTTTCAAGCTGAAACATCATAACATCTTTTGCTACAGTACAGTGATCTGATTTTCAGTGGTCTACACAAAAAAAATCTTCTACTTGATTTTAGTGTTTCTGCCACCATTAAAAATGGAACCTGAAGTCAGTGGTTGGGTCGAGGAGGTTTTCACGACTCAAGATCAGGTCAAGCTAGTTTTTCTGCATCATCATCATGGCTAGGACAATATGTCATCAAGGATCTTGGACATTGTTTCTCCTGAAACTTCCACAAAAAGCTTTTTAAAAAGACTGCAATTAAAAATACCAAGGGACGCTGATGATATCTAAGCTGACTTAGAGGAGGTATGTAATAAACGTTTCCTACAGAGGTTCTACCTAGAAGTTAAAGTCACCCCTGATTTCTACCTAAACCCATGGCTGAGAGACAGACTACAGTTTAAAGAAAGGGAACCGTAACTCTGGACTACAATCACCCTTTTCCCGGCTTGTCCAGGCTCTCCCATGGCGCCATCTCCTCCAATGCACTTGCAGAACAGACAGCAGCAAGTCCTTTCAGCAACGTTGACCTTGGCAGAGAAGGGGAAACTCATTACCTTTGGTGTTGCTTTCCAGATCACACACACAAGCCCAGCAGGATGACCAGGCTCTACCACAGATTTAGAAACCTGTTGCTGGCTGGCACCATGGCTCACTAGGTTAATCCTCTGCCGGCAGCGCCGTCACCCCGGGTTCTAGTCCCGGTCGGGGCACCGGATTCTGTCCCGGTTGCCCCTCTTCCAGTTCAGCTCTCTGCTGTGGCCCGGGAAGGTAGTGGAGGATGGCCCAAGTCCTTGGGCCCTGCACCCCATGGGAGACCAGGAGGAAGCACCTGGCTCCTGGCTTCGGAATGGCGCAGTGCCGGCCTTGGCAGCCATTTGGGGGATGAACCAACGGAAAGAAAGAACTTTCTCTCTGCTCTCTGTCTCTCTGTCTCTCTCTCTCTCTCTCTCTCTCTCTCTCTCTGTCTAACTCTGCCTGTCAAAGAAAAATAAAAAAAGAAAGAAAAGAAAGGAAAAAGCAGCCTGTTGCTCATCGGAGTCACGGCTCACAGAGAATGTGTGAAACTTGGCTTCCATCTTTCCTTTGTGAGCTGCATTTTCCATCATTTGAAGACTTTCAAATCAACTCGAAAACGCGTTTGTGTTATCAAAATAGCATCCGTGTAGCCAGGGCCAACTCACTGTATATGGATTTACGGTTATAGTGGCTTGTTCCCACCCCACCCCAGCACTGACTGTGGTATAACTGATTACCCTGTATAATTCTACCCCAAATGCTTTGCTCAACAAAACAGGTGCTCTCTTCTCCTTTCGGTGTTTTGTGAAATCTTAGTATGTTAGAAGAGTTACACGATATGCAATGTAACAGCACTTGGGACTAAGTCCAACGGCAAGCATTCCCAGAACATTTTGGGATAGTATTTCAAAAATGCCAATTAAATGCCCAGCATTTGGGAAGCAATTGCTGTAGAGGTAGGGACATGGGGAAATTATTCTTCAGCCAACAAACCATACTGTATATTTTAAAATAAGTATCCCAGACTTAGTTATCCCCTAAATAGCTGGCATATTGCTTCACATTTGTACAATTAACCCACCAGATTTATTTTTAGGAAAATTCTGTTTGCTGTTTCATAATAGCAGGGTATAATCAATCTTAGTACATAGTTTCTCATTAAATTTCTAGTACAAGGGTGAGTATTTGACACTTGGTTAAGAAGCTGCTTAGGATCCCTGTATCCCATATCAGAGTGCCTAGTTCAAATTCTGGCTCTTCCACTTCAGATCTAGCTTCCTGTTAATGAGCATCCTGGGAGGTATCACGATGATGATTCAAGGACTTGCGTCCCTGCCACCCACATAGGAGACCTGCATTAAGTTCTGGGCTCCTGGCTTCAGCCTGGTCCAGCCTTAGCTGTTGTGTGCATTTGAGGAGAACCAGTGAATGAAAGATCTCTCTCCAGTGAAGTGTTACCAAACTCTGTGACACTTTTGCTTTAATAAAAGACTGGTAATGTGTGATCTGTAAGGTTTTAATCACTGTTTGAGAACTTTTGAATGAAGTGCCAACTTCTGCTATTTTCCACCTTATAGGTTTGTACCTAAGTACTCACAGATGTTTAAAGCCAGCTTTGTTCCTGCTTCTGAATATGTGAAAATAATTACTGGAAGAATAGAGACGTTTTGTTGGAAGTCTTTTCCTACATGGGAAGGCAGTGTTTATTTTACAAAATGTATTTTTTTCCCTATCTACAACTGTTTGAAATCTGCATTGGTAGTTTATAGAATGAAGTTGTTCTTCATAACAAAAGTTTGTCAGTTTTGATAGATCACAGAAATGAAATGCTATATAAGCAAAACAATAGTAATAATAATAATTTGTAATATGCTGTAGGATTTTGGTTATCTAAATAAAGTTTCTAACATGAAACCCTAGGAGCCATTTTGTTGTTGTTAGTTGGTTTTACACATTTCAAGTTTTATTGCTTTTCTGAAATTTTTGGCAAATGGAAAACTTTGTGTCACAAAACAAACTTTGTGTGCTAAGAAACAAAGGGAGAAATTGCTAAATGATTAGAATCATTTTTCATCATACTAGATTTTTTTTTAGTCTCTTGTATTAATGTTTACTTTACTTGAAAGGCAGAGAGACATACAGAGAGATTTTTTAGAGAGATCTTTTATACCCTGGTTCTCCTAAAATGACTGTATGTTTCTGAAAGACATTTGATTAAGGTGTATCATACACAGGTTTTAGATTCTTAAAAATAGAACCTTAGGCAAAAGTCTGCAGAGCCAAGACTACCCTTAAAAATCTTTCCGTGGCTCTTAAGGTACAATCTTGGAGGGGCACTGTCGCTAGTTTCTGTGCTTTCCCTAGTGGAACCCCATACGGAATGTGCATATGACACATTACAGCCTCTGTTGCAGAAAAACGGACATCTTGGACCCGAGACCCATCCTCAGGATGCCAAGCTGTGATGCGCTCCCATCTGAGTCTCCCTGGCACTCAGGTTCATTGACTGTACTTTGGGCAGGATTGTAGATACTATTTACATATGTCTTCCAGGGGCCAGCACTGTGGCTCAGTAGGTTAATTCTCTGCCTGCAGTGCCGGCATTCCATATAGGCACTGGTTCTAGTCCCGGCCACTCCACTTCCCATCCAGCTTTCTGCTATGGCCTGGGAAAGCAGTAGAAGATGGCCCAAGGCCTTGGGCCCCTGCACCTGCATGGGAGACCAGGAAGATGCTCCTGGTTCTTGGCTTTGGATAGGAGTAGTTTTGGATGTTGCGGCCATTTGGGGAGTGAACCAGCGGATGGAAGACCTCTCTGTCTCTCCCTCTCACTGTCTGTAAATCTACTACTCAAATAAATAAACACAATTTAAAAAAATAATAAATATGTCCTTCTTTCTTTTTGCCTACTCCTTTTTTGGGGGGGAGCAAACATAAATTAGACACACAATAACATCTGTACTATATTTCTTTCAAATACCCTTCTATTCAGGCTGTTTATTAAGTCAGAAAAAGCTTTCTTCACTTACAAATGAACAGAATTAGTTTAGATTCATAAGCATCAACATTAAGCCTACATATAAAGTAACCAAAATTTAAACTCACTCTCCATCTCTGCATAACTTACCAGGTGCTTGGACAGCTGGCTCCCAAGATCCCTCATGCCAATAGTGAGCTGTGTTCTGTACTCAAATCCCTTCCCAAACTCCATGTAGAGAAGATCAGCCAGGTCACTTGAATGGACAGCTCCATCCAAAGCCACGGTTATGAGAGCATTCAGGCCTGTTCAACACAGTTTGCAACTCTCTGAACAAGGTGGATTTGATTAATCCTTTTGCATACCTCTTTAAAATTGTTGTTCTCAGCGAACCTTTGCACACAGAGTGCTTGTCATATCATCCACTTCCTCTAACCACATGTAAGACTGACATGGAGCAAGACTTTAACAATAAGAGCCAAAAAGAAATCATACATGTTTAAGACTAATTGGATTGGAGACATGGAAACTGTAAGAGAACTTCTAGTTCCCTGATAGTTCAAAGTGAGAAGGTGAGTTTAAAAAGCATTCAAAAATACAAAAGAGCCTGAATATAAAAAAAGAATTCTACAGTTTTGGTGCCCTATGGGGATTCTTAGAGCAACAGCACTGACATCACCTGTGAGCTCACTGGAAACACGGGCTCTTGGGCTATGCTACTTCTACTAAATTGGAATGTGTATCTTAACAAAATGCCTAGATTTGTGTGCATGTGAATGTATCAGAAGCATGGCTCTTAATGACACGATAAGGGATCAGGAATCACGTGGGAACTGGAATTATCGAAAGTCACTAACAGATCTATGGTCAGACAACTAGAAACCAACGGCTGACAACCATACAAAGCTGTGGCTCAGAGGCCTTGAGAGTTTAAGGATAAGAATATTTCAAGAAAACCTTGGGCCAGCAGCAACTGAAATCATTTACAACTAAATAGGAAAAACCAGTACAAGAGGTACTTGTTCTCTCGAAAAATGCTCGACAATTTTCAATGAACATTGTGGTTATTATTCAAAGATTTTGAATCTCTGACAATACTATCTAAAAACAACAACAACAAGAAAGCTAGTTCCTGATGTTGAAACTCGTTAGTTTTTTAGTGGGAAGAAAGGATGGTCTTGGAATTCTGGGTATTCTGAAGCACTTCCTGGAAAAAAAAATCTCTGATGGTGTCTGCAAGAGATAAATCTTTGACCCATTAAAAAAAACCTAAAATTAAAATTAAAATTACCCACCCCAAATAAGCACTTCAAGGTTTTTGTTCTTAGTCTTAATTAAAATTTCTATTAAAGTTCATGAACAAAGGCCAAGACTCCATAGGATAAAAAAGAAGGCAGATTTAGCAAATACAGGGCAAAATAAAACCCTTCATCCTCCAGTTGTAAATTCAGAGTGCATTGCAGTCTGTTTTTGGTTGAGAAAGAACCCAACAGAACAGACCAAAGTCCAGGGTATGTCAGCTAACCCTGAGAGGCAGATGTCTTGGGCCAGCTTCTTTAGAGGCAGAGTCTATGGTAGGAGACTTGGATGTGCACCTTTTGTTGCAGAAGTGCTCTGTGAAGACAGCTGGGGTGAGCAGCAGGGCAGGGTCGGGGATGAACATGAGCAAGAAGGTGTTGCAGTTGGAATCCAGTTTTCACCTGAACCTGGGGAGCTCTACCAGAGTACTGGTGCCATTTGGAGGCAAAGGTTCCACTCTTTGTACTCTCTCTGCTGCCCAAGGATGAGGAGTGAGCTCCTGGGTGCAGGGCTCCCATTGGCAGGGCAATTCTTCCAAGAGGAGGCAAGATATGGGCAGCTGGCTGGGGCTGGGTGAACCTGCAGTACATAGTGGATCTGGTTGGGGCATCAGCAGCGCCAACAGGGGGTATTTCAATTCTTGTTCGGACCAGAATACGTGGGTGCATTTTGCTTCCATTGACCCATGTTTTCCTAAGAACTGATAAGTCACATTAGCCATTGGGTCTCAAAACAAAAAGCCTGGTGCCAGAGCTTTAAAAATTCCTAAACACCAGGCTTGGCTCATTTGTGGTCTGAAAGGAAGGAACTGATTAGGAGGCCCCAAACATGAGCAAGTTCTTGCTTGCAAATCTGGAAAACCTTGAGAGTCGTACAAGAAAACAGCTTCTCTCTTATTCCTTGGTCAAAAAAAAAAAAACAAAACAAAACATACTTTTCATTTCAGCCAATACTAAAGCAGCAGCAATATTAGATAATGTGTGGTGAGGGAGAATGAAACATTCTCCCGGAAACATTAGGAAGAAGAAATTCAGGACTGTGAGATGCAGGGCAGTACTTTGTACTCAGTGCTATTTCCTACTCAAAAGGCCTGGGGAAGAAAAGGAGGTGTCAAAATGTCGAGAGCTCGTTTGCTCTGCCAACTGCATACAGAGTATAGAGCATCAAATTCAAGGTTATTTGGGTGCCTGGAAACTTCCAGGCAGGGTTGGGTTCAGAGCTGACAAAGTTAGCAGGTAACCCTTTCCAACTCCGCCCCACGCTCCATACCTTCTTTCCTGAGTTCATCAGATTTTTGTTCAAGTTTCTCAATGTCGTCATCCAATCCATCTGAAAATAAAAGGACCACCTAGGGAAGTATTCAAAAATATGCGAATGAGTAAAAAGTTCATCGTCACCACACAGCAATGAATAAAATACAAATGCATTACCTTTCCTCGGGCAGCCGATTTATTCTGAAACGTATCCCACAGAGAAGTCAGGAGGCTTGTGTCGAGAAGCGAAGGTCCTTTAACTGTTACGCCCTTCAAGCTGTTCAGTATGTTTTCACTGTAGATCTCAAACTTGGGAGAGTATCTCCCCAGGGCATTTGTCACTTGAAAAGCCACACTCACCCGAGTCTCTGTGCCCACTTCACAGCTTACTCCATTGAGGGAGCTGATGGCACGTAAGATGTCTTGAAGGTAGGCTTCCATCCAAGGCTGGCCTTCAAACATAGTCTGCCCGTTCTGATGAGTTGAGATATCAAATCCCACCACAACATCCACGAAACAATCTAGGATTCAAAGGAAGAGAATCAACAAACAACTTTATTTGGCTCAGACTTGAAATTCTCCAATTACAGTTATGAATTTGGAAAACTAGAAAGGACACGAGTAAGGCTTGGGGTCACTCGATTATAACTTGTAAAGGTGTAAGTCCATTACTACTTTCAACTGGTATAAGGTCTGGATGCTACTTATAACAAAGTGCTGAAAGATTTTATCATAGCTTTTGAAAAAGTCATGTAGAGGGGCCAGCGCTGTGGTGTGGTGAGTAAAGCCGCTGCCTGCAGTGCTGGCATCCCATATGGGTGCTGGTTTGAGTCCTGGCTGCTCCACTTCCAATCCTGCTCTCTGCTATGGCCTGGGAAAGCAGTAGAAGATGGTCCAAGTCCTTGGGTCCCTGCACATGTGTGGGAGACCCGGAAGAAGCTCCTGGCTCCTGGCTTCGGATTGGCGCAGCTCCGGCCATTGCAGCCAATTGGGGAGTGAACCATCGGATAGAAGATCTCTCTCTCTCTTGCTCTCTCTCTAGATTTCTCTCTCTCTCTCTCTGCTTCTCCTCTCTCTGTGTAAATCTGGCTTTCAAATAAATAAATAAATCTTAAAAAAATAACACAAAAGACTCATCTAAAAATTGGTTTTGATGATTTATCTTTCAAAAAGGAGGGCTCTGATTCTTCTGTTTTCTAACATCTATTTTAGAAAAACAAAAATTAAAAATCAAAAAGAGCCTTTAAAATACTGCTGATTTAAGTCTTACAAGTGAACAAAACTGTGAATCAAATTACCCACATTCAACCGTGTCAAAGATGGTGGTGACTTCAGGAGCTCAGTCGCTGGGGAAGCCAAGCCACCATTTTGGAGTTCTAGAAATACTTAGAGGTGCTTAAGGGCTTCAAGGGCTTTGTTCTTGTCCTCTTGTCCTTATTAGTTCCACCTTAAGCACTGGAGAAACTAGAAGTGTCTTGGTAATTTAAGTTGAGCTTCTCACAAGCAGATACTTAAAGAAGGATACAATCACATGACAAATAAGGAATGATTTTTAATTTTCTTTGTTTACATCTGCAGTTTTTCAGATATTTGTTGTGTAGACCAATGCCTACCTATGTTACTTTCCAGCATTGGTCAAATGGGCATTTGCAGTCTTGAAACCAAAGTATCTATTTTAATTCTTAAAACAAGGGCTAATAACTTCATTTTTGATGAGGAAAGAGTTGGGCAAAGGAAAATAAATGCCTTATTAGATAATCAATTTTCACCATAAGATTCCAACTAAATGTGTTACCCCCTAAATGTGAAAGGTTGGTCTTATAATTTTACTTAATTGGGAAATCTCCTCTTTAGACATTTTCAGCAAGTAAAGAGACAGAATCTAGTCAGAAAGAAGCAGATGAGGATGTCTTTCCTGAATTCCTGGCCAATCTGTACCCTGTCATATCTGTTTTGAGATGGAAAGTTTTTCTCTTAGATCAACAGTGTTTGAACTTCTGAGTAGAACACCAGTCAGTAACTAAGATGTGTGCCTTCAACAAGGAAAATCAACTCTTATAAAAAATCAGCAGCAATGCCACAGTGATACTGACCCTGGAACCTGCTCCCTTGTTCCCTACAAAACTTGAGCGTTTTAGGTTAATGTCTAGATTGATAAAAGTATCTACCTAAATAGGCTTCTTTGTGACTAAATCAAACTGACAAATGATTCCGTAATACTGTGATCAAAGCAAGGGAACGTGTCAAACAAATCCAAAGCTAGCTGCCATGTTGTCTACATACAATTAGGGAGACCAGGGCCAGGCTGGGCAGGTGGGCTCTCAGCTAACGACTTTGACAACTCTGAGACGTGTTCCCTGACACCAGGAGCCCTGCACAATTTTGGAACTGGAGTGCTCCAGGACAGAGGTTGTGATTCAGAGAGAATCTGCCAGTGATGATTCCAAAGAACTGGAGCCAGGAACCGTCTTGGATGAGCTAGGGAGCAGAGCAAAGTTGGATTTCCAAAGAGAAATGATGAAGATTAAACTGGGACAGCAGGAGTGGGAGTAGAGAGAAGGCCATAAAAGCAAGGAAAATTAAGGAGGTGACCCACAGGACAGGCCACAGGAGGCGAAAAAAAGGGGAAATCAGAGCAGCATTCTGGGCCTTTGCCGAGCCCTCCACGCAGCAGTGCAGGAGCTGGGGGGGGGGGGGCGGCTTCGAGTGAGAAGACGGGAAGCTCAGTCTCGGTCACGTGCTGGTCATGACCCTGGCACTGCTAGACAACTTTTGGCAAATTTTTAGTCTCTCCAGGCATTACTTTTTTTGCCTATAAAAACAAGGGGATTATATATCTCTAAATAAAAATACAAAAAAAAAAAAAAAAACAGAAAAGGGTAGATTGGACTAGACAGCTGCAGTCCCATGGTTCCTTGCCAGGCCCCAAAGCTGATCCTAATTATTTGACTCATAAGGCAAGTCCCTAACCGGAGCTGATCGTCGCAGATTCCTAGTATTAAGAAATACTGTCAAGAGGCTACAGTGTATTCACAACATGAAGAGACGGAGTCTTGAGAAAATACTTTAGAAGGAAAGGGGAACTATGAGCAATTATTAGCTGGATAGGAGAGGAATTCATCTGGGCCTTTGAAGGAAGGGGCGCCATAGATACAGAAGAGAAAGGATGTTCTGGAAAATATAGTTCAGTATAGTAAGGCACCCAGTAGGCACACAGGCACACCCCCTCAAGACTTGGACATGTGTCCACTGGAGAGCCCGGCTGCCATCATTAGTCTCCTGACACAGTAAGGGAGAGGGCCAGGCTCTGACACAGCTCCACCACGCTCACCGCAGCAGGGCCGTAGGGGCTGAGGTGCCCACACACAGCCCACATGAACTCCTGCAGGCTGTGTTCCCCTCGCCATTTGCAGCCCAGGTGCAGTGCACTATGGATCCTGTTTCTGGTTTCACCAGCAGTTCCTCAAAGCTGGATAACACAGCTGTGGGCGAGTTAACACTCTATGGGAGCCTGCACTGCAGCTCAATAGGCTAATCCTCTGCCTGCGGCGCCGGCACACAGGGTTCTAGTCCCGGTCAGGATGCCGGATTCTGCCCCGGTTGCCCCTCTTCCAGGCCAGCTCTCTGCTGTGGCCCGGGAGTGCAGTGGAGGATGGCCCAAGTCCTTGGGCCCTACACCCACATGGGAGACCAGGAGAAGCACCTGGCCCCTGGCTTCAGATCAGCGCAGTGCAACGGCCGCAGCGGCCATTGTGGGGTGAACCAATGGCAAAGGAAGACCTTTCTCTCTGTCTCTCTCACTGTCCACTCTGCTTGTCAAAAAACAAAAAAAACAAAAAACACACACACAAAAAAACAAAACACTCTATAGGGTCAACTCTGACTAATGAGAGGCAGCAGATGGGAAGGAACTGGTAGATGGATTGTCTCCTCTATTCCCCCTTCTGGACTGGTTTCTGCCATGGCCCCACGGGGCCTCTCTGGTGGTGTTCTGCATAACCAGTGGCCCAGGGGTGCCTTCTCAAGAAGTTCAGAGACCACTTGTGTTTCCTTCCCTGGCTCACATCCCTGGGACTGCACTCCCCAAAGACATATCGTACAGACACTTGGCTCCAAGGTCTGTTTTCTAGAGAACCCAGTTAAGACAGGACATAAAGAGCTCCTTGTTGGGAAAACTTGGAAATGACTATTTACTCCCCTTCTATTTTGCTCATTTCTTGATTCAGATCTGAGGTCGTCTCTTACTTCATAGAATCAGATTGGCCTTTTATTTCATCCATGTTTTGATCCCTCTATTTATGATTATAATGCAAGAGATGAGAGAAACCGATTCTTTTGCTACCTCATCATGACTCCATGCCAAGAAGGGCAAGGCGTCCTCATCCTGGAGCCACTGAAGTCTTCTCTAATGGGTAGAGTGCCCAGGTTCAAACTAAAATCAGGAAAATAAGCGTGGATAAAAGTAGAAAAACACACGTTGGAGATCAGTTACTTAGGAGAATTTGGTGTATACTGAGGCATAAAATTTGAATACAGCTTTAAACTATTGCCTAAATCAAGGAACTTTTGGTAAATTGTCCTTATGCAAACTAACCATTGCTCCATGTATCTGCATTTCTAATTTTTAAAAAAGATTTATTTTATTTTGAAAGGCAGACTGAAACAGAGACAGAGAGAAAAAGATCATTCTGCTGATTCACTCCCTAAATGGCCTCGACAGCCAGGACTGGGCCAGGCCAAAGCCAGGCCCAGAACTTCATCCCAGACTCCCATGTGGGTGGCAGGGGCCCAAGGACCTGGGCCATCGTCTGCCATCTTCATAGGGGCACTAGCAGATTGTTGGGTCAGAAGTGGAGCAACTTGGAATTGACTGGTTCCAATATGGGGTACTGGTAGTGCAGGTGACAGCTTAACCTGCTGTGCCACCACCCCAGCACCACATGTCTGCATTTCTATGATCACATCTAGGTGCCTTCAATATCACGCTACCATAGTAACTCATGCGCACTGAATTTGCCGTTTACCATTTCACCAGTCCTTAGGAAACAAAGTAGAAACTTTTTTTTTAAAAAGACGTTTATTTGAAAGGCAGAGTTAGAGGGAGATTTAGAGGGAGAGTTGGAGAGTGAGAGGAGAGTTAGAGAGAGGAAGAGGGAGATATAGAGATCTTCCGTCCACTGTTTCAGACCCCAATTGGCTGCAACGCTCAGGGCTGGGCCAGGCCAAAGCCAGGAGATTCATTCAGGTCTCCCGCGTGGGTGTCAGGGGCCCAAGCACTTGGGCCATCTTTCACTGCTTTTCCAGGCACAACAGCAAGGAGCTGGATCAGAAGTGGAGCAGCTGGGCCCATATGGGATGTCAGCATTGCAGGTGGCAACTTAACCCATTACGCCACAGCACTGGCCCCAGAAACTTCAAATGTTCCTTTCATAAAAGAGGAACTCATGACTTAGAGAAGCTTGGCCAAGGTCCCACAGTTACCACTGTAAATCTCGCAGTGGGGATTTAGATCCAGGCTGATCTGGAGTTCTTGTGTTGAACAATGTCATCTTACCACTTCCTAGGGGGCCAGTGAGGATACGTCATGCAGGTTCTGCTACTAGATTGTGCTGTTGGAAGTGACAGCTTAGGGGTGGTATCCTCAGGGAGCAGCAGCTGGCCGGGGGTTGAATTTCAAAGATACAAACCCATCATGTGTCCAGAAGCTCCAGGTACTTACTGGTTAAACATACCATGTTGACACTAGTTCTTTATTATGTCAGCATCAGATAGCCTTGACCATGACTATAAAACAGCTTAATTTCACCAAGAAATAGAGGGGAGGGGAGATGGAGTTTGAGGTCAGACAAACCTAGGTTGCAAAATATGCTTGGTCTGTTACTACTCCCCAAGATGGATCAGGCCAGGAATTTTCCTTTGAGCCCCAGGTTCCATATTTATAAATGCAAATAAGAACAGAAGCCACTTCGCTGATGGGAGAACGGAATAAACTAATGCATTGCAAGTGCTTAGAGCACCACGCTTGATCTTTCAGAGGTTCTCAGCACATAGGGACCCCCAGTCATTTCCCTTACATCTCCACATATCTGACCTTCTATTCACATACACTGAATTACAGCAAACTAGAGAAACTCTTTAAAAGAATTTCACGTTAGGAACGAGAAAAAAAAAAAAGACTCAGAAAAGGAAGTGACTCTCCAAAGTCATGCATTATTTTACTAAGAAGCAGAACAAATGTTCAGGCTCTAAGTCCAGTTTGCTTTGAGACACCCAAAGCTATTGTCTGCTTTCTTTGATTTGGGGATTTATAGTTTCAAGAAAACTGGCATCCCCTACTGCATTTGCACATGCCTTTGAAGCTTTATCAGGGCTCATTCCAGCCTCATCAGCCTGCAACTCACAGCTTGGCTACAAAGCCCTCACATTTTTGCTTGCTGGAGTAATAACTTCAAGTTTATCTCAATATATAGTATTTTCCTCTCTCTCTCTCTCTCTCTCTCTCTTTCACAGTGTGTGTGTGTGTGTGTGTCCATGACCATTTCCTTTAAAGATAACTCACTCACTGCTTGGAATTTTTACTCTTGTTTTTCACTTTCCATGATTGTTTTTCTTTTCATGCACTGAAGTAGAAACTAGGTGGTTCCAACAAAATTTTTCTAATAATTGGAAGTATTTCACATGAAAGAGGAAATGAATATGGCAGGTTTGCCAGAGGTGATCAGATACGAGGAGACCGTAGAACAGGACTAATGGACTGATGAACCACAGGAGTCTCTACCTTTAACCTACATATCCTATCTTATCCAAAGGTTGAGACCGGAGTTTAGAAGAATGTTTTTGGAGAAAACTGCTCCTGTGCTGTAAATTGCTCCAGCAATACACGTGCAAACACACACACACACACACACACACACACACACACACACGAAGGGAAGAGGCGATTTCCAATTTGGGTCTCCAGAGTGCCTCTCAATGGCCACTTTGAGGTTTTCCTTTCCTGGTAGAAACCCGGGGCTGCTCTTTGCCGTGGGTCATCACACAGAATCATAGCCAACCCACAGGGGGACTTTATAACAGAGAAAGCTGCCTGTTTCTAAGACACTTTTCCCCCCTTTGTTGGAAAAACATAAAAATGTGCTAAGTTTAAGAAAATATTTACTGACTTCTGTGGTGAAGTTAATAACGCTCTAGGGATGTTCCCTCCCTACCTGTACACTGTGCTTGGCAGCCCTGGAGGCCCTGTTGCTAGGCAACCAAAATCCATCATACAATGTACATCTGAGACAAGTTCTCCCACCCTGAAACCCGCTGGCTTGTTTGTATAGAGCAGCCTTTTCCTCACATCTTCTCAAGTCAAGGCATTCCCATTCCCAAAGGGGGCATGCTCCCCCAGGATAGAGTAGGGAAAAGGAGACCCAGGACCTCAAACACCCTGTTGCTTAATGTACAGGTCACTGAAGATACTTGGTAACCAGGAAAAGTTCCATTTCAAACCCAGAGGCACAAACCTATATTGTCCCAGCAGCCCAGGGGATGGAAGCAGAGCTGGGAAAACATCACTTACTGCTCTCACTCCCCGAGGTGCAGATGTTGCGCACAATCCTTTTTTTGATCTTTTTCAGCTCATCAAAGTTATCAACTGTGAGTTTCTTATCCGCGGTCCCCGTGATCTGGATCAGCTGCTGATGGTCCACATTGCCGATGCCCACCGAGTAGATGTCCACACCGTTGTGGCGCAGCTCCTCGGCAGCTTGGGCCACCTCATCCTGGGACTGGCCATCTGTGAGGACCAGCAACACCTGGGGGGTTCCCGTGTTGATCCTGCTGCCCATGTCTGGCTGGAAGTAACGTCCCACCTGGTGGAGGGCAGCTCCAATGTGTGTGTACCCAAAGATCTGCTGGATGTTTTCAATGTGAAATGACACTTCCTTTTCATCTGTGAAAGTTCCCAGGGGAAACTCTGGCTGATAGGTGTGGCTAAACTGGGCTGCTCCGATCTGCACCCTGTTGAGGCTGACATCAAAGTCTTGAACAACAGATGCTACAAACTCCTTCATCTTCTTGAAGTCACTTGGGTCAATGCTGTTGGAACCATCCATGAGGAAGACAAGATCCACTTTTTCAATTTCACAATCTGTAAAGAAAAGGAAAGGGAACAACAACAAAAAAACCAGAATATTATCTTCTTTAGCCCACCAAGAATTTGCAACTGTATTAAAGATTTTTGAAAGTGTTTTCATATTTTACCCTACCCTGTGGTCACATTCATTGGAGAGGAAATAAACAAATGACCAGATCATAAGTAAAGGCAGCACCAGGCATGAATCACTCATGCATCTTTTTATGCTTCTCTTGGCTTTTCCATTTTGTCTTACACCATTTTCTTTTCCAAGATGCAGAGAACAAGCAATGTTGCTGTAGAAAAAACATGGCCTCACCTGCAATCTAGTCTTAGCCTTCCAGAAAACCCAGTGACAGTAGCAGCACAGCAAGAAAAAACAAAATAGCACACAACCATTTTAGAATTCAGACAGACAGATGGTTTGGACTTGTGACTTGGCTTCCTTGGTCAGTTGACCCAATAAATTTTTTTTTTTGATTTATTAGTGTAAATTGAGGGGAAGGATTTCCAAGCTTGCCTTCTAGTCTTTATCTGGTTGGTTTTCTTCTTTATCAGCCCCCTTTCTCGAATATACACGCAAAAATATTGACTTCAGAGGAATATTTTTGAACAAATAATGCACAATACTTAGAGATACTTGCTTAAATACAAAACAAAAGGAATATGGGAGACTGTTGCCAATGAGTGAGTTATGCTTGGCACATACTCATGTGTGTGTCCTTAGCTTTCTGATAAACATTATTTCCTTGAATTCCCTAGTGATCCTACCACTGCCTTAACTTAATTCATTCTCATTGTAGCCTCTCAGAGGATGAAAGATGTCTGAGAATCCCGCAGGCCAGATAAGCAAGGGAGAGATAAGAAGAAATATGGTAAATACACATGGATCCTTCGGGAACTAGTTAACTCATTAAATCCATTTGTTTCAAAGCCCAGTACAGGAAATCAAGGGCAACTTTCATGCAAAGAAAGGGTGAGAATGCAATGTCAACTTCTGCAGAGGACTTGAGAAGGGAGATTGAATTTTAGGCATTAGCCATAAAGAAGTCAGAATGTGTGCCAGTGTTCAATAAGACCCAGGAAGAGTCTGTCAGTCTTGTTCAAGAAAAAGTTAGCTGCAGTCTATGGAGGCAAAGCATATGAAACACCAGAAAAAGTTAAATCATTTTTAAAGAGTACTGCACCAAGATGTTAGACTTGTGGACTAACAGCAATTCATCTAATTAGAATGCTTGGTATTTTAAATAAAATACATTGAGGGGGGACTGAAGAATTTTAGTGGATCACAATCTTCCTGTGAATCAAAAGTGGAAGAGGGCAACTGAACGAGTGAATGATCAATGAAATCAATGAACATACACAGACACACATGCAGTAAAGTGATCTCCAGCAGCCAGACTAGAAACACAACAGAAATCCCACTGTACTCTGTCCTGGAAATGTCTGAGGCTGGACCAGAGTGTTTAATACAGGACTCTATATTTTATTTAATTTTTAGTGAATAAATATATTTAAATATATTTTTATTTTATTGTTTAAGCAGAGACAAAGAGACAGAAGGAGATGAAGAGGGAGGGTAGGGAGAGGGACAGAGAAACAGAGAGAGAGAAGGAGAAAGGGAGAGAAGAGAGGGAGAGAGAGAGAGTCCATCTGTTGGTTCACTCTCCAAAAGCCCAGGCTGGCACTGAAGCCAGGAGCCAGGAACTCCTGTATGGAGGAGGAGGTTTCCTGTACGGGTGACAGGCAGCCACCTAGCTGCCTTCCAGGAAAGCTTCCTGCATTCACAGGAAGCTGGAGCCAGGAGTCAGAGGTGGGTATCAAACCCACATGCCCTCACGCGGGATGGGACGTGGGCATCTTAACTGCTAGGCTAAGTCCCACCCTGCCACAACAGGAAGTGTCAAAGAAACTCGGGACCTCACACCTGCAGGCAAGACTTTGAGGAAGGATAGCTTGTTCTTAGCAACAGATAGAATTTGATGCTTGGTGTGAAGAGCAGAAAACTAGGGAGTGGAAAAACATGTGAGTAACATGTGTCCTAATAAATAAAGCCTGTTTAGGAGCAGCGACTCGCTGGCCAGTGGAGGAGTGTGGGAAGGAGCGAGCAGGAATGCTGCCAGAGGCACTTCTCTCGGGAGGGGTCTGCAGGGGACACGTGTGGCTTTTCCAACTCTGAAGAAGTCCCTGAAACACTTAGGGCTCCTCCTCTGCTCTGGAAAACGTGTTCCTGGTGCTATTGCTCTATTTCTTTCTCATTTGTCTCTATGCTATTCAACAGGGGAAACCAAGCCCACCGGCCTTACCTACTTTCGAAGAGTTACAGACACTGGCTGACACATCTGAAAATATGCCCTGCAGGCCTCCAAAGGTCTCCACGAAGAAGTACTTGTCGCTTGATCCCGCCATGGCCAACAGCTCCACGGGATTGGCGCCAGCAATCCCCACAGCCAAGACGAGGATGCCTTTGTCTCGCAAGGCCTTTGTGGTGCCATTGAGTTTTTCAGCATCGTGGGATTCCCCATCAGTGATCACAATGAGGACCTGGGGGACCCCCTTGTGCAGGCGGCTGCCCCGGGCTTCGGTAAACATGTGGTCTGAGAAGGCTAGCGCCTCGGCAGTGTAAGTGTTGCCCCCCATGGGCTGGTCGTTCTGCAGCATGGAAATCACCTCCATCTTTGTGTCAAGGTCACCCAGATAAAACAGCACCTCTGGGTCATCAGCGTACTTCAGAGCCCCAAATCGGACCTGAGCCTTGCCGACGTCGGCTTTCTTCACCAAGCCAATCATAAAATCCTTCATGATGTTGTATTCATCATAGTCAATGCTTCCAGAGCTATCAATTACAAATACAACATCCAACACTTCGATCCGCTTGCACTCTGAAAGACCAAGAGGGAAGAACACCATGGGAGAGTGACTTTGGAAGCACGCCCTCTCCCTGCCTCTGTCCCCGCCAGCCATGCTAAATTCCTAATGTCTTCTGTCAAGGGGACCACATTATCCCTCACAATGTCAATTCCCTGGACGCCAGATACAGAAGACGCACATCTGTGCTGCCGGTACATAGTAATACTCAGGTGAGCTTTTAGGCTAAGGCAAGTGTGAAGTGAAGCCTACTGCAGGGGATGGGAGAGGGCAACTGACAGTTGCAGGCCCCTCAGGAATAAAATTTGAGAAATCTTTGGACTAAAAGAAAAATTACAGTTCTGCATAAAATTTCCTGTACAAGTGATTTCTCCAACATGTGCTTTCATTTATACAAGATAAACCTTGGGGAAATGACCAAATGGAAATGAATTTGGCACCATTATATTAGCTCATGGATGCATGACAGCTGACTTTTCAAGGTTACTTTTCCGTTTTTTAATTTCTTGAGGCATCTATTTTCCTGATTGCATCTCATTATAGACAAAAGCCCATTTATCACTTGGCCTGAGTTGTCCTCTAACATGATGCTCCTATTAACCTTTAAACCTGAGGTCAGTGTCATGGAAGAGAAGAGCAGGAAAGACCCAATTAATTCTTAACCCATCTGTAGCATGTTCCATCTGAAAGTACAGTGTTCCAAACTCTAACTCATGCATTCTGGAGAAGTGGAATTTGAGATGATTAGTTATTTAGCAGTTATAAAGTCCATCTACCCCACAGGCCTTAGAAAGATAGGAGCCCAGTGTTAACTCACCAGATTCTTGAGAAATGGAACTGTGAGGAAGTCAACTCCTCAACTGCCCTAAGGCTTGCTCCATTTCCTCCCTGTGCCAGGGTTGACTAGCTCTGGGTAGGGCTCCTGAAAACCCTCAAGCCTATGCACTCACCCCCACTGAATGGAGGCCAAGTACACAGAGCCATAAACCAATTTCCCACGAAAGGCTGGCTCTTCCAAAGAGGGAACTGTATCTCTCTGGCATTTGGCTGTCTACAAAGCCTGGTTCCATTACCCAAGGAATGGGGCCGGGGCCCGGACGGGTGGCTACTCAGTGTTGGAACCCTTCAAAGAGTTCTTATATGTTCTGGGCAGAACTATCAGGGAACATACTCCTATGTCTACAAAATACCAACCATCATCACTAATCCTGCTTGTGGGAGTTGAACAAAACAATGATTGAATAGAAACCAAGCAGTGTTTCTCCTTTAAACCTCCAATAATGTCCATCTCTTTCATAGAGACATTGCAGAATGCCTCTGTCTTGAAGCCCCCAGATCATAGTGTAAATCAGTCAGCTTTGTTGAGATTTTGTTGGTTTGATAATTTCTAGCACCTTGCAATTTTGTAGGAAAAGAACTGGGAATGTGCCTTTTACTTCCTTTGCAGCATCCATCACTCAGGTTCCCTTACTAAAGTCCATCTTGGTAAGATTTAATGAATATCAAAGCATTTTTGACATTATCTCATTTGATTCAAGCATTGGTCTTTAGAAATGGCAAAAAAAAAAAAAAATCAACATCAAACCTCCCAAAAGCCATTTCCCTGGGAGATGAGGTTCCCATGCCCACTGCCTCAGCAGCCCACACATGGCCCAATGACATGGAACACACATGCTTAGACCCTGCTTCAATGTAAGATCATATGGTGTGATTCAGGCCCTCAATCTCCCTCGGCAACTGGGCTGAACCTGGGCTCTAGCAAAGATGAATTTCTTGCTTAAGTCTGACCCCATGACCAATTCTAATGTCCTTCTTCCCATATTGAAAACACCTTATTAACCAATCACTCCAAGAGGACTCAGGTATCCAGTTTCTGCCTCTAGGGAACATGGCCAAAGACCTGGTAGGGTGCTACTTTCTCACAAGGACAGTTCTTCATCCCATGTTTGCTTGTCTACAATGAGAATGAGTCTAGATGGACCAAAGTAGTTCCCTACTCTGTTAATGTGACAAAACCACTAGGATAAATGTTTCAATCAAACAAAAAGTTTATACAATGTTCAGATGGAGCCCTGCTTATTTCAAGGAATGATGACTAGTGTTGGACAGGGCTACAGGTGAAGACATTCACGCCTACCTTCACGGGGGCTGCAGATTCCAAACACAAGATCATCTTCGATGCGCTGCAGAATGTCGAAATTCTCAACATAAAAAACCATCTCTGGCCTCCCGCTGATCTCCTCTAGCTGGGTGACGTTGGAGCCGAACACTCCCACGGAGTAGATAATCACGCCTTCTTGCCGAAGTGCCACTGCGGGTTCCTTCACTACATCCTGAGCCTCGCCATCCGTGATGAGGATGAGAAACTTCCGGACGTTGGGCCGGGCCCCCTTGGCAGGGCTGAAGTACTGAGACACGAAGGTCAGGGCCCCGCCTGTCAGGGTGGTTTCGCCAATGTGAGCCATCCTGTCTATTGCGTTTGAAATGTCACTCTGTGACATGAATGTGTCCAGCTGAAACTCCTCCTTATTGATGTGGCTGAACTGGACTACACCAATTTGCACACGATGTGCCCCAATCTGAGATTTGCTCACCAAGCTCTTCATGAATGTTTTCATTTTTCCAAAGTTTTCGAGTCCTATACTTCCAGAACTGTCCACCAGAAACATGATGTCAGCTTTCAAGTCTTTGCAGGCTGCATGGGAGCAAAGAGAGTGGACAGGAAAATCCAGAACACAATTAATTCTCTACTGAAGAGTGTGCTTGGTAAGGATTGTCAATAGGTTAGTAACTTGCTTAAATATATAACTCAGGGTTTCTCAATCTTAGCATGGCTTACATTTTGGACCAAATCACCTTCATTGTGGAGGGTAGTCTGTGTGTCATAGGCTACCCTAAGATGTTTAACTGTAACCTTGACCCCTGCCCATTGGATGCCAGTAGTATTCCGTTATAACAAACACAAATGCCTCTTTTTTTTTTTTTTACAGGCAGACTGGACAGTAAGAGAGAGAGAGACAGAGAGAAAGGTCTTCCTTTTCTGTTGGTTCACCTTCCAAAGGCCACTGCGACTGGCACTCTGCAGCCAGCGCACCGTGCTGATCTGAAGCCAGGAGCCAGGTGTTTCCTCCTGGTCTCCCATGGGGTGCAGGGCCCAAGGACCTGGGTCATCCTCCACTGCACTCCCTGGCCACAGCAGAGAGCTGGCCTGGAAGAGAAGCCACCAGGACAGAATCTGGCACCCTGACCGGGACTAGAACCCAGTGTGCCAGCACCGCAGGCGGAGGATTAGCCTATTGAGCCATGGCGCCGGCCCACAAATGCCTCTTTAATTGCCAAATAGCCCAAGCACGTGGAATCAACCCAATTGAAAAGCACTGAAGTAACTCTGAAAGAATTCTTACAAGTTTTATGGAAAAGGAATTTAAATAAACCTGAAGTACTTCTTAAAACTTGAAATCATTTGATCCTATTACACCTGCAGTATCTAATCACAGATCTGTCCTAACAGGGATTTGTGGCAGGAGCTTAATTAATTCTCCAAGTGCACTTATTTTGCTTGGGGGTATTAATTAGAACACTTTAATGGGAGGGGCTCTCCATTTTGTTCTGGAGAACAGAGCGCAGCTAGAGAAATCATCAGATCTTCGCTTAGAAATTTATGTTGTTTCTCCAAATCAATAATGTCAAAGATTGTCTAGAAGGCCATCTGTGAGGTGAAGTTCAAAGTCAAAAGCACCATATCTCTTACCTTCTTCAGCACAGATTTCTTGAACAACTTGGTTTCTTATGTCTTTTAAAGCGTCGAAGTCGTGCACGTAGTACACTCTCTTTTCGTCTCCTGCAATTTCTCGCAGCTGTGTTTGGTTCGCCTCCTTGACCCCGATGGCGTAGACCCGGATGTTTTCTTCTCGCAGTCTTTTTGCAGGCTCCAGGATGCTATCCTTGGACATGCCGTTCGTCAGGACGACAAGGTGACATGGCACTTTGTTCCCTCGCTGCTGCTTCGCTTTTTGCAACAGCCTCAGCGTGAAGTTCAGGGCTGCACCTGTGTTTGTGTCCCCACCCAGCTGCCTGATGTTCTCAATGGCCCTTCCCAAATCATGCTTGTTGGAGTATTTACCAATCTCAAATTCCAAGTCCCAGCTGCTGGCGTACTGCACGGCCCCGACCCGCACCTTGTGGGGGCCGATGTGGAACATGCTCGCCACCTCCGACAGGAAGGTTTTCATTTCCTGGAAGTCCGTGGCCTGGGTGCTCCCCGAGCCATCGATGAGCAGATAGATATCTGCTTCCTCGGTGTCCACACAGCCTGAAAGCAACAAACGGGTTCAATGTGTTATTTGGGCAAAGAGTGAAGAAGAAATGGAAACAGATGGGAAGAAGAACCAAGCTGAGCCTCTTCAGACAGAAACAGCTTCCAGGCTTTAAAGACGTGTTTGGGAGGTCAACCTACAGGAACTGAGCACTGGCTGCACCAGAGCTGTTTCTGATCCCTGAGGACAATCACTCTAACTCTCTGCCCTGCATCACAGTCAGTCTGGTTACAGTAGGAAAAACTTGAGCTGCTTTATAGAAGTCACTTCCTGCAGTAACTTCTTCTAGTAACTGCTTGGCAAAAGTCCAGTTGTGTGCCACAAGATGCACAAGGTACTTAACTGGATATTGTGGATGTATTCATCTAAATTCTCTTGCATGAAATCTTGAGCAAATTATCGGCTCTTTACCCTACCTTCCCTAGCCAATGAACTAATTACCTAGGGACATTGTCAGTGACATTGTATGTGAAAGTCAGTGACACTTGTACATTAAATATGCTCTAAATCTTTTTTAAGGACATACACACCTATATATCTGTATATATATACATAGGCATAAAATATTCCCACAGCATACGTGTGCATGCATGAGACATATAAAAGACATACCGCCCTCTGCCTCTCTCCTGGAACCTGTAAGCTACTTTGTCCACCAACCAAATCACAGCTCCTGTTTATTGGCTAACTTGGCAATTTGGGGGTGAAGGGAGAAGAGAAAGGGAAGAAATTTAGGGAAAGAAAGAACAGGGTGACATGAGAAGCAAAGGAGAGAAAGAAAAAAAACAGCAGCAGATGGGATTCTGGGTTGTATTTCAGTCATGAGTCCAGTGAAAGCCACACCAAAGGGGAAGAGAGAGGAGATCCCTCCTTCTGTGCCAGCAGCTCACCTGCTGTTGTTCTCACCAAACTGGACTTCATTTTACCAAGCTAAGATAGAAAGATAGATAGATAGATAGAGATACATATGGGAACTTGTCCTCTTGCGCACTTGGTACCCAGCTAAGCCTTTTTAAATATTTAATGTTCAAACAACAGGAAAAGAAAAGAAGAAACAGAAAGGGCATGGGCAAGCCTTCTTTCCACGTGACCTTACCGGATTTGAGGGTTTCGGTGCGTTCTGCCAGCACGGAGACCGTGTGGGTTATTTGGTTCCGCAGCTTCTTCACAAATGTCTGATTGTGGGCGGCCAGGTCAGAGAAGGTTGGCAGCTTGGAGACGTACTGCTCGGCGGGGTGAGACGCTATCTTTTCCAACTGGGTGGCACTGGCCCCCTCCACACCCAGGGTGAACACCGTCACTCCCTGGCGCCGGAGGTTAACAGCCGCCCTGGTCACGTTGTCCTCTGAAGCCCTGTGAGTCACCAGCACCACAATTTGGGGCACGCCCTGATTCTTCCGGCTGCCGCCACGGGCACCGAACACCTCCTTCCTGATCTTCCGGAGGGCAGCTCCCGTGTAGGCTTCTCCAGCTCCGGGGGAGAGGCTCTGTATGCGATGGAGAACTGCTGACCGATTGACGCCCTCGCTCAGGGAGCCGATCACCTCCGTCTCATTGCTGTAGGCCACCAGGCCGACCCGCATGCAGCTTTCCTTTATGTCAAGGGCAGACACACTTTCCTGCAGGAATCCTTTAAGATGGTCAAAGTCCTCCAGGCTGCCATTGACCGCCACATCCAACAGGAATACGACGTCAGCCACGGAAGGGCCTTGGCAAACTGCACGCAAGGAGGGAACAGCAGAGTGTTAGCTGGAGATGCGTGGAGGTGGATGTGCCCAGGTATGCACTCAGAGAAGGAGCCACAGGAAATCACCATGAAGCTGAGAACAGAGGACCAGGGCTCAGACACTGGATCTTAGCTCAACTCCCAGCCTCAATGTCCTCCTTCTTAAAAGGGAGATGATAATGCTATTTATCTCACAGTAGTTACAGGCATTAGATGACATAATCTGCTTGGCCTGGAGCCTGGTCCCTAAGAGTCACGGACTGCACAGTAGCCATTACTATCATGTTAAAATCACATAGACGTCAACACCATTCCTATCAGTAGCTATAGTCCATATTTCCCTAAGGGAAGCTAAAAGAACAATAATTGTACCTTTGACTATTTTATTTGGGGTAAGGAATTACATTTTCATAGATTATCATAATAGCAGCATTCTCTGTTATCAATAGGAAATCCCATGTGTCATCTCAAATTGATTTAGCCAGGAACAGCATGAGTTTCCAGTATTATTTATCTGGAGATGCACACTTTGAGCAAAGTGTTTTCTTGATGGCTTCTCCCTGCCTTTCTCCTGAATGCTATTCATAAACTCTTGGGCATTCTTGTTAATAGAGAGACTGGGAAAGCAAGTGGGCTGTGGAGCAGAACACAGGGAAACTAATTTAGCACAGAACAGCAGGGAACGGCAGAAACTGTACGGGTTGGAAACCAAGGGCCTGACCTAGCTCTGGCTGCACACTGCAGCCTGGCCTGGGCCAGCTCACATGACCTCGAAGGTCACCTGCATGTTCTTCTCTGCAGAACAGGGGATCTGGACACTGTAAATTATTTTTCCCACTATAAATTATTTCTGGCTCTGGAATTCTATACCTACGTATGTGCCTTCTGACTTAAGGAGTTTAGAAGCACCTTTACCTTTTAAATGAACCAGTCGCAAAGCAACTAAAACCCAGGGAGACGACTCGGAGGTAAAGGCTAGGAAACCAGGAGCAGGCATCCCAGGGTTTGAAGAAGTCTGGGAGTGAAAGGCAACATGGCTGAGAGACAGAAAGCCAAGGCTTTAATCAGTCTTTCAACGGCTACAAGCACAGGACATTCCCAACCACGGGGATATTTAGCAATGGAAAATGCAGCCCACCAGCGGGCAAGGGGAGTTCATGGAGGTTGAATTCTCCTCTCCACGTTGATTTTGTTCGCATGCCTATGCACGCTTGCTGTACCCACCTTCTACAAGGATGTCATCCACGGCCGCGTCCCTGTACTGCACCGCGTCCCTGATGGCCTGCGTCACGTTGTGCGAGAACGTGCTCAGGTCCCGGACCGTCCGGAGGCTGAAATGGAACTGAGACGTGGCCATGGCCTTGACGTCTTCCTCAGCGGCCTTCTGCACCCCCACGGAGATGATTCGCACCCCGTCTCGCCGCAGGGCCTCCGCAGCCGCCCCCACGTCGTCCTCGGACTCGGCCGAAGCCAGGACCACCAGGACCGGGGGGAACTCCTTCTTGTCTCTGCCGTTGGGGGCTGCGGAGAAGTAGGTCCTGTGCGCCTCCCGCAGGGCGTTGCCCACGCGCAGGGAGCCGCCCAGGAACTCCACGTTCTTCTTGAGGTGGTTCAGCATGGGGCCCTTGCCCTTGAAGGTGCCCAGCTCGAACTCGCTGTGGAGCTGGTCGCTGTACTGGGCCAGCGCCACGCGGAACTTGCTGGCATCGATAGGGAGGCTGGTGATCATCTTGTTCAGGAAGGCTTTCACGAAAGGGAAGTTCTTAATTCCCAGGTGATCCGAGCTGTCCACCAGGAACACCACGTCGCCATACTGAGGGCCTGCAGAACCACAAATGTAGGGACCAAAGCAAGAACTTTAAAAGGGAAATTTTTCTTTCCTTTTTTTTTCTTTTATAGCATCTTGACAATAAACATGAAATAATAGCCTGAAATTTCATATTTTCTCAAAAAAAAAAAAAAAAACCCCACATTTCCTGGGCTGATTGTTTTGTATAAGTCTTTTAAAAAAGATTTATTTGAAAGTCAGGGTGACAGAGAGAAGGAGAGACAGAAAGAGAGGGAGGGAGAGAGGTATATTGTGACTGCTGGTTTACTCCCCAAATGGCTGCAACAGCTGCAGCTGGCCCAGGCCAAAGCTATGGGTCCTCTCACACAGGCGGCAAGGGCCCAAGTACTTGGGGCATCATCTGCTACTCTGAGGTGCACTAATGGAGCTAGCTGACTGTGAAGCCGAGCAGTCAGAACTTGAACCAGTGCTCCACTATAGGACGCTTCCCCTGCTATGCCACAACACCATCCTCCTACACAACCTCTCATTTGAACTGATCACAAAAGTATACTTTTGCAAAGAATGTACCAACTAGAAATAGGAAAACAGAGAAGTAAAAAGTCACAGGTTTTTATACCCTTAGTGGTTAATTTCTCCTTGTACTCTTTTTCTTCCCTCTCAGAATTTGATTTCAATTTGTATCAATAGAATAAAAATTGTATTGCCAATCAAACTCCTTCTGCTTGGTTTTAATAGCGAAATCTGAAAGACAGCCTTTCATTGAAATTGTCATTTAAGCAATGTAATAGATGATCTATTAACTTATAATACTTTTGAATTTTTAAAATCTTAAAATCACAAAAATGTGAGATTGTTTCAATCTATTTTAAAATTTACAATATTTATGATGAATCATGTGAGTATTAAAAAGGTAAATGTATTCTTACAGATGCAAATGTGATGACACCCTATCTTAGGCTACAAAAGAGATAACAGCTTCAGTTTCCCCTGTAAGTATGATTTTTATTTAGAAATACACTACCTTTTAAAGCTTCATTTAATACCAGCTATCTAGATATAATCTTGCATGACAGAGAATCCCTGGGCTAAAGTGATAAACATTGTTTACTGATGGCTTGTTAATTGGGACTTACAGCACTCCCGACCTTTGGGTAAGATTCATTTCTTATCTTGCAAAGGGAGGGAAATGTGTGTGTGGTGGGGAGAAGTGGTGGGAATACGCTTAGGAGTTCAGTGCAGGGGCAGGCATCCGGTGCTGTGGTTAAGCTGCCGCTCTGGACATCAGCATTCAGCATCCCATGTCAGAGTGCCTGCAGTTGAGCCTGGATCCATTCCTGATTTCAGCTTCTGCTAATGTGCACCCTGGAAGCCAGCCATGCTGGCTCAAGTAATTGCGTCTCTTCCATCCACATGGAAGACCCGGATTCAGTTCCTGACTTGGCTTGGTCCATCCTTGGATATTGTGGGCATTGGGGGATAGAGGCAGTAAGTAGGAGACATCTGTCTCTGTGCCTTTAAATTAAATAAAAGTTTCTAAAAAGAACAGAAAATAGAGTGTCACAGAACAAGTCATGAAAGCCCTCACTTGATCTGTGAATTTTGAGCACCGTCAAGCCATTCGGTACACTTGATCTTCAGCTTCCTTTCCTTTACAATAAGCAGACTGTATCCAAGGACGCTCTTCACTCGGATTCCGAGATTGCTGAAATGGTTACTAGACCACTAAATAACATTAGACATTAAAATACTTCAATCTTTCCTGTGCTACCATTGTGAAGAAAGCAGCCTCAGCACCTATGGGTGTTATTCTATTCTTACACTCGGAAATAATTCTTTCTTGTCTTTGACATAACCTTAGGCCAGCCAATCGAAGATTCCTCTCGCCATCAGACCAGCAGCACGTCAGGCGAAGAGACACGTAAGGGCAAGTCCACACTGTTCACAAGAAGACTGGACACCCTCTGAGGACTGCCAGGTGAGCCCTGCCCAGGCTGCTGGACTCCTGACCAACAGTAGCCCTCCCATTTATGAAAAAAACCATGGCATCCTGCACAGGGGGAGGAAGTAGGTGCCTCGCGCATGAGCTGGACACAGGCTTTGATAAGGTCTGCCATTATGGCTGAGCCAGGAGATGATCTGGGGAAAAGCATCATCACTTCTTAAAAAAGCTTAAGGCCCTGTCAGACATTGAGGGAGGATGCATGCAGAGCAAAGCCAAGTTGATATTTTCACACACTTGCTGCCACAGTCAGAGTCCTCAAGGAAGTAGGGAAAGCCAATGTCAGTGGCCCTGGCTGTGAGCTGTGTGGGACAGGAACCCATCATTTAAGTGGTGGTGGAGCGGGGAAGGGTAAGCCGGTCTCTTGACATCTAGTCAACAGCATACATGCTTCCTCTCCAGAAGATAAGCTCATCTTTACAACAGGCAGATGTGCAGTTCCAACTGGAGCAAAATCTGGACACTTAGCCACGGCTACCTTTCAGCACAAATGAATTAGAGAAACACATGCTAAATCTTCCAGGCCTGAGCTGGTATCAACAGACAGGATCTGCATGCAACCTCCCAGAAGACCCAAAGGGCTTGAAACAGAGGAGGAACTGACGGCTCTCAAATCTCCCTGTGGCTGACAAAGGCCAGGGATCGGAAGCAAATGATCTTCAAAGCAACACATGGTTGACATCAGGAAGAAACTGTCCCACCACCTCCCTTCCCACTGCCATCAAAACCAAAACAAAGTAGAGCACAACTCTTGACTTCTAAGTAGGTCAAATTCACTTATTAGCTGTTTTCTATAGTAAAAATTACAGGGAATAGTTCTTCTGGCTTTTCCTTACCAGGAGTTTGGTTCACAGACACACGGCAACACATGATGATGAGGAAGACAATCAGCAGCATTTTCATATTATGATCTGAAAGATCTACAGCTGGAAATCTGAAAAGATGAAAATACAAACAACAAAGCTAAGATCATTGTGGGTATTATTTGGAATCAAGATTCACACACACAAGAGAACACGAATATTGGACACAGAAGAGAACAAGGAATTTCTCAAGTTCATTGACTTCTAATCTGTGAAGGAACTTAGAGAAAAATGAATCATCCACATTTACAGTCACATGAGCTTTTGCTGGGCCTCAGACCTTGTGGAAAGAACAGATTTTTGCACAGTGGAGGTAGCCAGATGGAGTCTGCTCAACGATATTATGTGTTCCTATGGGTCATGTCCCAGTAGCCTGGTGTCATCCTCGATCCATTCATTGCCGAGAAAATACAGAGTTCACCACTGGGACACTCATCTGAGACCTCATCATTGTGAACACTAAATTATTTAAATAATCAGTATTTCTAGAAGTCGTCAAAATTCCCCACTTTTCTCTTCTATTTCCCTACTGTTTTACATTTTATATCATTTTACATTTCCCTTATAATTTCCTCATATTTTCTTCTTCTTTTGTAATTAGAAAGGCAACCACTTCATTTTATCCTTAAATTTGAGAAAATAAAAAGCAGTGAATTTCCATATTCCATGCAATATTCTTAGAGTGAGAAACTCAGTTGGCTCTGTTTTACCTCCGACTACGCAGAGCTGTACAAAGCAAGCATTTCCCCATTGCAGCTTGGTCAAAAACATTTTTAGATCTTGAAAATAATAGTTTAAAGATGCTATTGAAAATAAATATGTTAATTTGAAGTAGGTTGGGCTCAATCATTACTTCATCCAATAAACAAAAAATGAATTGAACCATTTTGATGTTAGTCAACCAATGTCTTTTTTCTGCTTGACTAGTTAATTAACTACTATCTAAACATGTATTTTCAGTTCTAAAACTGGCTCTCTCCCTGCATACCAGACAGGCTGCTTGTACTTAATATTTCACCCCTTCAGAAATGGAATTTTGTCAGGAAAAATTCCATACCTATCTTCTCACCTATTCCATTGCCTCTCTGACATTTTGTAAGTTTGGGACTCTATTCTAGTCTCCCACAAGAAGTCTAGACAATGTACAGTTTTAAGGTTGAAAGCCAATGTATCAGTACTAGTCAAGTGGAAATCAGTGAGCTGGAATGGACTTTAAAGAAGTCTAGTACAGCCCTTTGATTCTAGAAAAACTAAGACCCCAAGTGGATTACCCAAAGACAGAACCAACTCATAAATCTGTAGAAGTATTTTATTAATGTGTATAACCATAAATAATAAATTCTACCATTTGAGCCTTTATTGTGCGCTATGCCCAATGCTAAGAACCACATTCTTTCTCCTGTTCAGTTTTGAAAACAACCCTAGTAACAAGAGAGAAAGAAACAGATCCACACACAGAAAAAAACTGAAAAAAAGGACACATCTGTCACCCTGCATCCCAAACTCAGTGTTTAAACACAAAGTATCTCCTGATTTCTTCATTGTATGTCTTGTTTTTACCCCAAGTACTAGGAGATATTGCTATGTTTCCAACCCTTTTATTTTTGCTCATCAAAATACAGCTTTACACTACTTTCTTCTTTCCCATTTATTTATGAGCTTTATAAGTTAGTGCATATTTGGGAGTTAGGAGAGAAAAAACAATGTGTTGGGAAGGGTGCATGGGAGCAACATCAAAGATCCCAGCAATCAAGATGGGAAGGAAGGAAGCTGTTGGGTGAAGGTTAGATACCTGGAGAGAGGAGTGAGGGTTAGGTGAGCCCACAGCAGTTCAACAGCAACAAGCAGCATCTGGAAATGTACCCATGTAGACACTCAATACCACTGGTACAGAAAGTGCTGAGCTCCCTGGGGTAACATTTGGCGGAATAAATTTTTGCATTTTTAACAATTACTTATTTTCTTTTTTAAACTTTTATTTAGTGAATATGAATTTCCAAAGTACAGCTTATGGATTACAATGCCCCCCCCAATAACTTCCTTCCCACCTGCACCCCTCCCAACTCCTGCTCCCTCTCCCATTCCATTCACATCAAGATTCATTTTCAATTATCTTTATATACAGAAGATCAGTTTAGCATATATTAAGTAAAGATTTCAACAGTTTGCACCCACACAGAACATAAAGTGTAAAATACTGTTTGAGTACTAGTTGTAGCATTAATTCACATTGAACAACACATTAAGGACAGAGATCCTACATGAGGAGTAAGTACACAGTGACTCCTATTGTTGACTTAACAAATTGACACTCTTGTTTATGGCGTCAGTAACCTCCCTAGGCTCTTGTCATGAGTTGCCAAGGCTATGGAAGCCTTTGAGTTCACCGACTCTGATCATATTTAGACAAGGCCATAGTCAAAGTGGAAGTTCACTCCTCCCTTCAGAGAAAGGTACCTCCTTTGATGGCCCATTCTTTCTACTGGGATCTCACTCACAGAGATCTTTCATTTAGGTGGTGGGTTTTTTTTTTTCTTTTTTTGCCAGAGTGTCTTGACTTCCCATGCCTAAAATACTCTCATGGGCTTTTTAGCCAGATCTGAATGCCTTAAGGGCTGATTCTGAGGCCAGAGTGCTGTTTAGGACATCTGCCATTCTATGAGTCACTTCCCATGTTGGATCGTTCTCTTCCTTTTTTATTCTATCAGCTAGTATTAGCAGACACCAGTCTTGTTTATGTGATCCCTTTGACTCTCAGACCTATCAGTATGATCAGTTGTGAACAGAAATTGATCACTTGGACTGGTGAGATGGCATTGGTACATGCCACCTTGATGGGATTGAATTGGAATCCCTTGGCACATTTCTAACTCTACCATTTGGGGTAAATCAGCTTGAGCATGTCCCAAATTGTACATCTCCTCCCTCTCTTATTCCCACACTTATATTTAACAGAGATCACTTTTCAATTAAATTTAAAAACCTAAGAATAGTTGTGTGTTAATTACAGAGTTAACCAATAGTATTAAGTAGAACAAAAAAATACTAAAGGGGATAAAGTATTAAGTTGTACATCAACAGTCAGGACAAGGGCTGATCAAGGCATTGTTTCTCATAGTGTCCATTCCACTTCAACAGGTTTCCTTTTAGGTGCTCAGTTAGTTGTCACTGATCAGGGAGAACATATGATATTTGTCCCTCTGGGACTGGCTTATTTCACTCAGCATGATGTGTTCCAGATTCCTCCATTTTGTTGCAAATGACCAGATTTCATTGTTTTTTACTGCTGTATAGTATTCTATAGAGTACAACAATTATTTATTTTCACATTACTTAAAATACAGAACGATGTTCCATCTGATGGTGTACTCCCCAAATACCTGTAAACTGGGGCTAAGGCAGGCCAAATCAAGGAGCCCAGGACCAGTTTGGGGTTATCTCACAGAAGTGGCAGGGACACAGGCACTTTTGAGCCATCACCTGCTGCTTGCCCTTAGCAGGAAGTCTGGTCTCAAACCAAGCACCCTGATAGGGGACATGAGGATCCCAAGCAGTGTCTTAACTGTTGAGACAAACACTTGTCCTCTTGAAGTCTCTCAACAGAACCCCAGATCTAGTGTGCTGTGGGCTCCCTAGTGCTGAAGCCTGAGCCCAAAGCCAATGGGACCAAACTTCCAAGTTTATGCCTGGGAAGCAGAGAGAATGGCTCATTTTTACCATATCAAAACATGGATGACCTGCCTCTAATCTGCATGTTGTTTTACTATGAGACATGACAAGGATTTTCATACTTAAATCCACACACAAAAAATACTTGATCATCTGAAGACACATGAGAATACTTCCAAAAGTTTGTGCACAAATTTTGATATAAAATATTTTAAACCCAGGTATCCAAAGGGTCTTCAGAAACTTCCTGCATAGTTCTTTCATAATACGCAGTTACATGAAATTTCTGAAGACCTCTTGGATGAATCGATTTATTTTTTTTGCACAAAAATAAACTTTGGATTCTACTGTTCACAAACATTTTGAGGTACTCTCTCATGAGGGAAGAATGAAGGAGATATTTAAAGTAAGCAACGTGAAATTTAAATTCATGGTACATCCTATCTTAACAGTGAGATTGATTGCTTATCATGACAGAAACACTCTACAAGGTACATGTTTTTTTAATTTGAATTTTATTGCATTTCATTCATTATGAACCAAACAAGCTGAAGCTAATACATCTCTTTCAAAGTGATATGCTATAAAAGCCTTTTTTTTTTTTTTTTAAAAAGTAGGTCTATGCAAAACCTAGTTGAGAAGTAGATATATCTGATTTCAGGTATAGCTGCAAAATCAGCACAGCCACTCAAGCCTTGGTTGTCAAAATAGAGCTTTACACTACTAACCTGGAGTGCTGAGAACTTGGGCAACACCTCCTAAAACCATTGTGAACCCATGCTTCAGGGAGCTTCCGCTCCAGGCAAGCCAACGCCTCCTAGTCCAAGCCATTGTCTTCACAAAAAGATTACCAAGAGTCAAGAAGAGATATAAAACAGACTTTAGCAAAAATTAAAATGAGGCATGCAGGATACAGTACTGATTTTATCTTTCCACAGGAACATCATCAATTGCGTCACAGTAAGAAACAACTCTAGACCTTTGTCACAGTGTCAAAGATGGCTGTTTCTCATTGAACCACTGATGTCTCTACTGTTTCCCCTCCTCAAGCCATTCTCTTCAAAAGTCAAAAGGTGGAAAGGAAAATAAAGACATTTACATGTTAAAATGCTGCAGGGTAAATCCTTGGTATACAAGAAGCACAAATGATGATAAGAATGCAAAGTTTTATTTTATTGTCAATGCCACACTGTCTCCCAATGCACTTTCTGGAATCACAAAAAGCTTTCAATGTGGATCATGCAGGTGACCTTGTGCCCGTAAAATGATATCTTCCGTGTTGAGAAAGTGGTTGGCTGTGTGGAAAGAGCAAAGACTAGGGAGTCACGTGACCTGAACTCCACTTTGCCCCTAAGCTGTGCAGTGACTTCAGCGGCACCTTAGTTCCCTTGGTTCCTAGTGT